TTTGCCGTTCAAAGAGACTGAGGGCGACTTTCCATGCTGATGGGGTTGAGCAGGCGCACTTCCGGCGATTGTGGAGGTTGCCGCTTCACCTGGAACGGTCTGCGGAAAATATTCCTTTGTCATGTCAGTAGAGTTGCGGGGAATTACAAGACTTAAAGAAAGAAAACAGCAGCGCTAGAGCAAGAGGTGCTAGGGTTCTTTAGTGTCTTCCACTCACAGAGGAGGCAGGAGTGTGAGCCTGTGAGACAGCGGTATTGGCACCGTTGTTACTCTGTCCCTGTGGTTTAAGGCCCGGAGTCTGGGAAATCGATGTCATTACACGGTAGTGTGCGCAAAGAGTCGCCGGAACAAGGTGCGAGAAAAATTAATAGGGGCGTAATTTGAGGAGAAACGGAATAAAGAGGTTGTCAAGAAACAGGCTGGGAAGGTGTGCGCCCAGCAGATTCCAGATCTGGCTCGAGACGAGAGAGAAAAGCGTATTAATTAAATCGTCGGATGGACGCGACCGGGAGGGGGGAAAGGCTGCAGACAATAAAACGGTAAAATCAACTCGATTAAGAGGTCGAAAAAAAAGTGGATATTGCCTTTTTCGCAGAATGATGAGGCCAATCAGCAAGAAGGTTTGGCACACAAAAACCTACACAGCAAAGAGAAGAAAAAACAAAAAGTGTCAGTTTTCTTGGGTTTTTGGGTTTTTGAGTTTTTTGTGCACAACGTGGATTGATTGGATCGATTTGTCGTCGCAGTGAAACGAGGGAGCCTTGTAACCAACAGCAACGGAAGTAAGAGGCGAGGGTAGAGGGAGAAGGAGAAATGGGACTGGTAGCAGTGTAGGGAGATGCCGTTACCTGGTGAGATGGATCAACGAGACACCCGATCGAAAGCAGCGGCTGTAATTCCAGACACCACCACAGCGAGAAACGGAAGATATGGGATTTTTGGATGGTAGAAGGGGGAAATAAAAGGCAACGGATGGAACAGAAGAAACTGAACTATCCGCGATCGTCCTGCTTCAGAGAAAGAAGAGGATCCGCCGGTAAATCAAAAGTTGATTTGATGTGTTGATTAAAAAAAGGGGGGGGAGGAGGGGGGGAGGGGGGAGATGAAGGTTGGCAAACAGAAGAAGAGAAGAAAGGAGGAAGAAGAGAAAGAAAAGAAGAAAACGAAGAGACGTCGTTAAAAACGAAAAAGGTTGGAAGTTTTTTTTTTTCCTTCCCGTTACCAGTTACGTATTGAGTATCGCCTTGGTCCGGCGACTCTGCGCTGTACGGTCACCGTACGGGCATGCCCACGGTATGGTCACGCCAAGCTGCAACCAACACCCCAGGATACGGAGTATTCTGGATTGATTTTGTATGGTCGGCGACTGACAAACTACGGTCGATTTATGGTCAGATTAATATGGTGGGCATACCGGTGGACAAGGCAAGTTTGGCTGGCTCCGCCCCCATATTGAAAAGTGGGCACCTTTGAGCCGCACCCCCCAGTGCACCATGACAGTACGCATACAGGCTGTAAGTTACCAGTGACCGCCTCCACGCTTTCCTACCAAATATACTCCGTAGAACCCACCGCCAAATGCGAAAGAGACAGACAGAAAATGGCGACTGCGTAATATTGGATATTTGTACGGTATGGCTTGGTATTGGGCATTACACACTTCGATCACAGCTTCAAGTTGGGTTTTAAAAGTAGAAAAGGGATTTTTTGATATGAAAAAGGCTGTGATGTTGAGAAAAAAGATGAAGAGAAGACAGGTTGTTGAAGGTGTGCTTGGTGTTTGACTTGGTTCTGTCTTTTGCTTGTAGGTACAACCCCGTATGCATACTTTATATAGTAGTGTTATAATTTAACTATGGGTTTGAAGTTGGCAGGGCTTGCAATAGACATATACCGAGTAGAATATATTGCTAGAAACAAAATCAATTCAAACTGTTCCTTTCACATACTATAAGTTTGTCTCTTGTATTTCTCTTGTCAAAATGCATTCATATTCTTAAATGCTGCCAGGGGTGAACAGGGCAGCAAAACAAGCACTCCACACATTCCCTCTGCTTTGCCTCAAACAAGCCCGCGATCTGTAGTTAGTAGTTAACTACAGATTTTCACATATGATCTCCAATAACTAACTAACCTGCCTAACTATCCCCGACATGTCGTCAGTTGTCACCAACAACAGGAATTCCGCCTTCTATTCAGGTAGTTCTAGAATATCTCCCGCTGTACGAATACAGTCCCGAAAAACACTTCCAGGGTCCCAAGAATGACACTTGACAGGCGACATGCGCACACTCCGTACAGTACCCCAGGATATCCCGTTTGCCACGTCTATACATAGTTACACGACCTCCATGTTTAGCGCTGTCAAATTCTTCTCTCTAAGATCTAGTGGATGAGGAGCCAACCAAAAAAGCTTCAAATATAACAAGTTTCTTATGTGACAATAAATAGAACACCGTGAAAAGAAGAGCCATAACTAACAGCCTACCTTTGTAGGTGTTATGATCATATTAAGCATTTTACTCCTCTGTAATTACTCTCTTATCTATTCATTCATTCATTCATTCATTCATTCATTCATACATACATACATACATATCACAGTTGAGGAGTACAGCAGCAACTCTGCGCAAGGCCAACCATTTCTATCCCGCTCATCAAATAATCCTTCTGGAAGTTCCATGCAGCGGCAACCCGCTTTTCAGCAAGGTCTGTCTGGCTAACTATTTTCTCATTTCTCGAACATCCCTCCCATTTTCGCTTGCGAAACTAATGAGCTCCATGAAATCCAAGCCAATCACCAATGCTGGTATTTCGTGTATTTCATCCGTGATTCCACTGGCAGCAGCTATATACAAGCCTTTTCCGAAACGTTCAAGCTCGTACGAGGTAGAGTCCCTCCATCATCATCATCATCATCATCATCATCATCTCTTTCATCTCTTCCCTCCCATTATGGGAAGATGACATTGGCACGCTACTACTTGTTTCATTACTTGGCCGATCAAGCCTACCGTAACGCCAATACATCCGGAGTAACTGCTACTGGGACCCCTTCGCGGGAAAAAATCACCTCCCTGGATCATCTTCAGTTCTCTCTCCTTCACCCTCCTCACTGATTTCCCTGGATGAATTCATCCAGCCTTGCCCTACGAAAATCACATCATCCACCACTACGAGGGGGCAATGCTTTATACTTTCTCCCCCTTTTTCGGGTTGAAACAATATTCTTTCCCCACTTGCCGGACCGAGTTATTAATAAGCAGATGACTAATTAACTAGTTAGTTAACTATTAACAATCCAAGCCAGCTCATGCTGAAAGAGAGAGGAGAAATTAAATCCAATGACGGATATCCTGTGAAAAATTTTAATCTCCCATTAAAAATCTCATTTCGTTGGTTCTTATGCTCCACAATTCAATATCCATTTCTGCTCTTCAGCATTAACGTATTTCACTGCGGGCCTCGAACACTTACCCACGTGATGTATAACTCGATCTAGTAAACCTCTAAACTGCCCTTGCTTGGCTTCATCAGATAGTTATAGGCTAATTGCTACCAAAAGGTAGGGGGTGCAAGCCCTTGTCAATTTCACACAAATTTAGACTTCATTTCCCTTATGCCGCTTCGGAAAACTTGTCACTCCCAACTTAGGTCTGCTAGATTCTGAGTTCCCATCTTCTCAGTTCTTAAGGAGGAGGGTTCGCCAGCGCTTCATACAGTGAAGAAGGTTCAAGGAGAAAAGGCCCATGGATAAGAAGAATTCACTGCACATGAGCAGCTGATAGAAGTTTTTGTTTCTTCAAATCAGCAAATTATGTATGTTCCTACAATCAAATAATACAGTCATGTAAACTCGTAAGAGGAACATCATATAGCCTCGCAGCTGCTTGCCGACCTAGTCTCTGATTTTGAATGGCTTAGAGCAGTCGAAGCAAAAGTTGATCTGTACTTATAATTTGTTGGTGATATACACAAATAGAACGAGTGTACAAAGGTTGAGTTGGAGTTGAGTTAACTATCGTTAGTTAACTGGACTAGTTCGTTGCTCTAGTCAACGATTACTAGACGATACGATACACATTGTTCGCAAGTCGCGGTGTGTTGACGTCGCTGTTCGACCTTGTTCCCAGGCAAAATCTATGACTTGCTGGACGGGTCACCTGACATCCCATGACAATATCCAGGCATATTTCCAATCCACCGTGACAGGTGAATTCCTTAGCTTGTGGTGTTTGAAGGGGGCGAGTCGTGGTGAAGATCCGCGATGGCCGAGTGACTTTTCTCTGAAGCGGTCGATGGTGAAGATGCGATTGGAGTCGACTCACAATGGGTGTATGAAGATGTCCTTGCGCGCGAAGTAGATTGAAAATATCGGGATGTCTCTATCGAGTCTATTTCAGACAGCAGTGTTGATTAGGAGATGGAAGAGAAGAGGGGAGGGACTTGGCTGTTGGACGATCCTGATCCAGATGAGGATGAGTACGCTTTCATTCTTCTTGTTGCTACCAAATATAGGGAGTTGTTGTCGTCCGTGGTTTTAATGATTCCTGTTGTTTTCTTCTTTCACCTTAGACATCGTGTGCCATGACACAATGATTTTCAGAAGTTGTAAAGGGTGTGTTTTCAGCAACTTGGGATCTCTCGACAGAGGAGAAACCCCAACAGTTGATTCCTTTCCTTTCTTCCCTTGCCATCGATAATTCACCCTAGAAGTATAAATTTGGTTATTATCCGGATCGGGAGGTTAAGTTAGCGAATGAATAAGAAAGGTCTCATGTTCCTTGATGTGAGGGAGGTCATTCAACTTCTGCGTTATAGTTTATATTATTTACCCACACAAAAAGCAATTCATATAAACGTTAATCAAATCCCAGATTTCCATCAGGGTTCTCAGGAATACCAATTCCTCTGGCGATTAAAATAAATAAATAAATAAATAAAAACCTTCCGCCCTCGCCGTAAACCAATCCAAACTCGGTATTCTACTACGTGTTTTACTACGGGGCACCAGAATACAACTGCACCCCATCCTTCTTGAACTCAACAATAACCTTCTGCCCAGCGGGACTAGTAATCCACTGAGCAAACTTGTTAGCTATCTCCACGTTCCTCGCCTTCGTTCCAATTAACAAGTGAGCCGGGTTCAGCAGGGGGTCGTTAGCGTCGTCACTGCCGGCTTTGAAGATGGTGACCTTGTCATGGATTTCCTTATCCACAGAGAGGTATGTGCCACGATCGGTGATGGTGTACTCCTTAAGCAGCGCAGCGGCCGTCAGGGCCTGAATGGGATATGCGATGTACTGGTGGTACCAGGTTGAGTATTTGGTTGCCCATGGGACCTTTTTTAGAGGGTTAACTCTTTTAGTAGATGTGACTTAAAGAAGCTGGACTTGATTCATTCTGTTCATTCGGATAAAAAATAAAGGAGAAGAGAGACGAGAAGCAAAAAGAAAAGAGGACAGGCCGAAGCAGGGGACAGAGACAGACTCACCTGCCCAATTGATATAAAAAGTTCCGAGTCCTTAATATTCGTCGCTGATTTATCGAATCTCGTCAGAAACCTGACGGGAGGGTCCGCAATTCCCTTCTCAGCCTCCCTAACGATGGTAGAAAACATCGCTGGGATATCCCACTCTTTCTCCAACTTCGCCGGATTGGAGGAGGGTCCCACAAGCATGAAATGGTCGCGCCAGGCATAGTAGCTTGGACTTGTAGCGATGCCCTGAGCAATGGCAATATTCTCTGCCACGGGGCTATAGGTCAGGGCAACGTCGATATCGCCTGATTTAAGGTAGTTGATGGACTCGGTGGTATCACTTTTGTACCAGGCAACTCGGAAAGGCTCGGAGCCGTCTTCGACGCAATCATGGATGAAGGCATCGGCGAGGTCTTTTAAGAGAATGAAGGGATACTGGTTAGATCGGCCATTCAACTAAAAAAAAAAAAAACAAAAAAAAATTTTGGGAAAAGGATAAAAATGATGGTTTTTCAAAGTTTAGGTCGGGGGGGCAATCATCATGTTTGTACGTTTGATGAATCCACTTTGGCCAGCACCACCATTTCCAATTCTCAAAGCAATTGTCGTATTCTCTTTAAACCCGCCATCGTACACTTGTTCGGGCTCCACGGCTTGGACCACTGTAACTGCGAAATGTAGTAGGTATGTCAGAGAGCGTGTCTTGACGAAGGAACGCATGTTATTCTTCTTGTTCTTCTTCTTCTTCTTTTTCCGTTTCCTCCTCGGGAGCTCAGAAAATAGAAGATAATCAAGCAAAAGGAGAGATAGGAGAGACAGATCAAAATCAGAGAGTAAAAGCGAACGGACGGCGACATCAAGGGAACTGGCGGTAGAGCAGGCTTATACCAGTGCTCAACCCTGGCTAACGTGCTACGGACATTTATTCCTCATCACCATGTTTAGCTCACTCGCGCGCAGCTCCTTCATTAATGAAGCTGAAAAAGAAAATATCGAGAAACGGACTATGTGAAAAAAAAAAGGGCGATCTTTTCTATTTAACGACCTATGAGCGCACTTGATGGAACAGGACCCAAAAAAAGGGCAACCATGGATCGCCTCAGAGCACAAGCAACGTGTTCGGTTAGTACACCTTAACCGCGATAAGTTTCACCGTCAAACATCGAGCTGCCATGCTCGAGAGCATTACTCGAATGACCAGGAGATTTGAGGGAATAATGATCGCAACACCGCAGAAACCTTCCCTGGCCCAGCTTTCCTCCTCCCCCACCCGCCTGGTCTACGTTGTTTATTACTGCCCTCTGTTTCGGCAAAAGGGCCAAAACCGGGAGCCCGGTGCCCCTGCTCCAGCCGGTCCGGCACGCATGTGTGTCTGTGGGACCCCCAGATGGTGCAGCGGCCGCAGATTGCCAGCCGGTCGAGGAATACCAAATCAGCCCTGTGATGTTGTCGGGACTTGAGGCCAACGCGGTGGGGGCGTTTGGATATGGTTGCTTTCAAGGACCCACCCACCGGAAGAGTTGGTTGATAGTTAGATAGTTAGATAAGAAGGACTTTGCGCCAAAGGAAAAATGAACGGCAGCCCCTTCGTGCTAAGCAGTTATAGAGAAATAGCGTCAACCTTCAACTGCTGGAGAGAAAAATAAAACGAAGTCAACATACAATAAATAAACATTTAAATAAAGGTAGAGGGGAAGATGACAGATGATCGCAGCGGGTTGATTCACTTTGTGTTTGTAAGTTCCTTAAAGCAATGCTATACAACGGTTAACTAATATCTCTATTCAAACATTCAAGGGGTTCCTTTATGTTTTCAAAGATATTGAATTTTCACCTGGGATTATAGGAACAGGTATCTTAGCGTCTATCTCTTTTAAGCATCTTTTTGAAACCCCTCTGCTGCGTCTCTGCGTTTCTCCTAACAACGCAGGCATCGCATCACATCTCACAAATGAAGGGGATCTGTCTGAAATGTTGCATGAAATATCTCGAATTCTAGTACATGTACAGAAGATTTGCAAATCAAAAAGCGGTGGATGGCAGTAGGGTAGGAAAAGGGAAAGAAAATAAAAATGGACACGAAATGAAAAAAAGATGCCCACCGACCCACTCACTCCAGCGACAAGGAAAAGCTCCCAAGCCAAACCAAGCCAAAAAAAAAAAAAAAAAAAAAAAAAATAGATTAGAAGAAAACAAATAATCTCCACTTTTAACGATAGACGCCCGACGCCGTGGCAATCTCCCCCACCGAGCTCTGCGAAAAATCCCTCACATCCCCTCCACCACTCGTCCTTCCACCACGCCTTTGATGTTGGCCGTGAGAATGATGATCCTCCCGATTGTCACCCGCGAAGAATAATTCATCACGGTCAATATTCTCAAAGGAAACATCACTCCGATTCTTCCTCAGCCCTCCCTCCTCATATTCATCGAATGCGGTCCCATACGCCAAGTCATCGTTACCGGGCGCATCCATGCGCAGATTCCGCTGCTCACGGTCAAACGCCGACATGAGCATTCCAAGCCTCTCCTTCTGTCTCAAAATATACTCCGCTTGCTCTGCTTTCGAGGCAGAGGCAATGTTATCCGGCATCAGCTTACCGCTTGCGCTCAGTTCTTCAGCTTGCACTTCTCTACTTCCCGATGCAGGTCCTGGCGCCATCGCAGCCGCGAGCAAGGAGAAGAGATCCGAAGCTGGATTGGCCAGTGAGGATGCAGCGGGGATCGAAAAGCGGGATAGAAGTGATTGTGCGAACGCGCCTGCTCCGGCTGATTGCGGGGGTGTCGGAGGAGCCACGGGTGCAATTGGAGGGAGGCCCAGGACCTTGTCGCGCACCAGGTCGACAGCTTTGTAGAAGTATTCGAGACCCACGGCTTTTGCGCTGCGGTGCGCTTGGCTGATGAATTGCTCGATCTCACGCTCGTGGTGGAAGAGGAAAGGGTCGACGTATCGTTGGTACAGCAGTTTGGCGCCTTGGGTTTGTGGGAGGACGAGGTAAGAGAGGGCGAAGAGGCGGATCCAACTGTAGAATGGGAACCTGCAGGGGTGACATGGAGGGGTATGATTTAGCAATGAATTGCGCATGCCTCTAAAGGGAAGGGTAAAATGTATATCACCGTACCATCCTACAATAAAGTAAGTCCATGATTCAGCCAGCAGGATTAGCGACATTACAACCCAGTACATAAGCCATGGCGCTAATTGGGTGGGATCGGAGGCGCGGAGGGCTTTGTAGGATGCGAAGATTGGGAATAGGATGGTGAGGACGGAGCTGTGCAGAAACGGGGAATTCTCAGTCAGCGTTGCAAATTTCAAAAGCCCCAAATTTTAATCCATCCAACCGATGAACGAATGCGAAGCAGCAGCTAACCCCGCAGAACCAGGTCATACATATGTATATATATATATATATATAATAAATATGAACGAAGGATTGTAGATCGTATCAAATCGAAGAGGATACCCACGATAGTAAATCTGCAATTACGCCGAACATTGTCAAGAAGATCGCTGGCGCCCGAAGCAGCCAAACCAACCCGGTCTAAACAAAGAGCCCAGATCTTCTTAACTAGACCAAGCTTGGGGTAGGCTGAGAGTGGAAGTTATACTCGTTGGGCGGAAGAGCTATGGGTTTGCGCTGTCTGGGAGCAGCCTGGTGCCAGGGGACCGGGGCAGAGACGATTGTGGCTGGAGAAAGCCAAAGAAACTTTCCGCTGCAAATATACAAAATGTCTAGGTATTAAATCAACAGATAACCCCTTCTCAGCCTAGTCTGGATATTAATATACAAAAATGTATGTAGCGAAGGACACAGGTGGGGGTGGGAGGACGTTTGACCTCTGGAGGTTGATTTTAAGCTTGTTGGAGATGATTCCAGTCAAGTCGTCATAAACCGGAGCTAACCCTTGGTCCTGCCTGGCCCGATCGGGTAAGCGCGGTTTTGGTCCCTGGAACCGGTCAAGAACCTTGGAAACTTTGAAAGATGCCGTGTTTATATGGCGATCTCAAAAGTCAAGGAGCCAGTATATATCATCGATGGATAAATTGCATGAGGTGGCAGAACTACGGCTCTTATATAAAGTTCATTACATGTCCAGTAGCTGGTCCCTGCTCTTTAATAGTATATACCACATTCAAAAGAGTATTAAAAGTAATAGAACAACAGCGCTATATATGTCCATTCATTCACCTCAGCTCTCCTCGGAAGACGAGACCGACTCCTCAGCATCCTCTAGACTCTGGCTCTTGCCCAGCACAGGGTCACGAAGTGCAAGGGCAAATGCAACCAACAGCACACTCAGGCATATTCCGGTAATGCAGAGGAGTCTCTGGATGCCACGGTAGACATCTACCACACCATCCCGGATTGGCGTTCCGACTGGATGGTCCCCGACAAACTTGAATGGGTTGGCGTAAATAGTGCCGGCGTCGACCTCTTCGCCAACTCGGGACTTGAGAAGGCCCGGAAGAATTTGGTTCCAGATGGTTCCCGAGATGGCGTTTCCAAGCGCGCTGCCAATGTGATAGCAGGCTAGGTATAAGCCGGTGATAACAGCCACGTCTGAAGAAGGAGGTTAGTGGATTTTGTCTAGAGGGACTTTGTTCCCCTGGCTTTAAATAGGAGAAGAAGAAAAAAAGCAAGGGCGATGCTCACGTTCGTGATTGGTTGCAGCTTGGATACTTGCTTGAGCGGGATACGAAAATAAACCAGCAGCTACAATGTGTGAAGTTAGCCACGCCAATATCTTGAGGGGCAGAAAAGACTTCGTGCTATCGGTGGCCTTACCAATTCCTAACAAAACTTGTGCGCCAATAACTCCTGAATGGTTGGCAGGACTTGTCCCGCCACGGTAGTAGATGAGAAGACCAAACGCCACGATGAAAAGAAGTGTTCCGGCAAGGATAATCGTCTTGAGTCGCCGAATTTTAAATACTATTAACCCAGCAATACAACCTGTAATGACAGACGCGAAACTGTACACAGAGGTGATACGGGTAGCGCTTTTGATGGACTCGTCGAAAGCAACGACTAACACAGTGAAGAGGAAGTCTCCCTGGAGGTACCAGGCTGTAAACACAGTATTAGCCTCCTACATCCCGTATTCGTTGATTCAATTTGTGTTGGACATACCAGTGTTTACCATCATAGCAAGTCCGAGGGCACCCCATACTGCGCGATCTTTCAGCAACTAGTTGAGAATGCAGTGCAGTCAGTGATCTGAGCAGTAAGCGTAGAGCAGATTTAGGCAAAGACTTACCCGAAGTGGAATCATAGGATGTTGGCAGGTCTTCTCCCAGAAAACGAAGACGGGAATGCAGAACACCCCAATGACCAGCGGCGCAATAACTTTGCCTGTTTGCCACTGAGGTGTCACTCCACCAGCTAGAGTAAAAGGGACGAGAAGAAGCGCGAAGACTGCAATCAAAAGAATTACGCCAATCGCATCCAATTGCCAGAATAGGGCTATTGCGAGTTGTCTGGCACCCAGCAGCTGATATGGGCTTTTGTACTCCTGGAGAGCCTCAGTCTTCTTTGCTTTTCTGTGGACTATGAATAGAGACGCGATCAAAGGTAAACAGCACACTATGGCCTATCAGTTAGTTTGTTCTGCACCTCCATATAATGTAAGTAAATCATAAATATTGGGTATTACCAGGGAAAATGATTGCCCACATTCCAATTCCTGCCCAAGTTTGGTTAGCAAAAGGCTATGTAACAAGCCATTACTCATGAAACCCAAAACGTACCCCACCGCCATGTAGTAGAAGCGAGAACAGCACTGGTGACATCGCCGCTCACCCAGGTATTGATCTGTGATCGATTAGCTGCCGACTTGGATATAGGAGGAGGGTCTAATAATTTTCGAGCATACAAGGAACGGTGTTGCGGGGATGTAGGAGAAAAGCAGACGGGATCGGAGAGATGTCGTGTCAGCGATAAAGACCTCCACCAGCAGCATGATGCCAGTATACCCAATCTTATAGAATATCGTTAGAATGAGCGATTGGAGATAATCAAATCTTGTGGAGGATCAACTTTTAAATATGCGACCTCACCTGATAAAATATGGCGCCGGTGCAAAATGACTGCACGTTTACTGCGAACGTCTCGATAATCGTGCCTGCAGAAATCGTGAGCTACATCCATAGTGGTAGAGGAGACCTTTTCCTCGTGAGTAATGGCATACCGATGACATAGAATGCAATCGTTATAAAGATAACCTCCGTACGACCAAACACATCTGCGATTTTTGCGATTGTTGGCTACAAAACAAAAATTGCCCGTCAGTATAATCACGGCGAAGATCGAGGGAGTCTGCATAAAAATAAAATACACATACCTGAGCAGCAGCGCCAATAACCCCACGCAGAACACCCACTGTTGCCAACAGGCTGTGTTGAGAATATGATGCAACAGCGAGCGGCTTTCGGTCGTAGTCAGCACTGGAATTTTGACAGATGCTACAAGCTGAAAGCTTACCTGAAAAGAGAGTCGAATTGCGCCGTCTAATCCATAAGCGTAGGCGACAATGAATATTCCCAAAAAGAACAGAATGCGAGTCGACAGAGTGAAATGGCCGGAGATAATCTTGATGCGGGAAACTCCAGGACTTGTCTCTCCCAAGATCGCTAGCGACTGATCTTGGTTTCGTCGATCCCCGTTAGATGCATCGTCCACTTTCTGCTCCTCAAGCTCAATCGGTTGCAGAGGAGCAGCTTTCCTCTTTGCCTCTTCCATAACTCAGGTGAGGATGAATACAAACCCACGGGACAACAACACAGAGTAATTAAAAATTAATGCGACAAAGACAGATTCCAACGGACAGGATGAACTGGGCGGGTTTGACCGAGTGTAAACAGGAGACTCAATCTTCTCAGCAAAGAAGAAAGGCAACCACGGTCGTCGACTCGGGCGAAGGCTTTTTCTCCTTTTGACAAGCTCCTACAGCCCAGGGAAAGAGCAGGTAAAAAGAGAAGAAAAAGAGAAGAAAAAGAGAAGACAAGGGATTATTAGTATTAAGGAATAAGCAGTTGACGATATTATCTTTTGTAAATGCGTGGGAAGAGTTATACAGTCTCCGTTTATTATCAAATCCATGCGATTCCAGGACTATATAATTGAGAGATATCTTTCTTTCGTGTTTGTCTGATGGGACTCTGCAAGGTTGTTGTGATCAGTTAAGAGATCGATAGAACGTAGCCAACTAGATGCGCTCATGAACTAACGTCAAAATTAGCATCTAGTAAGCCCATGGTCGGAGTTCCGCCGCGCTGTGACAATTTGTGGTACTGCTCCTAATATAATGGATTTGAGTTATCATGCCCGGCAATTTGCCTGAGCTAGCCTCGTTTGAGCAGCATGTAATTATATATATATTTTTTAATACCACGGTTATTTCTGCCGAATGGGGAACGATCGACTGGGAGCAGCGAAGCAAGGGATTCACGGAAAGAAACCTTTTCAAAAAGAGAAAGAAGTGGTCTGATTTCTTCAGTGTATCCACTCCGCAAAGACACAGAGGAAGGACTGGCCTCGAGGATATTTGATAACGGGTCCCCTCACGCGTGCGTCGTCTGTCGGGGACTGGAAGCGATCGATGGAACATCTTGAGTCTTGGCTTGATAGCCTGGAGTATATTCATTATGGGACCTTTTTTTTTTTTTTTTTTGGTGGAGTGATTGAATGTTTATGGAGTGAGCCCTGAACATCAGCATTGCAACCTTGGAAACTCTTCAAGATGAATATCATCTATGATCTCTGTGACTTCCATCGCCCGCGAGAATGAAGAAAATTTGCGTCGAGGTTGTTCCACTGCCACGATCTGAATATCATGTGATCGTCGATTCCCCCTATATCTTTTTCTAACCTCCTTCAGTATTAAACCTATTCAAATCCGTCGATCTTTCGAATTGTTGATGAGGGCAATAAGTTAATAGGTGTCCAGCAACGATCCTCTGCTCCAGGAAGCAGAATCTCAGCAAACCAAATTGCTTTGCGAGCAGCCAGCTAGCCTCTTCTGTAGCCAGATAACTTAGTTACCCGGGGACACTTGGACCTCATGCAGTGTGAGCGTAGCATCAAAACTCCAGCCGCATCCAGATAATGATTCTCGTCACCAGATTCGAAAGGGAGACAGGTTATCCGAAGGCTTGCCTTGAAACACTTTGACATATTCTTCACACTAGAGCCAAAGCACAAGCTGCGGTAACAATTCAGCGGTTAAGCAGCAAATTTTTTGGCCCTTCAGCCTTGAAACAGCGCCTGTGAGAGGTGCACAACATCTTTCCTGCATGACGAGAATGTCATGAACACCATCTTCTGCGGGACTAATAAAAAAAATCGAAATAGCATCTCCACATCAAAGTGGCCTGGATAAGTCGAACGTCTGACTCTGACGTCAATCTCATACGTATTCTCTCTCGATGGCACCCGGTGTGTGGAAACCTTCCTTCCAGTGTCAAATGAATCGAGACGCTCTCCCTAAGATCATGACACTACAATTGCTCTGAGGTGGGCATCTACCCGTTATGGTACGGTGGTGCCTTGGACTGATAGCCCCTGAGATTCCATCTTGGCCTTGCTGTTTACCAACAAAATCCAACCATGAAAAGAGCGCTAGATAAAACAAATGGAATTTTGAACTTGAGAAGGTGATATATGTTCGCTCACCATGCAGCTATTGTGCTTTGCAAAAAAACCAAGCGGAAAACGTGATTTTTCAGCCACGCCAGAAAAGCTCACATATTTATTCAGCCGCAACATTGATTTTATCACCAACGTATCCGTCATTTTGTGTGTCCAGAACATGGTGTGTGTGAAACCCGTGGAATTCGTTCATGTATTTGTGTCTTTTCCATCGCTCCCAAGATCAGTATGCCTGACTATTGAATCTCCCGCACTTAAAACATATTTTCCGCGAAACAAATCGTAAGCAGTTAATATATATATATTATTTAAAATTGATTTCCAGGGCTTCTGGAAGATAGAACTAGTCTGTATGTCATTTGTGGTATTTGTGCGCCCGACGCTGCGTACGTAGGGTAAGGTTTTGCGTGCAACTGACGAACGGCACACACCACCCAGGTGTCATAGCTACATGGCTTCTCACCTTTGAAAATCAATATTCGATTGATTTGACATGTTCCCACATTCACTGCCACTAAGGACCTTTCTGAGAAGGCCTCGTTGCTCTGAGGTCAACTGGTATGAAGAATGGTGGTATTGTCACAAGTGTTAGAGTTTGCTTTAAGAATGTTGAATAGGACTTTGTGTAAAATACCTACCTTCATTACGAAGTAATAGTATGGTATGTTTAGAATACCAACAAACTGCAGAGCTATATATAGCAATACATAGCTCTGTATTCGCTTTGATCTGAGTGGTTGTTGGATGCGACATTGGTGCATTAGAGCAACCTTCGCAAATGGCTTTTTTGGCTGCTGCTGTTGTTGTCAGCAAGGCGACAAAGCCCATGGAGGCATCGTAGAAGATGTATTTGTTTGGCTCGGGCTCGGCACAAGCATCACCACCAAACCTCCGCCATTCCCTAAATATTCAACATCCGTACGGAGTACAGGTAGACAAAACTGTGTTGTGCTCAAGAAAACGTGATTTGACTCCTGCTTAAGCTTCTAGATATTGATACTAAGGCAGCTGTCCTATATAAATGTCTCTTTAGCATCCCACTGCCACATCGACTGTTATTTGCACATTCTCTTTCTTCATCGTCGGAAGTTCCACCAAAGTCAAGACCACGCCACTATTCAACCTTGACAACCTCACCCCACTCGTCCCGCTGCTGTAACTTAACTGCGCTGTACCGGGCTTTCTTGGAGGACGTGTTTTACAGCGCATACGTCCCGCCAGTTTTGTTTCAAGTTGTTCCAATCCCCTAGCCGGGCTTAGCCTCCGGTATAGATATATAACCGGGCTTAGCTCCCCTTTTCCACACTCAACAACTAACTAAATGAGAAGTGGCTGTCTGGGAACTTGATATCAAAGTCCAAGTGCTAGAATACGTCAGCTTTGCATGTTCACAGCAGAATATTTATATCTCTAAACCGCTTAGAAAAAAGGACCAAAAGAATCAATAAAATACCCCCCAAGCTTTGGTTTACGGAAGACTCTTTCATATTTCGACGAAGATACCCAGCAAGGCATCTTGCTCAAACAGCTCCAACAATGTGCATAGCTCTGATTTCAACCGCCCACCCTTCCTACCCCCTTATACTAATCGATAACCGAGATGTATGTATATTATCCATTCTAACGGAGGATCCCAAATACAATCCCCCCCAATTACTCCTCGTAACTTCCATTGCATCTTAACAACAAGCCAGGAATTCCTCCACCGCCCAACAGCCCCCGCCGACTGGTGGCCCGAGGACAAATCTCACGTGCTCGCCTCGCGTGACTTAGCACGAGCAGTCCACGGCACCTGGCTAGGCGTCACAAAGCAAGGTCGCATCGCCGTGCTGACAAACTATCGCGACGACACATACAGCCAGATAGTAGGTGTCCGCAGCAGAGGCTCTATCGTCAATTCATACCTCGAGCTACCTCCAGACAGCAAAGTCAGCGCCAAGGAGTATGCCGAGGGTCTTGTTTCGGGCGGTGAAGCGCATCTGGCGGGTGGCTTCAGTCTTGCCTGCGGGACTGTGCGCGGGCCGCTAGCTGTCGTTTCCAACCGAGTTTCCGCAGCAGATGGCATTGAGTGGATTGCGAAGGAGAAGGGACAGACAATTGGGTTGAGCAATACTGCCTTTGGAGACCGCTCGTGGCCAAAGATTGTGGACGGCGAAAGGCTTATGAAAGAGGCTCTTGATATCTCTGTGAAGCTAGAGGAGAGTGAGGAAGCGCTTATTGACCGGCTGCTGGCGGTGCTGAGCAGGGATACATTGCCGAGACTGCACGAGGGCGGGAATTTGGAAACGTATATCAATCTGTTGCGGGAGAGCATATTTATCCCTGTTATTGGGGATGATAGCGAGATTGAACACACTGTCGATGAGGTGTGTACGTCGAAGTTGCATGAGAAGGTTGACTTGGTGGCCAACGGTCCGCAGGATCACCATGCGTATATGAAGGGTTTGTATGGGACGCAGACTCAAACAATTGTTCTGGTGCATGAGTCTGGCCGGGTGAAGTATTTTGAGCGGACGTTGTATAATCATCGGGCGGAGCAGATCCCCATTGGAAAGGGAGATAGAGCATATGAGTTTGTTGTTGAGGAATAACGACTGGGCTATTAATCGAAGTGTCTAGAGAAAAAGAATGTCCAGCTATTTAATGGGTTGATTGTAATAAGTTCTCTGCGGAAATTTTCTTGCATGGGATTTTGATTTTATTTTGGTGCTTTGGGAACATATGCTTTGGAATCGCCAGTTCTGCAGAGCCCTGGCAAAGGTATGAGAAAGAAATTCTCCCTATTCTTCCATATGATCAACCGCAGGCTAATCTTCTATCACGCAGATCCGCTAATAATAATCCCCCTGCTCCAATACAGCACAAACTTCCGCATCCCCAAAGCCTAAACACCAGTTGTCAAAGATAGCAGCGCATTTGAATTGTCGCCAGCTGATACATTTTGCATTTCCGAATCCAGCAAGCGATCTTTTCTACGGGATATCCATCTACAAGCATGAAAATGCACCCTACAACCATGTAATGTACATTTTATATCACGCAACAAGAAATTTCCTGTTCATTCTATTCTCTAGTTGGATAGGCAGATAAAATGCCTAGCATCCGTTATCCATCGTTCCATCGTTTTCGTACGATTATTCATCACCTCTACGCCAGATGGCGGAATGTACTAAGAGAAGGTTCACGACGGTTTCGCGATACCGCTTACATTATTCTATTTAGTTACTATCCTTCTCAGATTAGTCTTTATTTTAAAGTATAAACAGTTGCCACATGATGTCTATCCGTTAACTTTTCCTTCAATAGCTTTCATATCTCCACTCTCTGCCTCCTATGCCTCTCGATTTGTCATATTTGATGATACCTTTTTGCAAACTTAGCTGTTTGGCTTTTCATTTTGGTCATTACTCCCATTTATTCATTGGTTTGAGGGGCAGATGTATACAGATATTGGAAATGCAGTTTACAGATAATAATAAGGAAAGTGAATGGCGAAATTAGTGGTGACTATCTATTCATATTTGCGTATATTTGTCAATAGCATTAACGGACGTAAGAATTTTATATCTTCATTGTGAGGAATCGAGTGACTGTATATAGACATCTATAATTATTGCATCGCAATAACTGCTGGAAGCAGAATCTATTATCAAGAACAATGAGGGGGCTTTAGCAATCAAGACACCGTTTAGGTATCCAGGTAATGCAGTCAGCACATCTCAATCCTCTTATCAAAAGATCTCAGCCCCCCCCCCGGTCAAATCTTCCTCTTAACCAACCCCCGAAAGAAATCAAAACTATTACTATCACTCTGCAACTCCCACCTCTTTCCCGTTGGCTGATCCTCCCACCCCAACTCCTCCGCCACGAGTAATCCATAATCGCTCGTAATCCCCTTGATGCGTGCACGCACCGCATCCTCCGCTTCCAGCGTCACGATCTGATCCATATGCAGCCAGTCGGCATAGTACATGTCGAGGAAATGCTGGTCAAAGCCCGTGCGCAGGAAGCGGATGTAGAGCGATTCGAACTTGGTGAGGATGCTGGCGAGGAGTCTTTCGAGAGATAGAGGGGGGAGGGGCTTGTTGCCATTTTTGGAGGTTTGGGAGGATAGGAGGGAGTTGAGTGAGGTGGTTGGGGAAGTGTTTAGGGCGTTTAAGCCGATGCCGACGACGGCGATGTATTGTGCAGAGGAGTAGTGGGCGTTTACGAGGATGCCGGCTACTTTTGTGTAGGACTTGTTGTCTGGTTGGGTGGGGTCCAGGGCGTCTAATTAGGAGTAATTAGGAGAGAATTGATTTGAAAGTAGTGAGGAGAGATACAGAGGTGAGGGGGTATATTTACAGATATCGTTGGGCCATTTTAGCTTTACTGGCATGTTTTCGTATCCTTTATCGTACCTTTTGATACCCTGGATGATAGCAATGGCGGCAATGTATTGTATAAATACCACGGGAGCGCGGTTCATGTTCTCGACTGAGTGCTTTATGACAGTTGAAAACATCAGTTGGCCAGACGGGGACACCCAGACGTTGGATCCGCGGCCTCGCCCAGCCAATTGGACGGTAGCAGTAGCTACAAATCCCTGTGGGAGTCTTCGTAGTAGTTGCGTATTCCTAGATTTATTTAAGCTTCTGGTATTGGGAGGAGAGGGAGAGGAAAGGGGAAAGGGGAGACCGTGAGATAGTCAAATTCGTACTTCTCTAGAAGGGTGTTTGTGCTGGTGACAACCTCTCCATACAATATATTGGAGCCAAATTCATGAATACCATCTTTAGACTGTGCACGATACTCTTTGAGATTAGCGTAAAATGCATGGTGATTGAAAGAAGGGGTAGCTTTGGATGAAGGAGTGTCGTCGTGGACGACTATTTCTTTAATAACGGAATTATAATCGACATCTCTGTCAGGATCGCCTTCCTGACCATTTTTCTCTTCGGTAACTTTAGGGAGTGATTCAGCTACTTCCTTCATCCCCATGAAAGAAGGTTCCTCCAGGTGAAATGTATCAACGTCATCCTTGATATACTCCTTTCCATCAGTCACTGTAATAATATCCCGTAGTTTTGATATCAAACCAACAGCCCCCTGAGGATCCACAGAGGAAAGATGCAGACGTGATAGCGATGGCACCGTAGACGAGTCTTGGTTAACCCGAAGACCTAGCTTCGTTAGACAAGCCTTCAAGAAATTCACCCTTGATTGATCATCTGCAGCCAACGTATCCACGACATTCCCATAACCTGGTCCATCGGCATTTCTGTCAAGATTCGACGCAGCAAATCTGGGCTTCGTCAGCTCCCAGCTATCAACAGGCTTTGCGGGAAATACGAACTCTGGATGAGGTCCGGTCAGTATTGCTGCGCCCTCGCCCACCTTACAATAGACTACTGCAGCAGCACCCTCTCCGGAATCCACTTTGAGCTTTTCCGTGTAACTCGCAAGAACTGCGACACCTCTGTCTGCATACTTGGGCGCATCAACGAAGACACCCCCACCATTGTGATATGACCTGAAAATCTCAGACACGGATCCAAAAGCCAACGAAGACTTGGATACCTTGAGCTCAGCAGCTCGAGCGCCATTTTCGCTATCGTAGACAAACCCCGGAAAAACGCATCCGCGACATATGCCAGGGTAAAAGGCCAACTCCCTCTCACCAATAACCTCTAGTTTCTTGTTCCCGACCTCAAACTCACATCGTTTGCTGGCATAATAACCCCCCGCGCAGAGGCCCAGGTATGCACCGCCCCGCTGGACGAATTGGCAGATTCTCCTGTTCCCTTCTCCGTTTAGAGTCCTGCAATATGGTAGGTCAGCGCCACCAGGAATAACCAGCAGGGCGCATGAAGCAGTCCAAGGCTCGCTTATGATCATGTCTCCTGTGACGGGGATCACGGCGTAGTTTGCAGCCAGGAGCTGGCGCAGGGAGTATAGACAGTGGCGGACGGCGTCGATGGTGGTTCCATTTCCTGGGGCAGGGGGGGTCAGAACATTGCCTTTCCAATCAGAATAAGTTTGCGCACCGGAGTAGACCAGGACGTTCAGCTTTTTGGAGAGGAGGTTGGGGTTGGTGGTGGTCATTTTATTTATTTAATTTTTAATTTTTTTTAAATTTTTTTGTAGTTGGTTAAGTAGCTATTCAGCTGCTGGGTCCTTTTGAGTGGGGGGATAAACAAATAACTATTGTCCTGATCCTCCGAGGTACTTCAACACCACTCTTCCAACCACGAATATAAATTACGCGCTTCCTCACAATGTCCAAAGCAGAGGACAAGCCGCTGGTAACGCAGGCCGTGGATGATGACGAACCGGATGAATGGTATGGATTCTTCTTCTCTATCTTTCCCCGGTCAGGGATCTCGGCTCTTTGCCTGGTAGACTGACTCTCTTGACCAGGGATAAACGGATCTTCAGCACCGGATGCGCAGGTATTTAAGATGAACCCTTGTAGCAAAGAGATAGAGAGAAACTCTAACGGGATGCCATTTCGGGCGGGTTGAATAGCGGAGCAGCTGAAGGTGAACGATTGTTACTTTGAAAAGAAAGACTGGCGAGCGTGCAAGAAAGAAGTAAGTGAGATGGGGGATGATGAGGCTGGGGCTGTTCATTTGAATATTCAAATATTTATTTACAACCAAGGACATCCAAACCGCACAGACAATTGACCTCAGCCCTTCGTAGAGCCTGTCACAGCCTATCGCAGCATCCTACATGTCGCAGCTAGATATTCATATGCTGACTCTGGCTGTTCTATTTCTCTGCAGATGGAGGCATTTCGCGAGTGCTGGAAACGCCACGGCAATGAACAGCGGACGGAATCAAAGGACGCTTCATAAAACATTTGGCCAGGAATCAGATCAAAGGTGTAATTCTACTGCGAGACACTCCCCTCCGATGCATGTATAAACATTAATTTAATTATTCAATTTTTTTCCTATCTTTTTATCCATAGGAAGTCTTCATGTCACATGATCTGACTTCGGACGCCAAAGAGAAATTTTTGCAGAAATTATAAATATCCGCGGATTGATCTAAAATACACTGACCACATTCAACATTATCACAGTATCAAGAGTCCAACCATTTGATAATTAGGCTGACCCCTGGCTAGCATTTAGCCAGTCAGATTACCCCGTATAATGGCATCTCGTGCTCTGCGCAGAGTTAATTGGACTACAGAGCTGCTCCAACTCCACCGAACACAGCTTTCCCATATCCCATTCCGCTCCATCATCAGCTCACCCACCTACCGCCAGTCACAAAACGCAACAGCTAGAGCATCTACAGCCTCGAAGCCGTATCGAACCTCCACTAGTTCTTCTAAACCGCTCTCCTCCAACTCTACCTCGAATTCTACCTCCAACTCCAACTCCACGTCGACCACGCCCGAGTCAAAACCCGCCCCAACCGCAGCCAACGTTCAGAACATCAGCAAGTCTGGGCTAGCTGATGATCTTGAAGATATCGATATCTCAGGTGTTAACAATAACAATAATAACCATATCGACTGGACGCGCTCTTTTCACGGTCTCAGCGCTGAGCCCTTCTCAAAGGAAGCCGCTGAAGTCCTCACCCAAGAGATAAACCCGGATGACGTTGAGATAAAACCGGATGGCATCGTTTATTTACCCGAAATAAAATATAGACGCATACTTAATAAAGCATTTGGACCCGGTGGTTGGGGCCTTGCGCCGCGGAGTGAGAGTATTGTCACAGCTAAGACGGTGACGAGGGAGTATGCGCTTGTTGCGCATGGCCGGTTCGTAGAACCCCTTATTTCCCCCTCACTTTCTCCCTCCTTTCTATCCTACAATGGAATATATGCAACTATATAAAGCTAATGAACTTAAACAGCCTTGTCTCCGTCGCCCGCGGTGAACAGGACTATTTCTCCCCCGACGGCATACCGACCGCGACTGAAGGCTGCAAATCCAATGCCATGATGAGATGTTGTAAAGATCTAGGCGTGGCCAGCGAGCTATGGGACCCGCGCTGGATCCGCCAGTTTAGAGCCAAGTATACCCGTGAAGCGTTCGTGGAGCATGTGACGACGAAGCGCAAGACGAAGATTTGGCTTAGGAAAGGTGACCCTGTGTCGTATCCATGGAAAGAGACCAAGTGAGATGGGGTGTGATTAATGTGATATAGGTGATATATGTGTGGATTGAACGGGGAGAAATCCAATTTTCTGTGCTTGGGATTTGCATGGGTGGAAATGGGGAGGGGGAGGGAGGGGAGTCTTAAAAAGGCCCCTGGATGTGTCTAGTTGTCTTCGATGCCCTCTGGGCAGAAGAAATACCGGAATCCGAATTAATCCCACAGATTGGTCGCTGTTCCAGAAAGGGGCATCTCCGTTCCCATTCCTTTAGCAAAGAAACTCATCCCCAGTCTTATCCCCCCATTTCTACTTACACTCCTCCCTCATGTTAGTGGCTTGAAAAACTGACTCAATCAATGTGCCTTCGCCGCTATCCTGCTTTTTTTCCTTTCTTTTTTTTTAAATTTTATTTTATTCTTTTCTTTCAAATGAGCAATACCTTATACCCTGCTTGTTCACAACATCAAGACATTTTCAACAATCTGCATGGCACATATCCCGTCATTATCTCTTATTATTCATTACCCTATTATGTCTACCTCTTCATTGATTGGTTGACTTGTATGTGTCTGGAATGGGCTGGCTCTCTTAACCATTGCCCTCCTCATTTCTCTCGTTCTCTCTTGTAATAAGCATCGACTTGTACGTTGAATAAGTAGTTACATAGGTGTCCTGTAGGTCTCTTATATGATAGATAGTTTAATTGGCATCTGGAATACATCCACGTAGCTTTTGCAGGTTTGTTATCACAAGATAACTCCTGTTAGCACATACACATAGGTATAAATCGTGGTCTTGAAAGGCCGAGTTGACAAATCAAAAAATATCAATATAATTATACATCTATCTCAGGTGAGGAGAGGATAAAAGGAAATCAGACACATCAAACTCTTAACTGCATTCTCAAAGTAAATGAATGATATATTCTTACTCTCTCTCAAAAAAAAAAAAGAAAAAAGAAAAAAAAGAAAAAAAGAAGAAAAAAATAGAAAGAATAGGGAAGAAAAGAAAATGAAAAAAGAAGCAAAGAAGTGAGCAAGCAGATAGTCCAGCAGCTGCTGCATGTAGATAAATGGTGGCAGCATGTGAAGAACGACCTGCCATAAAAATATATCCAAACTCTGTAAATCTATCAGCCATCATCCCCTTCAGAAATCTAAAAAAATCGGACCACCTCAGATCTCAGTTCTAAATGCAAAATTAAGACAGGAAAATACAAAGAAAACTATCTTTCCCCTTCTAAATGTCTTCAAAGATTTCTTTTCCCCGTTTCATTTCGTTCATAAATCATCTTGGCTGCTGGTGCTGTGATGATGAAAAAAAACGCTTTTCCCCCCGGCGCCAGCCGTTCCCCAGATGGTGCTTGCGTCTGCAGCCTGGGGTCCACACTGGCATTCGCAGGCGGAGCACCACCGTCGCTAACATACCCAACAGCCGAATGTGGCAAGCGAGGTGATGAAATCATCAGTGATTGGCGGGGTGCAAATGAATATTGGTATTGGTGGGGTTAACAGGGGGATAATACGGGTTTTCATCTTCAGGAGAGCTGTTGAATGGTGTTGAGAATTCGTAGTAGTCTGCCGCTGGATTTGGGTTACGTTGGATGGATTGTAGTGGGACGGAGCCTGCCGGTGTTGCAGATGATGGGGGGGATTGTGGTGGTTGTGGGAATTCGTCGATGGGGGTATTGGACGATAAAAACCTGGCAGGTGTGCCGGAGCTTGCACCTCCTGTTCGCCGACCGGTGGAGATTACGCGTTGGATGGATGAGTTTACGTTCTGTTTCGGTGAGCCAGCACCGCCTTTACTTCCAACTTTTACGCTTGGATGGTTAATAGGAGAAGTGGTGAAATCTTCACGGAAAATCTCAGATTCGTCAACGCGTGCCTGGTCCATGGCTGGAGGGCGAGAGTTCAGCGCTTGGGCTAGAGATGATTCCGTGTGTTGCGGGGATGAGTTTGAGGCACCGCGGTAGACAGTCGTGCCGCCTGGGGTCTTGGCCTGAACAGCCGAGGATTTGCCCTGGGAATCGCCCAAGTTGTCGTTGACGTGCGCCCTTAAATATTCATCCACCTCATCAGTTGGAACCAGCCGTTTCCCTTCCTTTTGCGTTGCCCACTCCTCCTTGCTCGCTTCGGCGTGCTCGGGGGATATCGAGACGGAATACGACGGTCTTCCAATGTCACCCAGCGCCGCGTCTCCGCCACCAGGTCCATAGATGGGAATTTTGCGAACGGCAAGGACCAAAGCGCACATGAATTTCGACCGACGGGAAGCTCGAACAGTTTCATTTGACCAGTTGGATTTGTGGCGGATTTCTACCCTCAGCTGCAGCTTGTCCATCTCGCCAAGGCCAATAACTTCAATGTCAATGTCTGGTTGGAAATCGCGGCTGTTTTCCTTGTCACGGACAAATTTTAGCATCTCAGCTTTCAGTAGTTGGATATCACCGAATGAGGTAGCAAAGTCTACAGTCAGGGTGATCTGCTCGCGCATGGCCTTTGAGCGAGTGACGTTCTCAATCCATTGTGTATTGAGAATTATGTTTGGCGCTTGGAAAGTCTTCTGATCTCGAACGCCCCGAAACACTGTGTAGAGGAGAGAAATCTGTTCCACGACCAGCTGACGGTCTCCAATGTCGACTCTATCTCCTACGTCCATTGCGTGCTTAACGAAGAGAAATATCGTGCTTCCAAGAACCTCTTGGGCGGTTGTAGCAAAGACAAACGACATAGAGAGAAGAGCAGTCGCACCCGCAGCGAGAGTGGTGCCGAAACCGCTATTGAGAAAAGCAACTATAAAGCAATGTTAGTACAACCGTTATATGTGCAAGAGAACAAAGAAAAGAGCCTAGGAAGAACATACCAAAAACTAAGACCACTATGATAAACACAATAGTGCATAGGACGTTGTCGAGTACGTGGATAGCCTGATCGACATCATGCATACTGTGGTTGATTGATTTCTTGACCCTACCAAACTCAGTAACGGTGAGAATCATCTCCTCGAGACTGACATCGCCGTTATCATCTCTGTCAAGTGCAGCGAAGCACTCTTTCGCCTCTTCCTCCCGACCCGCACCGAGAACCTCAATAATATCCTCTTGATAAAGAGACTCTCGACCCTGAAGAACAAAGGACATCCACAGGCGACGAGCAAGTGCCTCAGAGGATTTACGCTTCTCAAGGGCCAGGGTGACAATAGAGTGAGCAGCGGTTGGATTAAAGACCTGTTTCCCCGTTATCTCTTGGGCAACATTGCCAAAAGCAGCGGTGATCTTGTCCCCGACTCGTCCCACGCCATGAATCAAGCGCATTGGGGATGCAGAACCAACCCGCTTGTGGCTTTTACCAATCTTTGCGATGGGGTCGTTAATTACAAAATCTTCCTCTTCGAACTCCGGGCAATATTCAGGGAAGAGCGTGCGCGACGCCTCATAAAGCATACTAAGGAGTTGTATGTTGTGCTTAGACTCCTTGATCCTCATCTCGAATTGTCTTCGGTGGTACGTGATGGATATCAGTTGGATCAGAAGTTTCTCAACGGCAAGGATCAAAGTCGAGATAAATGCAGCAAACAGAATATTCTTGACTACATTTTGCCAAGGTTTAATGCCCGTATCATTGGAAGCACGTTCGTCTGGGTTTCGTGTCATCAGCTGTTGTAGTCAGTGTCTCTGCACAGATAAATATATACATATATATATCAATACGTCCTTTCACTCCACAAGTGCTTACGGTTGGTGAGAGGTTCAGGAAAGACATACCGGGATAAAAGTTGCCAGCGAGGTCATAGACCAACCAATGAGAGAAATAGGGATCTCCAAAGCCCTCAAGATCAGCGCATATTTTCTGGTTCCTGAGCTAACAATGCCGCACAGAAACTGGAACACAAAAGGGATGTAATGTGCCACACTCTTGGAAACCCATAAACTCAACCAGACCACCTCAACCCAGGTGAAGAACCAAACAATTCGAACTCCGCCGATTTCTGCACCTCGAGCAATGGTAGCTCCTACAACAATGGGAATCGCAATGAGCAAGGCCAGGGGCGAAACATAGATAAAGTACCTGGTAATAACAGAGAAATTCAAGATAGCAGTATAGAATTTCCCCATGCGAGTGATGGTGCCATCCTCAGCGGACTCGAGGTGTCTGTTGTCCCTATTTAGCATCCTGTGTCCGCCTTGCTTATGATGGAAAAAACCGTTTTTCTCGTTGGTAGTATCACCTGGAAGATCTGAGGGCGGGACGTAGGAGGACGAGGAAGAAGAAGGGACATTGGTTTCTCCCTTTCGGGCGCCGGTTTGGCCTCGACTCGAAACAGTGGTCAACGGTATGTCAACTGTGGCATCGTGGGAATTGGTTGTTGTATTTTGGTTGTTACTGTCGGTCCCCAATCGCAAGAACCTATCGCGGGAGAAGCGTTTTTTCCCAATGCCAGGCCTGCCCATTGTGAGAGAGGTCAAGCAGAAGAAAATCTGCCAAGGAAGAAATAAATCGAATTATAATAACCTTAGCTCGTGTTCAAGCCCAAATCACACGCTAAAACCACAGGTGCTAACAGGTACCACCAGCACAGCAGCAGGTCAAAAGCAGGGGGGAATAAAACAGAGAGGCAGCCTGATCTGCAGGTGGATGTCGCAGATCCGATGGAGAGTCGTGGTCACCAAGCAGGTAACGAATGTGGATGGATGTTGAACCTTGGTAGTCGGCCAGTTATTTATGGATGAGACAATCAATTCACTGACGAGGAATGTATGTTTTTGGCATTAGCAACGAAAGTGGTCTTAAAGAGTGAGCAGCCTATGACGTTTAAAATACGTGAAAGAAGGATACGTTATATAAATGAGAGTCGGGAAGAGCAGGAATCGGAATGAAGAGACGAAGAATAGTGGATACATGAGATTACATCAAATAAAAGAGAGAGAGAGATGAGTGGATGGGGGATTCTGGGGAAAGGAATTCCAGGAAACGTCACTTTCGCTCCATAAGTTTCCAAAAAAAGATCATGAGGAAGAATGGAACTGAGAGATTATCGGGAGACACCTTTAAAAAAAAAAAAAAAAAAAAAAAAAAAGAGGTAAAATAAATAACTAGTTAAATAAATAAATTATTATCATGAAGCTATCAGGGAATTTGATGCAGGAATCGGAAGCAAGACTGAGAAGTTCGAACCGCGAGACTCCACTTAACTTCACACATTGGCAATGGGCATCCGGCGCATCAGAACAACTGAGAATAGGCGCAATCTTACAGGCTATCTGTTTGCGTTTTGGGCTGTTTCAGGCTTACGGCTTTAACTGGAGCTGGTTAAAACCTTAACTAGAAGAACGCCTTCATTCTTAGCGTTGCGCCCAGTCTGGAGGTCTAGCCGAACGCCTTCTCCCTGACGCTTGAGGCTTGAGGCTTGCTGGGTTGTGGCAAAATAAGTGTCGTCTTCTCCACGATCCCTGATTTGTGTCTCCTTGCGGGGGGCCTCCTTATGGGGTGGGGGACTCCTTGTGGCGTGGGGCTTGAGTGGAAGGGGAAAAACCCTGTAAATTAGGTCAGAGACATCGAGTGGGTGATCTGAGTGTTGTCCGCAGATTGGCTTTTTTGCGTTCGGTTTTGCCTGTTCCAAAATACCGTCCCATGAATTAGTTATTTCCAACCCAGCCAGCCCAAGGCTTTTACACAAAACACATGCAGTTGTTGTTTTTTTATTCTCATCTCAAAACAAGAAAATCAATTATTTCATTCCATCCAGGCCTCTTCAGCATCCACATATCCCTTTTGCCACCTTCCTTGCGCAAGCCCACTTGATCTCAGCGCCGGCAACTCGGGATTCCCGTTTTCACTAGCTGCCATTGGCTGCACTCAAAAAGTTTGCCCGTCGTTTCATGGGGACGTTGTTGAGCGGCCCATGGGACCCGAGACCGCTTCCTTTCTCTATTGATCCTAAAAATGGCATAAGCCCACACGCGTCTATTTAAATTTTTCCAAACCGTTTTTGCACCTTCGTCATCTGTGTGGTCAGTGGGCCGGAAAGCAACCTCTTAGATTAAATGTGAAATGGATCCAGGGAGTATCATTGCACCTCACTTTCATCGGCACTTCTGCGAGATGACTAAAACGGAGTGTATAGTTAACTAGTTATCTGTTAAGCTACCTGCAAAAAGGCCCCAATGCCCTCCCTGATAGTCTATACTGGAACCAAGGACGAGCACAATTTCCATAGGGGTCACCTGACATCCTTAACAATATACACGTAGGTATTGGAGCATTATTGCATACCGAGCCATTGCCACGCATCCCCACATCATCGATTGACCGATGTAGAGATATGGTATTTGCTGTCTCCACCTTTTGTGCCTTGGAATGAGTTATTTATCGAGGCGGATTGTCTTAGGAACATGTGCGTTATGATTGCGCAACATGGACATCTAAAAATGGAGACGGAAAAGCATGTCTACGGATTGTATCTGCTCCAGCTATGGATTGATATTCTTATTCCCAATGTTTCCCCAACTTAACTAAAATCCCTTAAGGTCATTAATCAGTTACCTCATGGGGTATTTAATGAAATGAAGGGTTCACAATATATATATATATATATATATATATAGTTTTGTGCAACTGTCACGTTTATTCACAAACATCGGCCTCTTGGAGTTATTGTAACCCTAACATTCCGCCTTTCAACATTGCTAGACAAATATATATACTTCTCTTCGTCAATAAGGTACTCCTCTGGCACAATATCATACCTACCCATCAAACACATAGACATAACCAGGATACATTCCTGAGCAAACCAGCGCCCAGGACACGTATGTGGGCCCTTCAAACCCCAACTGATAAACCTGGGGCTACCAATGTCGGGATCTGACCGCAAAAAGCGGTTCGAGACCCATTTAGCTGCGTCCGGTCCATAGACTGCTGGCGATCGATGAGTATAGTATGCGGAGAGCGTCGCGACTTGGCCCTGGGGTAATTTCTGCGGTTTAACTGTGGGCGCCGGCTCTGACTCTGACTCTGTCTCCTGAGGTGAAGTCTTGTATGGCATGGATGAAGGCAGTTGCGCATCTTTCAAAATGAAGCGGGCAGGCCCCGTTATCGGTCCGGAGAGGCGAATGGACTCGAACATAGCTGCACGCAGCGGGGTCCATGGATTCGTTGGATCGGGTCTGGGGAGTTCATCGAAGACGGAGAGTCTCGCGGGGTCCAGGAGGGACCATGTATCAGCTAGTGCCCTTGTGGCGTTGGGGTCGTTGATGATATCCATGATGAGGGATGGGAATGTTGCTTGTAGGTTTGTGAGGCCACCCCATACGAGGATTACAACTAGATCTGTGTTGTTGAAAGTGGTATGTTAGTTCTCTACCTAAACTTCCTTATTTGGAATGAGGTTGTCGCTCCTTACCAGCAGCCCTTTCATTATCCGGCACGTCTTTGAGAAATTGGTCGAGTAGAGTAATGTTTTTGGCACCCGATTCAGCTGTTCCGATTTGCCCTCGCCTCTTCTGGATGATCGGTATTAGAATCTTTCGAGCCTTCCTATAATCTGCGTTGATTTTTATACCGGCGAGAAATTGCAGACGAGACGGTAATAAGCTAGATAGCCCCATTGCTTCGACAGCGTGATCATTGAACTGGTCAAATATTTTCAGCAAGTCGGGATGGTCAAAAATTTCATCTCCAACCATGCAAGCTCCGATAACCGTCGTAATGTACTTCATGAGAACTGGGACAAACTGTGATAGATCGGTTCTAGTGTGTGGCAACGAATTGTCAATGAACCGATTGGAAGCGTCCAATATCGTCGTTCCGAACTTGGATACCACCCGGCGATTTCCCAGATACTCCCGTACGATATTGACGTGTAGGTTTGAATCAAAGTTTTCCTGGTGGACAATAAGAGGGAAGTTGATAACACCAAGAAACTTGTGTAGGCTGAATATCTCTTCTTTGGAGTTATCAGCCTCCATCCACTCGAGGTCGGTCGATCGAGTGACGACAAAGTAGACCAGTGATGCGAGTTTCAGGCCAAAACATCGTGATACGGTCTGACCGTACTCCACAAAGCCTTTCAACAGAACACCCTTCGGATCCTTGGCGAAATTCAGCGCCTCTCCAATTATTGGCAGTCCGGAGTACACGGGGGGGATATTCAGCCTGTCATGGCGGAATCTCGACCTCATTTGTAGAAACATACCCAATCCAAGGGCCAGCATGACCGTGGCCAAAGCCGTATGGTAATCTTCTATATTTGTTTCAACTATCTCAAAACCTGATACCGCTGTAGTTGCAATTTTCCACCAAGGGAGAGTTGGAAGGCTACACAGGACGGGATTGGTTTTGGGGTCAGCAGGGAATAAAGGATCCTGCTGGAGACAACTGATATCAGTGTTCTCTGTGACCAATCTCCATAGCAGATTCGTGCCATGATCTGGGAAATCCAGCTCGTTCAGCCAAAAGTCATCCAGCCGGCGCATATTAGGCAGACCTGGCTCCGGGTGTGGTTTCCAAAGCAGTTCCTCTAGAGCATTGCTGGGATGACAATCAAACGGCTGGTCCACAAGAAGGCATCTGGTTACGGCAAAGCCAATGGAAAACCTGTCGGAATTGCCCATGCCAAATAAACTGAACAAACTTATAATAAGCGCGGATTTCGGCACAGTGGTTCCCGGGAAGTACGTCTCATCCAGCTGAACACCAACAACTAAGTCGACATCATCGGGTCTGTCGTAAAGGGTCTTCAACTTTTGAACCTTTTCAGGATCCGATGTGAATTCTTCAAACGTTGATGGAACTTTGACAGTCACTTTTGGGTCTGCAAGAATGAGATGATTAGATATGTAAAATTTGTGGAATTTACTGTGAGAGGAGATGTTGACCTTGCTTATTATATTCACGGAAATACGTGTTAAACGTAGGGAGCCCTTGTTCCCGCTCATGAACGATACTCCACGTACTAACGTCGAATGGCTCAGCTCTATATTTCCCAGCAGATCTGAAGGACTCATCGACTCCGCTCTTGAAATTTGGGATGTGACTGCCAACCATTCCGCGTAGAATGCTATCTAAACCCGTATTGAGGAAACCTTGTGGATTGAATCCTGTATCGAAGACCGACTGATTCCATAATGTGTTATTTTTGGCATCTTTAATAGGAAACTGACTGATAATAAACTCATGAAACCGATACACGATGGCCATCTCGGCAGAAACCACCATAGGCTTCCCACCCTTTGTTACTAGTGGCCAGGGATATGTGTTCATCGGGTTGATCTCCATGAAGCTTTCGCCATACATTTGACGGTAGAGTGGAAAACCTTTTAGCCCCCGGGGACACAAAAGGTTAGAAAAGATAGTTAGTTGGACAGTTCCCTCATTTTAACAACGATAAACCGGAAGTTCCACTGTTTATTTTACTCACCGTCATCTCTAGGCCATGGCATTTTATCAGTCCAGTACGCCATCTGGTACGAGTTGGCAACAAGAGCATACTTGGCAGACATTATCAGCCTAACGGTTTGGTAGAGCTTCTCATCGGTATGCTCTGAATTCTTCATATCGACATATGCCGGATGCTGCTTGGCCAAGAGGTCACACAGGCGATTGTGCTCTCGGAGCAGGAGGGTATGGACAGCTAACACCAGCCAGTCTTCGTTTGTCCGTGGATCACCTCCCGTAAATAACGTGGTAGGATCCAGTCCGGGTGTTGTCCTCATTGAAACATTCCAAGAATTGAACGGGAGATATGATGTAGCCAGTGACATATTGCCAGCCTTCACTTCTTGCGTCAACAGTTTTCCATTCTTGTATGATCGTATTGCTCGAGCCACATCTGAGGTAGAGCCGTAAAGACTCGAAATGTCCAGCCATGTAGTCGCCATGTTCACATTTTCTCGAGGATTTGTCATGGAGGTACCAGTCCCAGGGACGGCTTTTGTACGATGCACCACAAATTTTGTGTTTTTATCAAATGTGTCTTCATCAGGAGGCATTTCAACCTCAATAGTTTCTTCTGGCGAGTCCATGCTATACGTGACGTCATGCATGACAAACTCAATCAGCCCGATAAGAAGTGGCGTATGTTCATAATAGATAGTCCTATTTCTCTTAAAGAACGCATTGGAGACGGCACGAGCATTGGGACCTTCGCGCGGCTTGGATATTCCGTCAGCGTAATGGTGGTCACCGTAATCCCTAGCCTTTGCCATTCCGATCCGGCCTTCATTGATCTCATCCTTTTTCATCCAATTGCAAGATCCGTCGGTGGTTCTATACCACCAGTTGGATTTATCGACGATACACTTGGAATCAAGGGCATACCTCAGGTTTCCAAAGAGCTTCTCAGCTTCGTCAGATGGCAGGTTAGCTATGAGCGGTGGAACCAAATGTGAAATATTGCCCCTGAAGTTACCGGGCTGAGGCCGTTTAAGATGGTCAAATACTTCGTCTAGACTGGTCGCATCCCTGGGAATGGTGTTATTAATGAACATGCGACGTACTTCGCCGCTATCCTGCGTTTCAGAGACGTCATGAAGCCAGTGGATGAAGCGGTGTTGGCTACCTTTGGACTGAATGGCACGAGAAAAGTCGGGCATGAATTCACCGGAGCGGGATTTCTTCCCATAATATCGATGATAAGGCCAATGGTCGCATAGCGATGTTTGCAGGAGCACCCAAATCAAAATGAGACAACGAAACAGCATATTGAAAGAAGGCCTTCGGCTTCTCTGTGCTCATAAACACCACGTTACCTATCCATCAACTTGGTTAAATCAGGGATTGCGAAATGCGCTGAGGTGCTATGACCGGAGCCTCGGTATGGGTTATATTCTCGTTGCAGAGTGCGTTCAGCTAGATATTCCTAGATTAAGTGAGATCAATTGCATACCGATTTCATTCCGTCGTCATGGAAAAGAGGCAGCGAGCCTTGAGGCAAGCTGTAGCAATGCCTACTACAGAAGACGGAGGCACACGGCTGTGCATGGTATTAGGGTTCAACATGACACAATAATGACCAACAACGTTTGCAAAGTCAGATATCGAAGAGAAATGGCAGATAAAAATTATCTATATTCTTCTAACTTCAGCGGTGAGTTTAACTGTCATATCCTCTACCTTCACAGTTGAACGAACATAGACTTGATGAGTGTTGCTTTCGCAGTGAAGTTTGACTTGAAGTTGACCGCAATCGACGGAATAGGAAATATTGATGGCCTGAGTCAACAAGCAACTTTCCAGCTCCTCGCTCAAGTAGTTAACTATACAGAGGGGGAATCTGCTGGATATACTCCACCTACATGAGCTACCTTGTCATCTCGTAGTTAATTGATTGAATATTCTCCCCACAACCTATACGGTTGAACTAGATGTCCATTCCTGGAACAGGCCAGCTGTGCATCATTCGAGATCTCGCGGTCTCCCAGAACTCTCATCATCCCGATGAGCTTCCGCTATGTGCTGTTTCTCCAACGTCTTGAAAACGTGCTGCTGTGTTACGTTTGCCCAATGATCCAGCCACGACAGCACAGTCAATTAGTCCACACACCATATGGCAGGCAAAGAGCGTTGAAACGCCCGTAGCACTGTGTTTATAACCTTGGGGTAGCCATTAAGTGGCAGCCACATGACTCACAGGGAAGCAAATTGACGGAGAATAAATTGGATAGCAGCATAATTGAGATACACAATTCGCTTTTCTTGAGATGAGCGAGGGATATGGCAAGATGGGTGCATCCACTGCACAAGCGTGCGACATCCAAAGAGAGACAAAATACATACACTGGTAAAAGGAGAGAGCCGTTTTGGCTTGGGATTGGGCGGCAGCCACGGATGGAGATATCGATAGGGCAGAGTTGAGAGATGATGGTTGTGTCTACAACGCACGTTGCGAAGACCCAATCGATGGTGAACCGCGATGTAGGGGGCAAATGAGTCGTCACAGGCGTACAATAAGTTGACGGAGCAAAGCGCAAAGACCATCAATGGGATGAAGCAATCCAGAGACATCGGGGCCGGAATTGATGCTATTGGCTCAGGTGGCACGACAGAGCGGTTGACGCGCAGGACCGTAACAGGTCGGGTATTGAAGTATGTTCCGTAACGACACTCAGAACCTGTTACGAACAACAGTACCATATCGCGATGCTGATTTCTCCAGAAATAGAGCCGACATATGACTAGATCACCGCAGGGTGCTAACAGTATGATTTCATCTCCTTATCAAGGTTCATACAACAAGTTATTACTTAAGTGGGGGCCGTCATGATGGCGAAATATGTTGCAGGTCGAACCTTTGGCAACCTGTGAAAACATCGTGACATATTGACAATGACACGGGGGATGGGGGAGATTTGGAATAGCAGCAGAGGAAGAAAAAAAAAATTCGTCATATCGATTGTGAGAGGATTTCTGTGCTCACTGGAACCAGCAGCAACAGCACCATCCACGTCTCGTTCGGATCGAAATCGATTGGCCAGCATTATGCTTATATTTCGAGGAATATAACTTCAGCTCCCATTCAAAGTATATAATCTGGGGAACCATGCAGGTCTAGAGAGTACACGGGTAGCTAACTGCCTGGGATTAGGCGGTTGAACAGAAGAAAAGGTTTTGAAAAGAATTCAAGCTACGAGTTAACGAATGATGAAGTGATGAATATGAATGTTCGGGATTGGAAATGGAACCTCGTTTGTTGAAAAACTTGTTCACCAAAAGTTTGTAGATGATCGCTGCAGATTAATCAGCCCATTTGAAATGCATCCATGAACTCCAGTGACATCGCAGATTCTTCTCATTGGCCCATGAAGAACAAACGTCACAAACCCTGGCTCAGGATATTTGAGGGAGAATTACAGAATACAAGGCGAGCATGGTGGAGAACATGAATAATAATGCAAGTATCCCGGCGTCAAACGGGGCCCATCACATCCAATTCACCATCCATATAAGAACAATTCGGAGAGATTTGCTCTGAATCATGAGTTGGTCAACATTCATCCTTCAATAACTAACTATTCTCTCAGCCAACGCTCAACAAACTAAACCCGATATTCTAGATATAGACTGCGTTTTTTTTTTTTTTTTTTAAGCAAGCGATGTCAATCCCGGCATGAGGCTAATTACACAGCGTAGTTAACTAAAGATTGCTGCAACCTTATTAACCAACCCCCGCCTCTCAAAGCCTCAACCAGCTGAATAAATAATGAGCTCGGTACAGAGGAGCTATTTATGTGCCAGCATCTGTCAAAGAGGTTGTACTCTCAAACCCCAGCGCGGGGTCAAAAACCACTGAGAGCTATCTGATAATCTCCAACTAACCGGCTGTCCAACTGTTACGGAAATCCGGAAAAGTCACGGGGACCTGGATGCTTTGAAAGAACCTTTTTATATCTCACGATTATTATATTTGGAAGCCACAGCCAAAATCTCTCGCTGGTTACCGTGGATCATCAACTCGTTGAAAAGGGAGCAGCTGGAGTTTGAAATTTTAAATATAGAAACGGGATTTTAAATCAGATTCCCCAGGACTGGAAAAATAACTCTATCTTAGTGACTTCTCAAAATGGGCAAGACACACAATATAAACTTGACTTGTCCAACGGCACCTACATGCATGATAGTAGCGTAGAAGTTGTATCTCAAATCTGGCGAACACTGCCAATAATACATATCTATCATATTCCACAGGAGAATTTCTGAAACTTCTCTGCTGTGAACCAACTAGTTACTTAGTTCAACGGGTCTTGAATCTACGCCTCCTTGTTTCTTCTAAGAGTGGCGGTGTTCAACCCCACACATTCTCGTCAACATCTCCGAAACACTCGGGACACCGCCATTCGTCTTCCTCCGCTCTCATCACCTCTCATCACCTCACCTCACCTCACCTATTATTATTATTATTATTATTATTATTATTATTATTATTATTATTATTATTATTATTATTATTATCCTCCCTGCTGTTAATCAGTAATTTTGGTTTGTAATGTCCCAGTATGGGGCTTAATTCATTCCACTGAGTTAAAGTCGTCATTTTCTGTCGAATCTATTCCTCCTCTTCTTTCGCTTATCGCTATCCGGCACTTCCACCCGCCGCGCTTTCACTTCAACATCCAGTCGTATTACCCGCAATCTACATTGTCTGACGCTGCTGACTATGTGTTTTGGCGTTGTTGTTCTCCAGCACATCCGTGGGTCTGTCAACTTCTATTCGTCTAGTATCCTTATCTCACATTCAATAGCCATAATTGCTTATCGATAAACCGCATACCTTTTGGATATGTAGATAAATACCAATCCACATCTTGTCCGATGAGTGCGTACAAAGAAAGGAATAGCCGAAAGGAGATATCATTCACCAATTCCATATACTCTCATACTCCCTTGCGGAAATGATGATATCCGCGTTGCTGTCGATATGCGTTCTCCTCGCCGCAACGGCGCAAGCGCAGATAGCCCGCCCTTCAAACGACTCTTCCGATCTTTATCTCCCAATGCTTTATACGAATTTCAAATTAATGACGAGACAGTTTCCGCTACCAGGTGTCAATCTAGCGCCACTGACTGGAAGCCTGAGAAGGATATTCCGGGATGGCGTCTATTCGGTATGGGATTTACCTTCTACCCCCCTTCATATCTTCATATACATATAAAATTACAGACATATGAAAATACTATCTGTTGTGGACAATGGATATTAAATTTCGAGCATTCACTAACGCATGTGTCAATGTATCTGGCCGCAGGAATTTAACATCACTGGGACCCTAGTTCCCATAGGCGCCAACAACGCCTCCGATGTCAAGGGGAATAATATTGCCTATATCAGCTGCGACGACTCTGCTTACCCGGGGAATCTTAAAGCGGATGACACAATCCGGACAGCTGTGCTCACAGAGTCCCGTCCGAAAGCAATCGTTCTTTACAGCACAAAGTTTGAGCACTGCAACTACTCCTCCACAGGCCTAACCTGGCCTCCATACAGGAATGTTTTCACCGTCACCGATATCCGAGTCTCCCACGACATACTAGCTGGTCTGTTCTCCGAGCCTCAGTCCAATGAAGAGACGTCATATATAGTTCCAGACCTGGAGGAAGATTTGCCAAGACCTGGGACTGATCATGGACGGAGAAACAATGGTACATACCTTTATCCCTTTTTTCCCTTTTTTCCCCTTCAGAAGGAAGGAAAAAAGAATCGTGATCGAAGCTAATTTAGCAGCGCCAGCAGCCATGATCATTCTATATAGTATCACGGGCATCATCACTGCTCTGTTCCTTAGCGTCATCGTCACCGGCGCCATACGAGCACATCTCAATCCGGAGCGCTATGGGCCTCGCAACATTGTTGGTCGCCCACGCCAGAGTCGCGCCAAGGGGATTGCGCGTGCAATGCTGGAAACAATACCAATTATCAAGTTTGACGACTCTAGCGATGGGACTAAACAAGTCGCCAAGGCCGATATCGAGATGGTGTCGAACGATGGAGGTGGCGAGCATAATCTGCGTAGAAATGGTACGCGGCAAGGAGTCGATGGAGTGAAAATCCCCGGTTCTCAGACGGAACCACAAGAGGAGCAGCAGCAGCAACAACAACAACAACAAGCACAGCAGCAACAGAAACAACAAGAATCGTTGCAGGAGCAGGAAGATAAACCAACCGCATCGCTTAAGGCTAAGGCAACAGACAGTGAATCACACTGTGACGGCTCCATCGGCCCGGCATCACCAGAACCCCAAGTTATCAATCCCGACGTACCACCTGAAACGGGCACGTTGGGATGCCCGATCTGTACAGATGACTTCATAAAGGGCCAAGACGTGCGGCTTCTACCCTGCCAGCACAAATTTCACCCCGAATGCGTCGACCCCTGGTTAATAAATGTCTCTGGCACTTGTCCTCTCTGGTAAGTCAATAAACAGACCCCTCATTTCCCAATTCCCCTCACATCATACACAAGTCCCGAAAGAAACATCACCCAAGCTAACAACCAGAATAGTCGCGTAAATCTCAACCCCCCAGACCCCGACAACGCTGATGGATCCGACCGCGATCATGACTCAGAAGACCCCACCCGATCCCCCTCCCCCTCCCAAAATCCCCACAGCAACCGCTTCCTCTCCCCCCTCCGCAACCCCCGCGGCTTTTCCCGCCGTCACCACGGCGTATCCACGCTCTTCGGCTCCTCCTCCACCAGCGGCATGGGCTCTCACGCCATTGTTGAAGATCATATTTATACGCTGCGCGGGCTGCGCCGTTCGCGCCACGAGCGCGACGCGAATATGACGGCAAGAGGTGCAATTGAAGAGCAGGATGAGGAGGGGGAGGCATCGCTCTCTGCTCCCGGAGCTGGTGCGGCGGAGGATAGGTCCAGGAGGAGTCGGCTATGGCGGTTGAGGGGGAGGTTTTTGTCCCGGTCGCGATCCCGGTCGAGGAGGGATTTGAGTATGGAGAGGAGCGTGAGTTTGGAGGCGGAGGCGGAGGCGGAGTCGGAGTCGGACGCTATACGGCAAGCAACGACTGCCACAATGCCGAATACTCCCAGTATCGATACTGGTGCTGGTGCCGTGAATCCCTCTGGTGATGCTCAGGTTGCAGATCTGACACCACAAGTTACGACAGCGGCGACGATGACGACGACGACGAATACAACGCCAACTTAACTGGGTAGTTATATGATGCGTGCACTGAAATTGTGTCGTTTTCTTTTTCTACTAACCTGCTATTTCATTAAAAGTGCGCGCACATGCATGTGCAACGATCCTGTCAGCTGTGTTTTACGGATTTATCTACTATCTATCTACCGGTGCATCTACATATGTAACAACTACAGTCCCATATATCGCGGAGAATTTATCTATGTTTTTTGGTCTATCCCAATATCAATATCTATATCTATATCAATGGGGTTCATCTTGAGGAGTGTTTTGGTGGTGAGCTTGGACTGGCGTGATGTGTTTTATTATTTTGAGCTGTTGTTCGTTTGAAGCATTTCCGCGGTTCTCATATTTTTCTGCCCTGATTCTTTTTTCCCTTAGATCGGTGCTTGGTGATACGATACATTCCGAAACTTTTTCTTTCTTGCGATACCAGATGGTAACGGTGTCATCAACATTGAAAATATGTAACTTTTTTTTTTTGTAACATTACATCAGTCCCTTTCATTGACCCAGTTACCAATGTATATAAATATATAAATATATATAAATATATATATATACATTAATGAGTTTATCTTGGCCCATTTTGCACGCAAAATATTTTATGCATAATAATACATTTTTGGTTCCTTTTTGCTGCTCTCTTCCTCACTCTAATGGTACCTACCATCATCCCACGTAATCCCCTATATAAATTCGCCCTATATATGTTGTACGTACTATTTCAGAAAATTCTCCAGAAAACTTGTTGCTCCTCTTTCTCCATTTACCTTTACTGTGCTGTACCGGCCGACTCCATTGGGTGACAGGTTCCGTAGTGCGCATGCTGCTCTCCCTTCAAGTTCTGCATCCCAAAAGCTGGAATCATTCCGTGGAAATTTTCTTTTGTTTTTGTTTTTTGTTTATGTTTTCCCTTAAACTGAGTTTGGATTCTTTTCCAGTCCTTGTCCTTGAGCTTAACTCACTCCACTTTTTTGTTGCAGGTTGTATAGGCCAAATCTAGCCTCAGCTAAATCGAAGGGAGCACGATTAGTTTCAGCGATACAACCGATAAAGACCCCCCCCCCCCCCCCCCCCCCTCCTCAGACCGAAATCTTCTTTTCATGAGAGTATGATATCAGTGAATATATCACGACTGGGTATTGAAATTTTTGAGGGCACCGGAATGGCATGTTATATGGGGTTATGTGTTCCCGATGTCACTGACATAGTTAGTTAAGCTGAATATATGGTTGACTCTTGCTCAACTATGTTACATGGGATGTTTCAAAGCGGAAGACTTTACTTCAATCAACCCGATTCTGATCTTCACGTTATCGAGAGCAGAAGAAGAACGCAAGACGATGCGCAGGACTTAGAGCATGAGAACCCTCAACTAATTCCCTTGTGATTAACTAACCACGCAAAGAGGCGTCCTGCGCACTAAAACGCACACAGCAAAGACAAAACCATAGTAGCTAGGGGATGGATGCCTCCTTTCAAGACTGCATAACCCCGGTCGGGGACGCCTTAAAGAGAGTCCGGAAAAGATGTTTCAGAAGTTAGTTATTTACTACAAAACAACACTTCAACGTGTCGGTGGTGCTGCATACTCTCTCCCGATCTCTCCTTTTAAGCGCCTACATAGAGTAAATATCAGAACATATGATAACCATGATTTTCTTTTCGTAACGTTACCTTGAACAATTACGAGGCACCGAGAGAGAGGGTGACAATGTGAGCTGACCGTAGATCTCATATTTAATTGACTGCATAACAGACAGCATTGGTGTGGTATCATACCACGTCTTTTCGATATTGCTCTTTGTTATGTTTCTGTTGGCGGGCTTGTAGTTGAGTGACTAGTTGTATCAAAAAGTATTTCGTCATGCCGTGTCCTGGAACTAGTTAATTGATCCTGAATCCGTAGGATTTCACTTCAACAATAAAAAAGGGGTGCCACAACTGTGCATAACTAGATTGCTGAGCGGTAGACGCACGTCAAACCGCTCAAAATCCATGCTCTCGAGAGCATATGAAAGATGAGTTGGAATTTGGATAAGGAGATTTGATCCGAATGCCCCTGGAACGCGAATTCAGCCTTTTTAACTAATTACTAATAAATAATCTGTGGGTATCCAACCAGCTTGAGGAGTAAATATTTTATATTACTCTCCATTCAAACCTCTTGTTCCTGTCGCCAGGAAATTTCAACACATGTCCAGTGCATTTCTTGATGATATTTTCTTTTATTTACACTGTTTGTTTCTTCTTAAACTTTCGTTTGCAATCGTCGTTCCCTCCACATTAACTACACAGCAGTTGACACAATAACAATTTGTGTCTATGGCTTCTCGTCTTATTTCACATAGGATAGTTCCTTTCTTTCGTCTACTCTATCAGAATTTGTCATTTGTCTTCGCTCATTGACATTCCTCTCCGCCCCGCCCGCCCCATTCGTACCCAGCAGGAGAACAAGGGATCCCAATGTCCCCGTCTCTATCTTCCCCGTGGCCCCAATCGCTGTGGCCTTACCGCTACACCTCCCTGACATCTCAGCAGCTTCGCGAGCGGCGGGAACTCCTTTCGCTCCGTGGAAACTACGCACAGCTATCTGCTCTCGTTCTGCTTCTGCTGCTCAGTGTTTATAGATTTGCAACAAGCAACCTCGGGACGAAGGGTATCGAGAGGAGATCCACGCTGGTATCAGCATGGCTGGATTCTCCATTCATGTATGGCGCGACGGAGATGAGGAGACATTATCTCGTTGCGGCGGGATGGTTGGTATGGTTATTGGCGCTCTCCGCCTGGAAAACGGGCGACGGTATGTCCACCCCCTCCCATTTTTAGGGGGCCCCGCCTCCTTGATTTCTCTTCTCGCATTTAACATCGCAGCCCTCTGCCTCCGCCAAAATCCTCGGTTAGTTATGTGTGGACATGCACTGACAGCCAAGCAGACCACCTTCATCTTACTAGATCCATCGCCCACACGGCCATGGCCACAACTCCTCTCCATCTTCTTCTCTCGCCCAAACTCTCCCCAACTTTCAATCCTTTCACTCAGGTCCTGTCACGACTTCTACACCTGCCCCAAACATATCTAACCCCCTACCACCGGCTCTTCGGCCGCCTCGTCATTCCCACACTCCTCTCGCTTCATGCATTCCTCTACATAATGTTCTTTGTGCAAAATGGGTTGCTGGAGAAACGATTGAACGATGCTGATGTGCAGTTCGGTATTGTAGGAATCCTAGTCATGGGGGCTTTGGTGGGCATGAGTGGATGGGTGAAGAAAAGGGGGTCTAGTAAAAGGGCCTCGGGATCAGTGTCAAGAGGTACAGCGTATCTTATACATGTTTCGTTGGCTATGTGTTTGTTGGCGGTGGCATACTGCCATGTGGAGTATGCGAGGAAGTTTGTCGTGCAAGCTGTAGGGATTTATGGGGTAGATGTGGGAAGTTGGGTGATTAAGAAGGTTGTTGAGAGGGATGTGATTATGAGATGAGATTGTCGTACCCTTGGACGACACTGTTTGGACACACCTTGGGATACTGTATTTTTTCCTTCGCGATTGAGAGATCTCGGGATTTGCGGCGTAGGAGGCTGTGAGAAGGGGGCTTATATTTTATTGGAAATATTTCTATCCCTGGTCGAAAATTGTTTTAAAAGATGGAACATCATGGAAAGAGACTTCAGAGAGTCCAAGAGAGTACACCGTAACAGGGAAAGAATGAAAATTGTTTAGATGTGATATTATTTACATCCATATCTATAAATCAAGAATTGACTTGAAATAGTTTAGTGTATTATTAGATGTGCAGACAGTCAATTTTAAATAGCAAGATGCAAAAATTGGTGGAAATCAAACTTGGCATGAGAAAAAGAAAGAGCTGCATTCAAGGTACACAAAAAGTCAATTATTATTAAATAATAAAAGGGCAAGGCTAAATGAGATAGATAGTGAGTACTACTTCTCGGGAAAGGCATGACATGATATTAAAGATAGGAATCGGCTCAAAACGCTAAAGTAGTGACGGGAGGAAGAGAGGGAAATAAATAGAGACAAAATTTGACAGGGCATTCAAGAAATTGGGTCAAAAGCAGAAAAGGGGAAGAAAAATGAAATATGTGATTCCGAAGAATATGATGCCACATTTCACTGAAGTGGCCAGGGAAAAGATGAAAATGAAGACGAAATGAGGTCAATATATCAAGTACGTAGTATATTCTTCATTCCACCATCCACACAACCAACACCAGTTTCTATCGGCCCTCGTCGCTCATCTCCCGTGGCGAATGGCAACTAAGGCTCATGAAACCCGCAACCGCAACGTCGACCCTCCGTCGCTGCCGATAATCCTTCTGCCTCCTCTACTATTCCCCGGGCATTCTCCGCCTAGGGATCTCTCTCACCTCTAACTCCGGTGGCCCGTCATGAATCACGTCAAGAAACAAGGACTGGCGTCGTTGCAGCTCCTCGAGGCGTTCCAGAGGATTCTGTATATTTCCAGTATAAGTAGGTGATTCCAAGGAGGTTTACGAACGCATCGATCGTGAAACGCACCCAGTTCTCCTGCAAGGGAACACCGGTGGCGTGTGGTAAACTATCACCACCATCCCCTCCTTGCCTTTGCTCTCTTCCGTACTGAGACTCCTCTTCTCGCTGTTGTCCTATGGGCCAAAAATGAGGTCGCTTGATAGGTGCCGGGGTCACAGGGAGGCTGGGCCGCTCTATCTCAGTGGGGAAACTTGTCAGTCTCATACTGGGCTTTCTCCCGGTGATATCGGTTTCGAAGTCGCCCCCAGTTGTGCTAGACCTAGCCAATCCGGATTTCAAAACTTGAACTTTCTCTCTCCGGGGCTTTCGGATAGTGCGCATGTAATGCTCAATTTCCGGGACTTCGTCCCAGGCGTTCGAGCGGATGTAACCTTTCCAAAGATATTCAGATGTTGGTGGCGGTTCTGCTGATTCTTCTCGTGGTGCGCCCAATGCCGTATCTCTTTTATTTGGGACTTCACTTAATAGTTTCTCATGGGATACCGCAACTATGCCTGTTCCTGCTTCTTCGTCTAGAAAAACACGAGTGGGTTTCGGGGCGTAGGCCTCCCATGGAAAAATGTGGGCCAGACGCTGTGTATTTGGTTGCTTTGGGGGAACTTTATAGTACATATCTTTCGGGGCCTCTGGGTATGACTTCGGAGGCTGGAAAAGTTCCGTGTCCTGTGACATCGTGTAGGTGTGTGAGGGTAAACTGAATGCCTCCGGTTTGGAATCTACAGGAGGTGGTTCTCTGTCATTTTTTAATCAGCACGTGTAATTATATATTTGGGCCTATTTGATTTTGTCCATATAGATATATGTTTTAGATATAGTGGTGCATACCGAGAAGGATCCCATTGCATCCTTGGAGAAGAGAACGACGGCTCTGGAGCTGCTCTGGGTGGCTCGGGTTCTTGGGAGATGACAGGTATTTGCCCAATCTCTAGCTGTTTTAGTGGCTCAGTTAGCTCTTGTGGAAGTTGTTGTGTTGGTAGGGCTGGTACGCCAGTAACGGGAGAGGTTCCTGGGACTGATTCTTCTTTCGATATGGAAGGAGAATCAAATGGACGACGTGGAAAGTGTCGGTAGGCAGTTACATGCTCTTCACCACGAACGTATTGTGGGACAGCACTGACGACAAAATCCTGGCTTATATTAGGGATTCTATCTCGCGGGGGAGGACTAGCTGGCCTGGCTGCAACTTCAGAGCTATTCAATATGGAACTATTATGAACAGTGTGAGAAATTTCAGGGACATGAGAGGGTAGGAAACCATGCGGGATATTGAATTGCTGGATGTTTCCATAAGCTTGTGGTTCTACAAAAGCTTTAGCTTCAGCTGTGAGGGGAGCCGGAGCCGGAGACATAGTGGAAGTGGCAGCGAAATGAGCAGAAGCATGAGGTTGGTCGTAGGTACAAGCTTGAGCATGTGGTATCTCAGGGGTATGCATTCGCTCCGGCGGCTTAGTTGGCTCATGAACGATCCCTGCTGCGTGGAGCTGCCCCAAACCATGCTTCGCAATGTCAGCTCTCGACGAAAGCTTGGTATCCGGTTTGACCTGGTTAGACGCAGTAATTAGCATTTCCCGTTAACCTCCCTATCGGGTGTACCAATGCATGGGTATTCATATCATATCATGCATACCACCGGCCGATAATGTCTATAATACGTCGCCCACCACCTCCCCAAAAGCTGATTATATGGACTCCCCGACGGGAACAACTGCCTTGGGAGATTCCATGGTTTCTGTGATCCGATATAATGCACCAGACTAATTGTGCTGCCAAAATGTCGGAAGGCTGGAATGTATTGATAATGACCACTTGGCGTGCAGTTGTACACGAAGCTCAGTCTATCCCATTTCTTAAAATGTATATTCAGTAAACCCTGGTCTGCTCCGTCGAAGCTGACTCCCTGCTGAGCAAGAGCAAGGAGGGAGTAATAATCATGCATATTGGGACGGAGCACCATGAGGCCTGTATTGAAACAGTCTGGCCAGCCGGTATCAGGCACGGCGGCGAAGTTGGTATTAATTGTGAGAAGCTCATCGGGAGCTCGGAGGGACACTACATCTGCATCGATGTATACTAGCTGTCGGTATTGGGTTTGCCTCCAGAGCTCAATTTTTGAGAATGTCGAAGCTAGGTCTGGTCTGTCCATCAAATACAGATTTGCGGGGCAGTGGTTTACAATTCTGTTGATAGGGACTACATCGTCGTAGATGGTCTTTTTGTTTTGTTTCAAAATTAGCAGATGTTAGCTAACCCACCACAGATTTGTTATGAAGAACTGGAATGGGAATGCTGAACAAATGGAAAATGCTGTACTTTTAGCTCGTCAATCGTCGAAGCCTTGAGGCTGTCCAGCGTAACCAGCACGACAAGCTTTGCTTTGCAGCCATTGTCTCGCAGCGAATGGGCCAATACCATGGCACCTACAGAAGCAGCAGCAAAAGCAACAATGATATTGTAAGCAAAAGAGAAACGTTAAAAGTGCATTGCAGACGGCGGGTCTGGTCATGAGATAAGTTAGTGTTTACCTGGGAGATAATTGTCGGTGAGAAGCATCTAGATCACAGTGTGAGTTTTGGTCCATCAGGTACCTGCAATTTTCCATGTCAAACTTACCGTGCAGTAGACGGCTTCTCCTGGATCTGCCATGGTAGCAGTGGAGCCAGCCGCAATTCACGTCGGAGAGGGGAATACGAGATTGAGAGGAGGCAACGAGAAAGAAGATTTCGAGACAATAAAGTTCCCGTCTCTGTATTTATATATAAGCTCAAGCTTGAACGAGTTTGCTCCGTACTCCGGTGCGATGACCCACAGGGGCCAAGCGGGGAGGTTCAGCTCGCCTGTAGGTGTCTGAGATATAACCACAAGCGTATATCTAGGAGCAAGTGGTCAATTAGCCGTGGTCAATTGACTATTATGATGTGGAATGATAACCCCTAGAATGGCCGTGAGAAGAGCCATGCTGCGGTTGTTGAAGTTTCTGAGAGTATTATTATTAGTTACAAATGGAGTGGGGAAATTTTCCATGTCGTGGTTTGTTTTTGTTTTGCTTCGAACAAGGGTCGGTCAAGCGGCGCGAGAGTTAGTTAAAATTTTTTAACTCAAGTGCAGCCACGGTTATCTATTAAACCTAACTCCATACCCAAAGGTCGAGTAAGTGTGTTGCTTCGGACGAATACTTTGAAACCAAGTAAAATTCTTTAATTCGATAAATACTTCTCGGTCCGTTACAGCTCCGCATATAGCTAGGAATATTGACATTCGTTATGCCGAAAACCAAGGTAAATAAAAATATCCATATCAAGTAGTTAATGGCGGACATGGATATATAATAGAGCCATCGAAAGGAAATATCATCAAGAAGATAGCACAATTCTCAGGACTGATATCATATAACCAATTCCAGCACGTGCGCGTTCGAACAATGTAAGGTAACCTAATCAACATATCCATCATGACTTCGTGTTGTTGTCAATACAATTTCTGACACAGATTCGATTCCGTCCCACATGTATAGACACCCATTTTCCCACACGAGATCGATATCCATTTTGGCAGCGCGTGGGGGGGAAAAATGCATTCTACCAGTCATTCCAGATCAAAACCACCATAGCGTAATGGCGTGGTGGCGTGAAACAATCCAACTTCAATATCACCAAATCCTTCCCTCCATCCTTTCATCCACCCATTTATTTCCTCACCGTCACAACAGCGCCAGGATACACGTCAGTAATTGCCGCACCAACATCCCCATGCTCACCACAAATAGCCCACTCCACAGCCTTCTCCAAAGCCGCGCACCCTTCCACCTCCATTGGTGTGTAATGCGCCGTACGCGGCAATATAACCAGCTGACTGCCATGTACTAGGTAGTCTGCGATTCCTTCCAGAATCACCCGAGGGTCCAGCGCCCTATCACGCTCTCCCCATACAATTGTCGCATTCGCCCTCAGTGCTCCGTGGGGCCCGTCCTGGAGCGGCATCCCGCTGCTCGTCCGTCGAGACTCCCCAAGCCCGTACAGTGCGGAAATTGTCTCAAGAGATTTGTGCCAAGTGCTCACTGCAGCACCATGTCGGTAATAGGAGATCATGTCACCGAAGTTTCCTAGCTTGCTGCGCCGTAAGACACTGGGTGGGTACCCTTCACCGTCCTTTGTTGTAGTGTTGCATTCCGAGCTGCCAGGACCCAAAGTGCTCGCCATGGACTCTTGGGCATCTCGGACAGTGAATTCGTCGACTTTCCCTGCCGCCCGCTGGTGGATCGCCTTTAACAAGGAGTAATTGCCACCGCTGCCCACGTAACGCACTATGGGCATGGGAAGCTGAAACACAAAAATGTACCCTGAGAGGAACAGTTGGCGTAATAACGGGCTCAGCCTAGATATAGCCCGTAGGAGAAGCCTGTGGGAGTGGAATGGGTTTCGCAGAAATGTCATTAACATTTTTCCCGAGGATTTCCATGCAAGCGAAATATTTGCTCTCGCCAATGGTAGCTAAGAAAAACGACGCATGAGCCCACCGACAATAGAGAGTAAACAGCAGACTCAGTTCATATCATCAAAACTTACTAAGGGACCATTCGTCAAGATAAACCTGTCGACCAATTGTGGGGCTTCCGATGCGAGACGAAAACCTATCACAGCACCCCAATCATGTGCAACAAGAATAACCTTTGCTGGATTCTGCTTCTTATCCCCACTCGCGCCCGCGCCCGTATCTGAATCAGTAACCTTATCACCATCACCATTACCGTTGACATTAATCCCATACTTGCGCCTGATAGCAAGAATGAACTCAGCAACATGTTCCAAAACCTCCGTTGCGCCGTATTTCTTTAACGAGTCGCTCCCGCCATATCCTGGTAGGTCAAAAGCAACAATAGTAGACTTCTCCCAAAGCACTGACGAGACCAGCAGGTGGCGCCAAATCGCCCAGCTGTCCGGAAAGCCGTGCATAAAAATGACAAGCGGCTTTCTTGCTTTTGATTTCTTGGTTGCCATTGTTTGTGATGTGTTTTCCATGGCCAAGAGGTTGTCACTGGAGACATAGTGGAACTTGAAGCCATTCTTGAGGGTTAGGAAGTGGTGGGAGAAGCCTTCCCATTGCTTCGAGAGGTTCCAAAGGCGGTCCTTTGCTATGGTAGTTTTATTATTATAGGGTTAGAATACTGGCTCTTGAACATGAAGAAATCACTCGTAACTGGACGAGTTGGTTATTTCGAACAGGCCTAACCCGTACGGATATGATATAAATTTGAGATTTGGGGGTAGTTTAGGCCTCCTACCTAGCAACAGCTCCAATCTCCGCTGCTCCGTCGTCCGCTGGAAGACAGCTCCTGACCAGATGAAAAAGGCACTATACATGCAAAATGTAAAGAGCCCGTAGAAAGCAACGAAAATCAAGAGAATACCCCGGATAAATGTAGAGGGCGTCTCCATGATTTATGGTTGCCTGAAGCCGGCACTCGGATAGGTCAAGGTGTACCTCTGTTCTCCTTATTTTTCAGCTTCACAAGCGTGGGGGTATAAATAGTTTGAGGGTTGTCAGCTGAATTCAAAACAAAACAAATGAGTATCTGGAGTATTCGGTGGGTTATATAAAACAAGAGGAAGAGAAAGAAATTAAAAAATAGATTTGCATGAGAGGAGGAAAGGAGAAGGATACCAGATAGCTTCGTATGCGAGCAGAATCAGCCACAAGGAAGCTCTTCTCCCTGGTTATGATATAAGTATTTCCTTTTACAATAGCTTTGGTCGCAACATGAAACTATTCAGCCAGAATGTCCCACCCCTTGCTTCCTGCTGGCCTGCCCCTGTTTATCAACGAGAAAACTCCCTTTTGCTTCCAGAATTCAAAGTTCCTTTTCACTATAGACGATTGGCCGAGGAAGCTAGAAACGCGGAGAGATCTGCTTTAGGCCTTGCATATGCGTTTGGCTTGCAACTTCAGCGCGTAACTCCTCGATGTCAACAAAGAGCAATGCTGATACCAAGTTTCAAAATAAGATTCTCACCCAGGGACTTTAAAAATTTCGATGATATATTGGCCAGTTAACTCACCCCTGGCTTTTGCGGGATGGAACAGACGTACTATCTCACCCTTCGGGCTGCAGTTGAGATAACTACATCTTTCGAACGCGACAAGAGTCCATAACTGGGTTTTCACGAGAGTGTCGGAAATACGAGAATCGTGTTATATTTAATTGACTCATGAGGAGAGAGGTTGAGATTGATAGAATAGCCCAAATATGGGGAGAGAGGGTGGCCAAGGCGTTTGTTGGGTGAGTTGGTCCGAGTTGAAACTAAAATGTTAAATATTACCGCGAATGATGACGTCAATTTTGCTACGTTGTAGATCTTGAACATACAAGGTTAGTTTAAGGCGAGCACAACATTTTGGAGTTCATAAAAGTCAATCTCTCCTATTAAATGACAGAGAACCTCAAAAGCCGGGCTACAGGTTTATCGAGCATTAGGCGCCCCACCGTCGAAGATTTCCTAGTGAATAGATAGGCTACTTGGAAAGAAAAGAAGCACCTGCAAGAGGATGGTGTTTATTTTTCTCTTTCTCCTTTTTCCACTTGCACTTTTAGAGAACAACAGATGAGAAATTAAAAGTAGTAAACATAAACTAAAGTGACATGACGCTGCCAATTCAATGACAAGTGAGATGAGAAGGTAAAACCAAAGAAGTTTTATACAAGAAAAGATTCAAGTCAGCTACATATTCATCGAATTCACTGACACCACATGATATGAGGAATTATGAAAAATATAAAGGAGGGAGGGTACGATAGGAACAAAACTTGCAATGTCGGCAACCAATTGAAAAGAAGACTTGAACTGGACTCCTGATGAAAACAATTAATTAACAATGGCGGAAATGACTAATAAGGAAATATGTAATACAACACATGATGGACGTTGGAAACAAATAGAAATGAGATATATGTGTATATGTCGAGATATACCTTTACCAAGACACCAGGTCCTGCTCGTGTGTCACATCAGTTCAGAGAAAATCCAATATTCTCCCGATTATCATCTACAACTCTGCCATATCTAATTGTTGTAATCATACCAGTTAGTTATGAGTTTATCTTCTCGTAGTCCAAGGAAACAATGAAAGCCGAAGGGAGGGCAGAGTTGATAGCGTCATCAAAATGCCAAAAAAGAAATAACCACTCACTCTAATAACAACCTAAAAAACCAAACCTCAAGATCATTATTCCGTAGCGCCTTACCCGCCCACTCCTTCCCCTGTTTCGCCAGAAGCTGCGCAATCTCCCGCCCTTCATCATCCAAAGCAAAGAATCGCACAGTCTCAACATGTTCATCCCCCTTCAAGCTGAGGGGCACATAGTGCACCCAGGCGCGTAGCCACTCATCATGCCACTCGCGGAAAAGCGCAAGTTTATAAACCAAGCTATTACTGCGTAGAAAAGCGTAGTAGCGTCCGCTGAACGCATTCCCATCAATGTCAACGAGATGTCTGTACTTCCACGCATCTTGCTGATCGGCTGATTCCACCACGTCGAAAAACTCGGACTGCGCCTTGCAGTCTTCTGGGTCGCATTGGCCGACATGGGAGAATTTGACGTTGAAGAGGTCCTTGAGCGCGTGTCGGGCGACTTCCTTGAGCTCCCAGACGCCGGAGTCGGTGTTCTTTTCGTAGATTTTCGCACTATCCCATCCATTTATTTCTTTAATGAATCTTTGGCGGTGCTGTCGGCGCCAGCCTCCTGCTCGTGAAAAGCCGCCCGTTGTCGATCCGCGCCAGTATAATTGTTCCAGTTTATCGTACCAGGCGACGTCCTTGCCAGCATCGTAGGGAACTTTTCCGGCCCAGTACCAGGGACTTGGATATATGATGTCCTGGAAACTGGACACTTTACTTTGAGAAAAGATCGGGAATAAGTCATGGACAAGATCGAGAGCGTTGGGACGGTCAAAGAACCCGAACGTGTGTTGAAGCGAAGGAGAGAGGCATATATCTGTGAAGGCAGTAATGTTGTAAAGGAATCCAAGTTCTGTGTTGGAAAAAGCTTTGATATCATCAGGGGCGTTTTCATCGAGATTTCTTGCGGGACTATCCACAGGGCACGACATGCGCGAGTTCGTCCACGTTGGCTGGTGAGCAAATCGATTGAATCGCGTAGTCCTAAACTCATCGATTCTGTCACCTTTATTCACGTCGTCGGGCCGACCAGACCACGAGTTATTCGGGGAAGGGTTCTCAAGGGCCCGTGGAAGTGCACCATCCATGGCACGAACCACCAAGCGCTGTAGGTCTTCACTGGGTATAACGACTCGAGGTTCATCATGAATGTTGAAGGCCAGGTCCATATCGGGCAAGTATTGGACGAACGACTTCAACATCCCCTCCAACGCAATCCGCTGCCACTCCCTACTCTCCCCCCCGCCGTCAATTCTGGCAACCTTCCCATCCCGAACCAAAAGACTGATGAACGCGTTATCGAATCCAATAGCCTCCCTTGCCCGGGCCCGGATTAATTTGGGTTGTAGCCCCCAAAATGGAAGAAACGTGTGATAGATCGAATCGAACTCATCTATTAATTGCACATCGTGCTGCTGTGCGAATTTGAACCATATATCGAAATGTGGTGGGGGAGGCATCTTGTAGCGACGACGGTACTCGCCCACAGCATCCTTGAGCGTCTTGGATTGTCTCCCTCGAATATCATCGAACTTCTCCTTTGCTTGGTTTTGCAGTTGGACGATTGGGTGAAGGTTTTTCGAGGCATTTTCGGTGTGGACAGGGTGCTCGGGAGTCTGCTGCTGTTGATCTTGTTGTTTTTGCTGAGAGTCAGAAATTTCAGGGTGATTAGAGGTCGGTATGAATAATTTCTTTCTTTGGGTGCTCTGCCTGATTCTCTGGGCTGCTGGGTTGCCCAGCAGCATCAACGTAATCCCAACGAGGCAGACAATCCCCAGAAGGACAGCCAACCGTTGTGTTCGCATTCCAGACTGATGTCCAGCGGTTCCATGCGACATAAAGACGGGCGGAGGACGGCATTCAGGACGGTTGAGCCAAAGTCCTCGCTGGCAACACAGAAGAAGGGGGATCGTGAGGGTGTGATTGGGGGACGGATGCGGCCTGTTCGTACGTAAAAGAGATTGGTCAGTATCAAGATGACGACTCCTCCCGCGATAAAAGCGCCCACTTCCTCTCTTGATTTCTTGTTTTAGTTTCAATTTTAGTTTCCAAACGTTTGCTGTTCTCCACTCTCACTCAGGGGTGCACCAAGCAGAACAAAATTAGCTTGACAGCGGGTGGAATAACCAATCACTCACTATTTCCTAGCGTGGGTTGTCTGTATTTAACTGGACATCCCCCGGTATTTAATAATAATAGGCAAACAATCCAATTGCTTCCTTGCCTTTGCACTATCTTGTCTGTATTTCTCTCTCTCTCTCTCTCTCTCTCTGTGTGTGTGTATGTGTTATGTGTGTGTGCGTGCGTGTGGTATGTAGTGTTTCTCTGTACCTTCAATGGTTGTTCGTGGTTGGTTGAGTCTGGCAGCTTTTACCTATCTTTGGCAATGCACGATGACGCTAAGGCCTAATAAGGCCTAGTGGTTTATAGAGAGTCTTTGCATGATTGGACAGAGGAGGCGAGGCGCTTGTAAATACCATAGCCCAAGGCGGTGGCAGAATTAGCCGTGGTGGGTTTCCTTCGGCCACTAGAATCAAAAAGTGTTGGACACTTACGTCACGTGACCAATTCTCCATCTTGTTCTTGTATCAACCAAGCTTCTGTCAGATTATGAGACCCGTTATGCGCCCAAACGCGGCCAATTCGGAAGTTATCTTGTTGAAATCAGTAACTGCTTGCTTCATTTGATCTATATATCATCTTATTTATCTTTCATATTTTAAGAGACCTACACTCCCTATTTGGCGGAGTTCTTAACGCGTTTCTGAATCTTTGACTACATATGAAGAAGATGAAATTTGATAGAATATCACTCTAAAGAAGCAAATTTCAATGGATTTCTCTCTAGAATAGAGACACCCTTCTAGAGGCTTTTTTTATCTATATTTTGATTCTTTGATTGATCATATCAACATTCAATGATTATATTAACAAGAAAAATAGTTAGTTCAAAGAAGATGTCATGAAAATTGACAAGTCAAGTGCTTTAACTGATACTCTCAATTATGTGACTTGAAGATCTTTGATAAGATCAAAATTAATAGATAATTAATACTGAATCATAATTAAGAAAGAGCAAACACGTGATATTTTAAAAATTTTTGAATAAACCTTCTTCTAAAAAATCAAAATCTAAAAAATATAATAATCAATCATATATCAGATCACATCAATCTGTTACAGCACAGCTGCTTGTAATATGGATTAAGGTTGATCCACTCCGCTCTGAAGGTTAATCCGCTCCGATCACCTACTTATATTCAGCTGCTTGTTCATTCCGACATTCTAATCCCCAGTTTAGTATTCTCGTCGCAGTTGCCTAGTTAGATAGATGAATTGAAGCTTTTATCTTGTTATCATCTTGACTCTAGACTGAGCCATGACACATCTAACAGATCACCTTCATCATTCTATTTGACAAAATTTCAAATTAAGCAACAATCATAAGGTATTCTATATAGAAATTATATAGAATAGACATTTAGATCTATTAGCACTGTTTAATATTATGTCCAGAAGTATTACACTTGCTGCAGATTGAGGGTTTTTGCTTTTTAGTTCCTGGGTTCAAATTCTCAACCTCTTTCTCTATATGTTGATCAGACTTCTGAGATCTAACAGTTCTAACTAATATATCTTGAACTGTTAGAATTTCTTTCTTAACTATATAAAAACATGATTTCTCTCTCTTTCACTTTTGTCTAGTATTGACAGCTTTCAGCTCTGTGATTTTCTTTGCTAATAGCAACACTATGCATGCAACGGACATCTCTTCTCTATTTCCTGGCTGTATGAGAGATGACTTATTATCTTTCTCAGCTCTAGTGATCACTCTGGCTGTTGAGATAATCTTTGTTAGGCTCAATCGCCGAGATTAGGTCCCCCATCACGTGATCTGTTGAGTTGTTTGTAATACTATCACGTGATCACATGGGTTGTTAAATGTGGGATGGTTAAATCTCTTATATTGGGAGGCCTAGCTAGCTATCTAATATACGCTATATCACGTGCGGCGGGGCGGCAGCCCGGGCCACATACGCCCAACATTAAAATCCGGGCAGAACCCCCTTTTCTCTCACCAAGCGTAGTATTTCGTTATATAACAGTTAGCAACGCAGAGAATTCCTTCTTATGCAGCTCGTATTCGCTCCCTAACAATCTTCATCATAAAGTTAATCTTCTTAAAGTTATAAATATTCTCTGGCACTTCTATACTTCTTTATTGTATAATTCATCAAGATAAATTATTCATATAGAATCATTGAATCCTTATACTATGCTCAATTGATAGTCATATTTGTGTGAGAAATTTGCCTTTAGTTCATAATGCTGTTGTATAAATCTATTGACTCAACATTCTTCTATGATAGTAGAAGCACTGAATTCAGTCTGCAAATAGTAGATTAACTATTTCTCATACAGTTATGGTTAGAGAGACTGTCCTCTCTCATTCATGGAGATTATTCATTGAACTAGATATTCTTTTTCTTTAGAGATCAGTTTTTAATTTTTTAATTGAGTATTTGTGGATATGATTTAACTGTGTAGTCTATAAGTCATAGAGAAATAGAGAATATTATACAACTTAGCAGCAGCTCTAATAGTTGTAATTTGCTGAGCTTCATAAGCTTTACTGATTAATAGAAGCCTAACTTTCTGATTAGAAGAGGGCGGTTGACATGCTGAATTTTTTTAATGAGCATTAATGATTTAGATGAAAGTGATCTATTAGATGATTTGATCTGTTAAGTGATTGATTATGTTAATATCATAACTTTTCTTTGTTCTAGAATTATTTATGAAGTTCATTGTGATATACTATCAGCTTTCTTGTGACTGTATAGATGATCAAATGCTTCTCTAAGACAGAAAATTCAGTAAATCCTCCCTTAATCATTGTCAAAATTTGCTAAAGATGAAGTCAAAATCTCCATCATTTGTGTATTATTCACTCACAGAGTTGAAAATTACAATGCAAATTCCTGATTTCATCATTCATGCCAATCAGCATCTGATCTGAAAGCGATGTATGAGGCAATAAGCATATGTGTGGAGTTAAATGTGCTTTCATATGTGTTCACAGTCCAGAGTGAGCAATGGAACTTTCCAGTCTCCGCCAACATATTTTTACCAAGGCGTCGGCCCAGATGGGGCCCATCTCGATTACTCTGGGGACAGGAGCAGAAGCAACCATTGCATCTCCATATCGATCATGGAACCCCAGATTTTTGAAACGGACAACGCGAGAAGCAAGAGGGAGAAAGAAACTAAAAAAGCGTTGAATGTGTAGTCGTTTTAGATCAGCATGAACCAGGAAACGTCAAAAAAAGTCCCCGATATAACTAGTTATACCCCGCCATTTCATTTGAGACATCAGCGACAAAAATCCTGGCACATGCAACATCCGTGGATGCGAAAATCTGTCGAAAGAGTTACGCGTTGCCGCGTAACTGAGATTTTTTGTTCTTCTGCATCTGCGTGAGTTTATTCGCAATCGGTGGTTGATGTAATTGAATGTTGGAGACGAGATGTCATATGGCGCGTGTTGCAAAATGAACATGATGACGTCGTAAAAACGCCGCCTGTCGCGTTTTAGTAGTTATGTCGTCTTTCAAGATGACAAAAGTCTGCCTTGCGCGCCCAACATGAACCCGACTTGCCCGAAAATATGATACTGTTTTATATTTCCTCTTCTTTGTATGAGTCACAGGGCAACCGACTCGCTGCTAAACGTTGAGTAAATTACCACATCATCCATTGGGTAGAAAATGAATACGCATGTACCCAGCAACAACCCCGAAACGTAAGGAGATCGATATTGCTTCCCACGGTTCTGTGTTTCGCATTCTAACTTTTAACGCTGATGGTTTAGTTGTTTAGTGAATCATGGTTTGAGGGAATAATGCGGGGCTTCAGCATAAAAGGGCGGTAAAGGGATTCTGTTGATAAAGTAGCAGTGGCTTGAGGTTATGGAAAGCCCACTCCTTCGAAAAATCTCAATTATTTGAATAATAATGCGGAGGAGAAACTATTCTTGTTTTTTTTCTTGACACTTTTCGAAGAAAACGACCATAATATTTACGGCCTTCCGGCCTCGTCCATTTTGACACGTGAACCCCCAAGGCTGCCAGCTTGTACTAGACTTGGGAGCAAATTTCACGTTTCCTTTTGGATCAGTCGTTTAGGCGGTCTACGGCGTTATCCGGTTCTGGCTGGCGGTGTCTCAAAGTTAACCCAATGATTCTAATCTGATCAGCTTTTGGTGCGAGTAGTGGTGGCCATCAGTAAAAAATCTGTCCAAGCCTAAAACAAAAAAAAAGGATTCATTTCTCCAGACTTGCGTCTGGGAGGTATACATTCAGCTGGGCATGGCCGGGATTTCCTGCATGCACCCTATGCACGGTACATACGGAGTATGTTTTGGGGACGTGCGGGACTCGGGTACTGGACTAGGCTCACCTGGGTGATGATGAAGTTAGTAGGTTATTTATTGACTCAAGTAGTTGACTACGATGCATTCGCGTATATCCATCATTCGTGACTTTGGTGGAGTCCAGCGGAAGGGGAAGAAGATACGCTGCACGTGTTGTTTCAAAACACCGATGTACGGTGGAAACCAGTGATCCAAACGTGCTGCAGAGCCGGGAGTATCTCAGCGCGGGTATCTCAGCACGGGCGGTCAAGTATATCAAACGTCCCTTTGCCATCATCGGGCTTTGGCTGTTTATCCATTAGAAAGAGAGGGGGGCGAAAGCATGCGCGTCTAGAGCTGGAGATTTTAGCGCATGTTTACCGGATGCAGTATATTCGTTGCTGGTGAAGTGCCAGTAGTTACAGCAGCTGTCGGAGAAATACGATGATTTCTGCAAAAATATTCAGTAATAATACTGTTCAAAACATGTACGTACATATAGTCTGAAATTTTTGAAAGATTCATGCAAAGAAGTTATAGCAAGTGCCATTGAAGCATAAACAAACGAATTACGGGATATGTGCAAGTTGGGAGGTTAGTTATGCAGACAATTCAAATAGATATATATAATAGTATCTTTTCTTTGAAGAAAAATTTATTTTTATAATTTTTTTTAAAAATATTAAAATTTACAATCTTATATTTAAGTAGTTAAAGAAATGATAACAAAAGATGTGATGAATACTTTCAATTTATAATCATTTTTATTTAAGCAATTGACTAAATAAAATATTGAAAAGCAATTTCATATAGATGAAACAAATGCTCATTGAAAGAGTTAAATTTAAAGCTATTATCTTACTGCTAATATTGCAAGGTTAAACACATGCCATTACATTTAAATAGACAAAGTTCTTATTGCCAGAGACATCAGTAAAAAGGTTATGAAGTGAAATATAAAAAGATAGGAAAAGTAATATTATAATAGAAATAAACTGATTGAGAAATCTGCAGTTAAAGGAATTATAAATCTGCAATAATAGAAGGTTAATAAAATACGTGAACATCTAGAAAATAATGCTTCTAATGGGACGGATGGGGATATATTAATTATTATAGATAAGCTGTGTGATATGTTGAGATTTTATTTTAAAGTTTGCAATAACGATCTAGAGTTTTATCGTTTTGGTGTGGTGTGGTACGATTAACTAGATGAAATGACTAGCACAGCCACACAATGAGGCGCAGTTACGATCATCATTTTCGCCGAATCGCCAGATGAGAATGCAACTTGTAATTTAATACCACCACCTTACCAGAAATTTGTGTTCTGGGTGAGCATAGGAGTCGCAGTGCGTGCTGTGTCCATTTACAGGTTGTTAGTTTTCTCTCGGTGCGACACAGAGCCGACAGAAAGCACTCTCAGTGAGCTAACCAATCAAACTATCAATTGTTAAGAGTTCTTGAAGATCCCAACCCGTGGGCGCATACTGTGACATCTGGTCGTTTGACCTTTCCAACCTCCTATCAAAAGGAGGCTCTCGATTCGATATCACAACCAGTAGGAAAGAGCCATTTTGGGAGTTTGACCAGGTGGTAATGTCAGAGACAGTCGCCATGAGGTATTATTAACTACGTCCGCTATTCTGCTGATTGCCGTTGGTGATCACAGTTTACCTCCGGGCCGGGACCATTTATCACGGACCTTAGAATGGGTAATGTCACCTGATGCTAACAACAGCACGCGCTCCTGACCGGGCAAACATCCCAGGTTTCGAAGAAGAGCTGCCTACAATGACTCGTGAGTGACTACTCGCAACAAGAAGTCAAGATCGGACTACACTGTCGAAAAAAATAGACACACAGGTGGAATAATGACTGGTACAAAGCACAAAACACGGTACAGCATGAAAGGAAACGAGGGCATTTTCGAAACGCAAAAATTTTTCCGCGAAGGACTGTTGCAGCTAAAGTGTAAATAATCCTTGCCCAAGTTGCCCAGCAGTTGTTGCGTTTAAAGGTGATGAGCATAACGTCCGGGCTCATGAACTTAACGGGCTGTGAAGTTGGCGTCTTCTTCCAGAAAGCCTGGAATGACGGTGGGTCGCAGCTCGATCCAATCGGCGATCAGAACAGGGATCTTGTCGAAATGCGAATCTGATGCCCAAACTCCTCCAAGACACCACCCTCCTCCAGCTGAACTGTGCTCAAAAAGTATTCGAGACTGCCACTTAGTTGCAATCTATCAGCGGACTAAGTCCGCTTTCTCCACTACTTAGGCCCAGGATGACCCATGTACTCCCTTGCTGGTGTGTTTCGAAACGTGAACCTTGCTCGTCTCTATTTACCCTGGGTTGGCTTCCCGCCAAAGAGCATGGCAAGGTTTCCCAGACCTCTGGGATCAGGCTCGCTAGATTCAGATGGGATTCCTCTTTTGAGGATTTAAGATGGATCAAAGTTGAATGCTGTTTAATGCCCGCCTGAAGTCCCAACAAAGGGTTTATAAACTCTGTAGTGGCTATACTGATACGGATTGGTAGATGCGCTGAGCATGTAGCCTAGGCCTCTTGCTAGGTTACGAAAAGTCGACAGAGGAGGAATCAGGTGAGTCTAGATGATGTCCTGATCCTGACTGATCTCTGAAGATCGGGAGACCATCCTAGGATCATAGCTTGTTATCAGCGGACGTAGGTTTTCGTTTGTCTTGTCCCTTTCTAGGAAGACACAAGACATTAGCTGGAAGGGTTCACCTGAATATGCAAGATACCCTTTTGCATTTAACCACTGGAAATGCAGAAACTCTGTGGTAATTTCACCTGCAGGAAGCTTCATCCACTCTCATCGATGGCCGCAGGGGCCTATTCCAAGTGACAGTCCCTGGCGCTGGCTATTGATATTGTGAAGCACAAGCACAATAAGGTCTGAGACCCTGAGCTGATAATCAATCTACCCTCCGATCTGAGTACTATATATTTTTACAGGCTGATCTGATGCGCCATTGATATGCCATGAAGGGGTCTAGTCTGGTCCACGGGCTCCACCCGCGGTACAGGACAGGGTGGTGGGTAAAGCATCCAGACAGGAGGTTTCCGATTAGTCTGGAGAGACATGCATCTTACCAGACGCCTTTTATGGTATGAGTACGGATGCATTATGAGTCGTCATCGCCCGAGGGTTTTTCGACTGCTAACCTCTGTTCTTCTGTGTGTTTCCCATGTACAGCTTGATGGCAGTTAGCGACAAAGACAAGGTGCTCCTTGCCCCAGTTCACCGAGGTTTTAGTCGGTTTACGGGGGTTGAGCCAGCAATCGACGACCGAAACGTTCGGTACCTTACCATACCTTACAATACGCCCCCTCCCCTCCCCCCCTCTTCCTCTCCCTCCTGGCAGCAAGAAGCTCGTGGGCGTCATGGACGTGTTGCCCGGCATATTGAACATGCCGCCGCCAAGCCCTCTCAGCCATCCGTATTTGACGCGATAAATTATGATACGCCGTACGCAGATACCGTATCCGCCACCACAAACCGTCCGCAATATTTGCATGCGACCATCTGCGACCGTCTGCATCCTACCCACTGACCAAGTGAAAATGGGGACACAATATGGCGAAGGATAAAAGTCCAAAAAGTAGAAACAAATAAAAAAAGTTTCCCTTGCCTTGCTTACAGTGGACGCGAAGAAGCCGTCGGAGTCAGCGCGCCATGATTTTAAACGAGCCTGTCTTCATATAACCTCACTTCGCCCCCCCCCCCCCCCCCGGGCTTCTCGACTTTCGGAGCATCTCTTTTTCCTCTTTCTGGCTTTTATCGCCATCCAATTCTCCCCTGGGTTTTCTAAGAATCCTTTTTTTAAATACCTTTCAATCTTCTTATTACTCCCCTCCTACTTCTTTGCCTCCCACCCCCAAAACCCCCCCAACCCCGCTCTTCCCGTTTCTCTCTCCCCTTCTCCCCTCTCCTCTTCCATATACATTCTTCAACCCTCCTCCCTTCACACTCCTCTTTGACATATCTCTTCTTGACTTGGATTACGAATCTTTCAAGTGTTGCTGAATGTTGCAATCATTATAATATATATTTTTTGGGATATTTCTCCTTTCTTCGCAAATTTCAAACAGTTTAATAAACCCTTGACTTTTAGCCCTCAGTTCATATTTCTTCTCCGACAGAATGCCGACGATTCTATTACCAGCATCTGCTGCGGCTTTCGCCCCAAGATCCTCTCCCAATGTTGTCCTAAACTCACGGGTAGAGCCGTGGTTAACTGTTACTCTGAAGAGGGTCAACCGGGTCAAGCGACCCCTTAACAACGTTACGCAGCACACACGATGTCTGACAGAAACGCTATCGTCGTCGAATGCCATCTGGACTCTCTGCTCGATCATGCTGCCGAAGGCACCTGAATCAGAACTGCGACAGGACGAGAATTTGTTGGTTGAGGCCTTGTTCAACTACCAGCTTGTCCATATGGAAGCATACGTCGTTCATGTCGACTTGGTTTCGCAAAATGAAGTCGCTTTCAAACTAACCCCGGAGACGATTGAATTACTAGTCGAGTACCACAAGGATATCTATTCTGTGGATTCTGCTGCCAAAACCTGGAACTGGTCGGAGAAAGAGATACAACTGAAGAAGTTACAAGAGGAGTTCGTTCAAGCCGCCAACAGATTTGTTTATCGGGCATCTGCAACGGCGCTAGAGGGAATGGAAGAGGACGGCGCCGGTGAGCTTCTTTGTGGTCGCAGTGATGAGGCCAAGGCAGCCATTCTTGGATTGTTTGTGCCGCTGCTACCACCGCCACCTCGCATTGTTGATGTGGTGAGGCCAACTCCAATCCTACCCAGCTCGACGGGGCCTGATAACTGGTGGCACAGTCCCATCCAGCAACCTCATCCCGAGCCGGTTGATTCGTGGAAGGTTGTTCCGTCTAGCCCGAGCACCACCTCAAGCGATTCGAATCAAAACCTGTGGGCTGCCAGCATTGCACTTAATGAAATCCAAGCTTCATCCCCTACGCTGTCGCACAGCCACCCTTATTCCACCACTGCGTACAGCGAAACTCAGTATTATAGCACTCCGGCCACTCCAGCTTCTATCACACACTTCTTGTTGCCGAGCATGCTGGCGCAGCAACAGTGCAGTACCGCAGCGAACATGGGAGGCTTTGGCTGGGGCGAACGATATCAGGACTTCGCCCTGCCATATGGAACTACCATGTAGCAGCCATAGGTGGTCAGCTTAAGGGGACCTGGGTAATCTCACGTTAACTTACAAATGACCTCATTGGGAGCCGCCCTGGCTACGTGGACGTGCGGAACTTTGACCAATGTTGGTAACGAGACATGGGATTTCGACACTTAGACATGACTTCGCATGGCCATCACGGGCGTCAACGGCATTCCTGAAGGCGTTATCAGAATTGATCGACATAGCGAAACATTTTGGGAGGGGGGTACATCTTTTTTCTTTTCGTCTATTACCAGTTGAAACTGCCTAATATTTTTTTTCTCCCCTTTATTTTGTTTTCATTATCATTACCTGATTTTGTCATGTGTTGTTCAGCAAGCGTTGCTTTTTATGGGTTTGGTCATTGTTTTTCTACTTACATTTTGCATTAAGAACTGGAGGGTCGGATATCTGACGATTTGCTTTACGTCATACTACTTACTCCCTTGGCGGAGGTGTTTCTTTTCATTATTACGATTTCGTTGTCCAATTCGCATTTTCTGGTATCACAAGATCTAATGCGCCTCACGGCTCGAAACGTTTTATTGGTTTCGTCGCATTTATAGATGAGGATTTGAGAGCACTATACCGGACAATGGGTTGGCTAGCACGACCATTAGTCCCAGCTACTCTCTTCCCTTATCTTTGGTCCACACTCGCTTCTGGTACTGCGTGCCAGACTGGCAATTCTTATACGGATTGGTGAGACTACGACCGGCGACCCCGTGGATCTACATAACATCTGGCATGTTTTGTTTGTATTCGCTTTTTATTGTCGCATTCTGGTTGTTGATGGTCGAAAGAGGAGATCCTGAAACATGGAAACTGTTGGCAAGCCTTCGAGACTTTCAATCTGTGGTTGAACTCTAGGGTGGGGAAAGTTTAAACAACCCTTGGAAGGGAATCTGGGGTTCTACTTCAAGGGTGTCTTTCTTCATGCTGGCGTACCCCGCGTTTCGGATGTTCTCATTCCACCCAAATAATGACCAGATATGTGGACTACCCTCTGCGAGGCTCATCCCCTTTTCTCCAGGCTGGTTTTTTTTTATTTTTCTTTCACCTTAATTGTCAAATCACTCCCTGGAGAGGTCTCTCAATTCCACTCCTTTTCCCTGGCTGGAAGGAGGGGTTGAGTGGAATCGGATGCTGGAATCACAAACCATTATATTCTTTATTATTTTGGGCTGGGTGGGAAATCTGAGGCTGTGCTTTGGTTTTTTTTTTTTTTTTTTTTTTTTTTTTTTCACATTGTTTTTGTTATCCCACTCAGCCATATAGTTATAGTATGTAGTATCATTCCGTGTATCATTCCGTTCTCTAACTTCATTCCGTTCTATAACTACCTAGTTAGTTGGTCCTCTTTAAGTTTGAAATTTTAATTTTGGACTCGATATGCTCTTTTTTTCGTGATTTTATCTTGACTAGTTTTAGTATTATGATTATCTGCAAGGATCTGTTATATGGGCAATAAATAGCCGGAAAAACGAAAACATTATTGTCTACAGCTCCAAGGAAATATAGCTATTTTTTTATGAGACTAGCAGCAGAACATTCGCGGGTTTGGGTTTTACGTGTAGAACGTGAACTATATGCAGACTTAAAAGGTCCTGTCAAAATTGAGGCTAAGAGGCAAGGAAGGGTGAAAGAAGGGGCAAATGAAAGCTAAGTGTGAGATTAACGGTTTGTAGAGTGAGGTGAGGAGGTTAAAATAACTTAGCAGAATTACGTGGGAGGGAGCGAAAGATGTGGGTTGAACTTGTGGGAAGACTGTCGACGCAGAATACACAGCTGATTGCAGAAAGGGAGGGCGAGGGGAATATGTGATTTATTTTTGTACCTCTCTAGAATCTCCTAGAGAGTCATTTAGTAGAAGCCTGCAGGAACAATTTGAGGGGAAGATGCGTGTATAATCTGGATTCATGAGCTATGATTATGACATGTTCCACAGAAATAGTATATACAAACGTTTTGCCTCTTAGATAGTCAAAACATTATTGATCTAAAATCCAGCGCTGAGGAGTCGTGCATTGAAGGACAATAAATAACAAGCGGAAATAGCATCCGTAACATCGAGTAAACAACCGCACAGGAACAAAAACCCTTCCTGCAGTGAACCCTATCATTGGCAGTGCCTCTTCCTCCTTTCGCTAATTTTATAGATATGTCATAACTCACGCCTGGTTCACCTAGCAGTCCCTGTCCCTCAAGCAAATATGTATGTGTTGTTTCGCTGACCATCAGACACCACAGCTTTCCACAACAACAGGCTTTGGGTGGTTCAATAACTCCACGAGAGTGCATATGCATTGGCATCTGTGTATTCGTACCCGTTTCAAGGTCCGTTCTTCTGAATAGTGGGTATTGTGAATACGAAAGTTCCGGCGCCGGTGAATTATTGATTGCCATCCAATATTGATGAAAAAGGGGAATGTGTGGACTGCTGTTCCAATATCGTCAAATGAATGAAAAGCTGTTAAGACTATTAATATTTATCGCTTGCTCTGAAGTTCTCAAGCATCCTGAGTGGTTGCCACCACTATCCTCTGAAACAGGGCTCTATGTGTGTTCGAGACACCTTGATTGCATTTCAGTGGGGAGACAAAGTGTTATTCTTGTACCTATAATCCCATACCATGCTATTAGCGTTGCAATAATTTCCTTGGAATCAGAGCAAATCCTAAGGAAAACTTATCACCCTCTACGATTTTCACATCCATAAACAAAGGAAAGAGAGAGGTGGTCTCACCTCTGGAGGATTTCCTGCCCCACGAACCATCCTTTCTATCATCATAGCTCTAACCTTCTCCTTGTTCTCCCCCATTCCTATTGCCATGTATTCCAATAAGGGGGGATGTCCAATGTACGAGGCGTAGCTATCGCGGACGATGTTGGATGTCCATTCGTATTTGGTAGTATCAGCATGGCCGGTACCGACATAACGGGCTTGCAAAGCCTCCAGGTTCTGGAGTGTACGTAGCTTATCGGCCATTCTGGTTTGACAGGGGAGAATGAGACTATTCCGCGGTTTTGTGGTAAATATATTGCTTGTGGTTCTCTGCTTCGCCTTTTGGGCAAACGGCTCCTTGAACAGTCACGTGACTATACAATCAAAGTCACGTGTAGCCTTGGCAAAAGTTACTATCAACGTTCAACTTCGGGGACGGTTTCGAGTTGTGAGTACGTTCAGTTTTCATAAATGATTTCAAATTTTATAGGGGCATAACTTGCGAGGTAGGCCTCCTGTATTCTAATGGGCAGTATCCCATTGGAAAGCCGCATAGCATCACTTGTCCACTCGCATTTCGATGATCTGCCACAACGCAGCAAACCTACAATTCACCCCAATGGATCAAGGGAATGGGTTCCCCTGAGCGGTATTGTACTTGTTACCGGTGAGTTCTGGATACCTTGGTTATAATTGACTCTTCTTATATGACAGAGGAAGAACTGTCTCTTTAATTTCTTTCCACGCTGCAGTTTAGAACAATTAAAGGGATGACTGCGGCAACTTTCTCTTGGAACGCCTCCTTTCGAAATGTTAGGGAATCTCGAGTATTTTCCCTTGGATCTCAATAACCATTGATTGAATATTGAATTGTCTTGCTATTTTTATTTCGTCATGCTTCTTGCCTTCAGCGAATTGATTTCCGCAGCCAGTCTAGTTGTGAAATTTTCTAACTCTCTTTCGATGAAAAAGGTGAAAATACGCCTCATGAGGCACTAACGTGTGTTGCAATAGCGTATGTGCATCCTTCGATAATGGTTTCCATTGTGTGACCGAATCAAGCTGACTTTGTAACCAGAACAGGCACAAAATGCCTCCCAACATCGCAAATACGGCTCTGTCGGGGTCTGGTACTTCACGATAGTCATGCCGAGGTTCTAGTCATTCGAGCTTTCAATCACTGGCTTCTAGAAGAATGCAAAATGATGCTTCAACAGTGGAAAGGTCCACCTAGTTCTGATGTTGAACATGATGGTGAGACTTACGCAATTCGTGCAGAGTACACTAGTCACCAGAAAAAAATCGCTGTGGAACAACACTCCAAATTCATAAACTGGAGGCATCGATTAAGAACAGAGAATGAACCAGCTTCAGTCATTCTTCCCAACTCGTCAGATTTCACTCACCCGAACAATTCAGAGTGGCCATTATGGCCTCCTTTCCAACTCCGCAATGATCTGAAAATATATATGTACAGTACTTGTGCGCCATGTGGCGATGCTAGTATGGAAGTTCGCATGGCCGCTCAAGATGACCCCACCCCATGGGTGATACCTCTCCCTTATCCCAATACCGAAAGCTCCAATGATAATAATAATGAAGCAAGCCATTCAGAGACCAACGCAAATTTGCTAAATGGTCGCGCCCACTTCTCCATCCTGGGCGCTGTGCGCCGCAAACCCTCTCGTGCCGATGCTGAATCAACACTCAGCAAATCATGCTCTGATAAGTTAGCTGTGAAACAGGTGACATCTCTTCTCACGTTTCCTACATGCTTACTCATTGTGCCAAGCCCGAACGCCTACTTGGCAGCTCTGCTTCTTCCGGAGAACGAAATAAGCCAAATTGCATGTGCCAGGGCGTTTGGGGGTGGTGAGACTGGTCGCCTTAAGAAGCTGAACGGTCAGAGGTGGAAAGGTGATGATATTTTGACACCAAACGGTCAGGAAGAGTATATGTTTCGTCCTTTTGAGGTTCGCTCTATACCGAATGCCCAGGTCAAAAAGGAGTGGGCGTTTGGGAAACCAAGCATAAAGGAAGTAAAGAGTAAACCAGGGAATATCTCAGCGGTTTGGACGGCTGCGCCATCGTATACGATGGCACCTGAGAAGCTAACAACGAAAAACCTAAGCGAAACCCTCATCAATGGCGTTAAACAAGGCTATCGCCATTCATCACCAACACCGCGGAAAGCGAGCTCCCTTTCACGTGCGAAAATGTGGGATTTATTTCGGGACATCGTTCAACTCCTGCCCTCTGCTGAAATTAACATTTCTTCGGGATCAGATTATATGCTAGATCCACGGGACAGTTCGCACTATTTGAAAGTAAAAGAATGCGTCTGTACCTCGCAGACTTATGAGGTGGTGAAACGGAAATGTATCGAACTAGGCCTTGGTCCAGTAAGGGTCAGGAAGGAGGTTTTGTCAGATGTGAGGGTTGTTCTTGGAAATTGGGTTGAGAATCGAGGGGATGAGAATTGGGGCTTGTATGTATTGGACAATGAGATGAAGGTTCGGAAGGCTCAGCGACAGGATCAAATTTCAGTGAATGTGTATGAATAAATCTATTCCACTTTTGTTCCAGAGTAGGTGGATATGCGTAACGACATCTATATATTAATAATTACTAGCATGAATGAAACACTAAATAAAACAACAGGTCAGGCTAATTAGAAAGTTTTAGTGCCAGTAATTATGTAAGAAGAAAATAGCACACCCTTGTCACCAACCAAAAAAAAAAAAAAATATAGAAAAAAAAAGAAAGGAAAAAGAAAAAAACGATGGAATGCCGGATAAAGGTTACCATGGCATCGTTTACTAATACATTTTGATGCTGTTGTTGATAATATAAGGCTGAATCTGGGGAGTATGTCCCGGGGACGTTAGGGTTGCCCTGAAGGGCCTCACATTTTGGCCCCAAAAGACCTAATAAATCCCTGGTATGATCCTGCTTTTCACGATGGATGTGTATCTGTCCCAATCCTTGCCGTACTTCCTTCTGCACTTTGCCTCGTCTCTTCTCTCACGATGGAGGAGCAGAATGGCAAAATACAACATAAAGAAGTATGTAACTAGGTTGCCCCAACCACGTACCTCGGGAGTTTGGACTGCACGCTTCTCAGTGGCACCCGTGATAGGATTAATTTTGTCAACAATCAGATACCCAGCAATGCCAGTGGGAAGGCAATATGACCAAGACATCACCCAATCGCCCATATAATTAATGTGGCGAGCACAACCCCACCACCCCGATATCAGAAGACGGGAACCAGCAGCAGTTTCGACATATTTGAGGTGCTTCACTCGTGGATCATTAGGATTCGTGCGGAATCGGTTCTTTTGGTTGTTGGTGCTGCGGAAGATGTAATATCCGACTGATTGAACTCCCAAGACGACAGCGAGGCCCCAGAGGCCAATATCTAACGGATAAACCGCGAGGTATCTTGTTTGCACGGAATAGATGAATGGTACCCAGACCAAATCCCCGAATGACAACATGAAACCAAACCCATCGGTAATCATATCCATTGTTGTAAGGATAGCAGGCTCCATGTAGAGGGCGTCAAGCACATAGAAACCCTGGAAGAAGGTAATGAGAATGATCGATATGGTGATGTGTCCCGAATTGACCTTGTATTGGTGAGCGATGTTGGATAAATTCAAAATTATCCAGCCCAACAGGCCGGGTCGTATCTCGCAGAAGGCTTTAATATCGAGTATCTTGGAAGCTTCGCTAACAAAGGGGATAGGAAGACGGATTCGCGGGTTTAGTTCACGGCCCATGAAGAAATCGTATATTGGATTGCCACTGGTGCCGCCCGGAGCTAGTTCACGGAATGTGGGGTTGAGTTTTCCAGGTGCTGGAACGGTGAAACTTGCAAGGTAAACGAAAGCTGCGAGTGCTTCGCTGATAATAAGATTTGCGGTGAGAACTTGGATATAATTGTCCCAGAGGAATGTCCACACAGGGAAATCGGGTCCATAGATATAACTCCCAGCGGCAGATCCTCCCAAAATCAAAACAGCAGAGAGAAAAGCTAGAAGATGGAGACCCCAAGTTAGATCGTGGCTGTGAGTGATTTGAGAAGCTCCTCACAGTTGAATTTATATCTATGCCTCCCTCCGCAAGCTAGCAGGACTCCTTCCACCTCTTCCCCTGGAAGCACAATCTGCAACACCAGCAGGAGTAGGTAGTAGCCAAGAACATAGCAAGTAACCTGGGTATCGTATAGTCCTTTCAGTCCGTTCTCAGGCCATCCAACTTCTCGTTTTAAAGTTTCAAGCGAAAGAGTCGACGGGTGGAGCAGGGACGGTGCTGGGCACCCAGAAATATCGTTGCAGACAAACGGGAATATATATACGATAATTGGAAGGACAATGAGTAAGATAGACACTCCAGGACTAAATCGCAGGTTAGCGCTGATATGAATTCGTGCAATTAAAGAAAGAACAAAGTGACATACGGTCCAAAGAACTCATATCCATGTTTTTGATATGGAGTTGCGACAGGGGGGCTGGCGGCCTTCTTCACACTTTTTTGGCCCATTGTGGCGACACCGGGATTTTGCCAAAGCTCGCTTTGACGACTGCAGATGACAAAGGCAAAGGACTGGCCAGTAAATATCAGCTCATTGTAGTTACAAAAACCCCTTCTCTCAGGTGAGTAATATTTTATAGCAAGGAGTCAATTGATACGAAGAGGCAGCTTGGAAACCGGGTACACCCACCAAAACATGGGACGACAATATTGGGACTGCCCCCTGCCCGCCAAGCTCTCGGCTGGTGCCAAAGGGGACTAGCGCAATCTCGGGATGCGCCACGTGAAAGATTCACGTTATTCATGACTCAGCCAATCCAAGGCCGGATGTTTGCCAAGCCTTGGCCAGCGTTCTTGGCTATTGCTCTTACTAACGGCGAGATAAAACAACTGCCCTTTAATCTTGTTTCGGGCAATCGTATGCCCGGACTCCGGAGTATGGATATCCCCATCGCTTTGAACAGCTACGGAGTATTAACCATCATTCTTCATTAGGTGGTCATTCTTGTTATACAACCCCGTCCGTTTCGGACTGCGCTTGCTGTTGCGCGGATATCGTTAAGCCTGTGTGTCGATTTCTCTTGGGGTGTACACGGTGCCTCTCCCTCTCCCTCTCCCCGCGGGAAGCCACAGTGGCTATCTTGCTTCTTCCCAGTTGCTGCGTTTCACCCCCTGAGAGCTACATCGGCTTTTCAAATCCTTCTGCCATGCATGCTACAAGATTAGCACTTCTAGCTACTGTGCTACAAACACTTTTCCTTTGCCGCTCAACCTTTGCCGCTGTCGCGAAGGCTCCACGAAAATCCTGTACCATATACTCCCCTACCAATGGAGCCTACTTTGATCTGAATACCATATCGCTATCGCCGCCAGAAGTGAAAGACGGGAAGAAGGTTAATATTAAGGACAGGGAGGAGAGCTGGCATGCTAAGGGTTACGATTATCCCGCAAACTTCACAATAAATATCTGCGCTCCAGTCATTGAAGATTTGAAAGACGTGGTTGGGGTGGAAGAGTCAAGATGGGGGAATGTGAGCGCATACTATAGATTGGACGGGAAAACATATTCAATAGGGTAGGTGGATGATATTAAATCAGAAATTTTGGGAAAGGATGGGAAGAGGAAATATAGCACTCTGTGCTCATATCCAAAGAAACATGCTAAAAACTCTATGCTCTGCAGACAACAGCAATCCAGCCTCGTTTTTCGTGGTCGTAAACTGTCCCTCAACTACACCGATGGCTCTCCCTGCCCTGCATCGAGTACATCGAATGTCCGGAGTCGCGAGATCGCAGACTCTGACAAGGGCAGGGTCAAAGAACATGACAGGGATAGTGATAAAGATAAGGGCGGAGATTCAACTCAGAAGACTACGGATTCGTCCCGGCGAAAATCTACCCTCATGTCCTTTTTATGCGACCGGGATCTGGTTTCTCCAGCGGCTACGGTATCATTTGTTGGAGCACTAGATTCCTGCTCCTATTTCTTCGAAGTTCGAAGCGCTGCCGCATGTGACGGTGTCGCGCGCTCTGAGGGCGGGCTTGGGCCTGCTGGTGTCTTTGGTGTGATGTATGTTTATATCGATAATTGTTGGGCAAAAATTGATTTTTGTTGAAAGGCATCAATACTGACCCACTGTGTTTCGTGTTATCACAGAGCATTGATCGCCGTAGCAGCATACTTCTTAGGTGGATGTGCGTATCAGCGAACTGTCATGCACCAGCGCGGATGGAGACAGTGCCCGAATTACAGTCTCTGGGCTGGAGCAGCCTCTTTCTTACGGGTAAGTGTACCATTCATGCCTTTAAAGCGATCATTGTTCGGACCCCACGCACGCCGTCGCACGGGAATAGCATATACGCCCATGGGCACACAGAGAAGTTTTTTGTTGCCTGTTTCACGGCTTGATTGATCTTCTTCCATGTTTTGTTTTCTTTACAGGCCCGCCGTATGGGACGTGGTGCGTGATACATTATTAAGTCAGCGGACTCGCTGGTTTAACTTTCTCCAAGCAATCGGTTTATCCCTTTAAAAATTTCCACTTCATCTATTACTTTTGTTGATTGGAACTCCATTATTCGGGAGGATCTATCTATAATCAGACACCCTGAAGAGCCGCGGTACCTAAATACCGTTTATGCTAGCCTTTATTTCTTTTGAAGTCCAAAATGCCCCTTCAAAGAGAGGCGAGCTACTCCATATTCTTCTGTATATTAGTGCTTCCTCTATTTCTTTGTCTCTTCATTTCATTCCCCCCACTCTTTTTCTTATCTCCGCCAAGTGTTCCACTTCCTTGTTCCATGTCCCTTTTCTGCTAGGTTCTGTCTCCACGAAAAGGTTCTCAATTACCAGCTCATCCCAATCTGCAAACCTCCCAAACAAAAGAGTGAAAAGATATCAAGCACTGACTCAGCATCCATTCCAGGACCTCTCCATGATCATCTGCTCCTTCCTGTCCCGCTGCTTCCGCATCAGCAAATCCACTGCCGGTTACTCGCGATTTTCCAACGGCAATTACGAAGCGAACGACAGGCATGGCGGAATTATCGGAGCCATTGGCGCCTGTGCTGGCACCACCGGCGCGCAGAGACGTAGGGGGCCAGATGTAGATGCTGAAAATCGATTGATTGACCAGCTCGATGAGGAGTGGGATGTTTGATGATTGATTAATTTCATTATTTCATCTTTACTTTTTGATCAATGGCATGCTAGTGTATATCCTAAGTCCTTTTAGAGGTCTTCTCTATATATACCTATATTTTACTTTGGCTTATAAAACTTGGCAAATTTGAAATGTGTGATGATGGGTTGTTTTCTTTTCGTATGTATTTTATCATTATGGCTTTCCTTGTTTAGGAGATGGGTTTATTCTGCTTTAAAAAATAAAAATAAAAATAAAAGTAAAAGAAAGGGGCGGGGAGAGAGAGAGGGAGATAGAGAGAGTATAAGAGTAACATATCAAGGGTTGATTTCACAGCCATGGGCCCGTAATATACCCAAAAAACCCTCAACCCAGAAAGAGAATTCAAATACATTGACGTTGAAAGCGAAGCTGAAGAAGGGTAATAACAGGAAGGATTTCCTGTAATGAAAAATCAGGTGGTGGTGGGAGGGAAAATATGAAATATGTCCGTAAAATGTCAATAGGGAACAGAACCTAGCTCAATCCACCGTATCAAACAATCAGAAATATAGGTATATTGATATATGATGTTCTTTGGTAGAAATCAAGGTCGAAATAAGTCCGCAAACGGCAAAGGGAACAAAATATTGTACATCTTGTTCCACTTGAATTGCAGCCCTTCATTCTTCACGCTTATCAGCCTGCTTCGTCTGTTAAACAACATAATTCCATCAAAAAGATCACAGTATCACCAATGTTAGGACTGCACTTTTCAGAACCTCAGACGCCGAGGTTATACGAGCCAATCATGGTGTTCACCGGTGAATATGTTCCAGGGTTAAGCAAAGGCTCCGCCCTCGTTTCTGACGGCACTGCCACCTCTGCTTGGGTGGAAGGAGAAGCTCTGATGCCTGCTCCAATTTGACCAATGGGTTCCAGGTTGAAAGGCAGGAACCAAGCGCTGGGTTGTACAAATTCACCTGCCCAAGCACCGGCGTCACCTACAATGTTGAAATGGGAGTTCCATATCTCGGAAGAAGGATTTGATTCCGTCTGCGTTGACACATTTGGAACTGTGTCCATCCTTGGGGGTGGGTTTATTGGTATAGCAGTTGGTGTAGATGCGCTTAGGTCGAGGCTAGCATAAGCACCGTAAACTAGTTGGCGATCAAGTTGCGGAAGTTGGTCGGGGTTGATGGAGAAGTTATAGGTTGATGGATTGAAGTTGGTGGTTTGGGCTTGCGGGAACATAGTCTGAGTATTGAAATTGAAGTCTTGGAGTTGAGTGGGATTTATAGGTATATGGGGCTGTTGTGGCACTTGTTGTGACTGCGGTTGTGGTTGCGATTCAAGTTGCGGCGGTAGCTGTGATTGGGGTTGTTGAAGTGGTGAATATCGATTTGCAGAGTTTAACATACTCTGACGTGATTGTCGTGGTTCTGTACTTGACTTTTTCCGTCTCCTCGGTTCCTTGCGCGGGATTTCTGAGTGTAAAGGAGGTGATAGGCTGGCGAAGAAGTCTTCGACGCTTTGAAGATCAGACTTTTGTGCCATCACAGCCTCTCCACCGGGATCCCTATGAGGGCGAAATGGCGGATCTTCATAGTGAAGGCGCGAAACACCATGAGGATACTTATCAAACCAATCGCCGTACTGGAATAATGAAGCATCTTGGTCCGAAGAGTTGAAATACACCCCTTTCATGGCAGCGTCCGCGAATTGGCGATATCGATCTTTGGTACTCTCGACCATATAATGGAACATTCCCCAGTACCGTTTCATCTTGTTCAGATATCTGTATGTATGGTGGAGATTTTCTTTTGATGTCGCTTCAAGTCTTGAATTTTTCGAAAATATGCCCCAGATATGTACTGTGCTGGCGGCATAGGCGGAGTAGCCAGCAAATGGAACTGTTAAATTATAACCTGACGCCTGATTAATCAACATAGATATATGGCTTGCGGCTTCCACAGCTGCGCGACCAGCATCGCTAAGAAAGGGGCGAGGAATATCTTTGGGGGGTGTCCCACCAGGGGATAGTGGAATCGCAAATCGATTTAAGAAGAGAATATTTTGGTTAATAACTATATGTAGAAAGAGGAATTGGTTTGCGGTCTTCTCAGCCGAATGGTGACGCAAATTCTCCAGAGTAAATGCTAAGGAATTAGGAAGAGACGCAGAGAAATCTTCCAGCTGGTTCTTCAACTCTGCGTGACCAGATTTTGGATGCCAGATGGGGAGAGGGTCTTTGTTTCTGCCGCCAAGGTTAAGGTAATCTACGGCCCGTCCCCAGAGCATCAGGGCACGAATCGTATACGCAGAAACTCCCATATTCTCCTTCGGGTTGGATAATTGTCCCACCCCTTCAGGAACCGGATTAGGCACCGAACCATCAAGGTCCTCTGTTGGCCCAGGAATTTCCAATTGAAAATATGACTCCTTAATGGGAAGTTGTATCTGCAGGAACTTGTCGTTACCGCTGGGTGGCCTTTGGCTGCCAGACGAGTTGTACCGGTCCATCAAGATACACGCCCACATTGTTCGTCGTCGGATTTCACGATCAGTAAAGCTGAGCTCTGACGCTTTGCTATTGCCCTGGGGATCATGGTCGAGTTCGCGATGAAGCTGCAGGGCATAAGCCATTCTCAACGCTTGGCCTCCAAAAGACCAACTCCGTCCGCCATGACAGGTGCCAAATTCGTGGAGTCCCAAGATGAGAAACACAATAAGGATGGTAATATTAGGCTCATCATGTCTACTAAGTGCAATATTCGCCGCAGCGGTCGCCCAATTTTCTCCGCGCAAAAAGGCCGGCTCCGTAGTAACAAGGGGGTGAGTTGAAAAACGAGCAGAAATCGCACAGATCGCCAACATCAGAACAGGTGGAACATTCCCTCTGTTAAGCTTGCGCATAAAGCTCGGTTTATGCAACAAGAGATAGGACTGGCCGTAGACGCAGTCAAAGAAAACTTCTGCGAGATGTCCTTGGAGTTCGGTAGAAGGAAGAAACTCCGCCCCCTCTTTATAAAGTTTATTCTCATCAGGAATTTGCCATTGCCAGGAGATGGGGAAGCCATCGGGTGCGGAGACTTTATTTCTTTGCGTCAATTCATTAAGTGCTGCATGGAACGCCTCATCTGCTGATCTCTTTTTGTGGGCTGGTCTGGACCCGCGAGGTGTTTGTGCCGGCACGGTTGGTTTGACTACTGCCCGTCCAATAGCAGCCATGTCTCTCGGATCATTTTTGGGAATGGTTTTGATAACTCTCTCCTCCATTCTTTTCAGTCGTTTATCCAGCATAGCCATGTAATCTGTGCGGGGTGCGGCTTTTCGTGCAGTGACTTTATATACACAGGGAACTCTGGAGCGAAAGCAGTGTTTGCAAGCTGGCTTCTCTCCCGAACAGCGAATTTTCTTCCTCCGGCACGCGATACAAGCGAGTGGCAGTCTTTTGCGCTCTTTACCTGCCTTGGTTTTCAGTTCGCTCCAAGGTCTGGGGTTTTCCTTCTTGTCTACCGGCTCCCTGGCTGATGTAGAATTTTCGTGTTTGGCATCGTTGTCATCGCCATTTGCAGGAACTTGATTCTGTCGTTGAGCGTCTTCTTGTAGCCGCCCTCCCTGCTCTTTCCAGCTGCCTCCAGGGCTCTTAGAGCCCATCTCCCCCTCCATTTCGGCGTCCAGGTGGGGAAGAGAGTGCTGGCTGATGGATGCGGGTAAGGCTATATGCTGTTGACATAAGGATCTGGTATATCGGATAGTAGCTGTTGGGCTATATATCCGGAAAGTGAGATATGCTTAGACTGGAGGGGCTGCTGTAGAACGGCACATCGAAGAAAGGGAAATGATGCAGATGCTCCGGGGGCCAGTGTGAAGGGGGAATCGTAGTCAGACGGAAAAGGAGAGACCGGCTCCAAAGGTGCAATATGAGGGGAAAGGGAGTGAGAAGAGGAGGGTGGACGTGAAGAATGAGAGCCAGAGCGAGAGTGAGAAATTGGAATCATAAAAGAGTGGAGTGAGTTTAGAGAGTTGGCATTGGGCTAAGGCAGGTCTGGGGGGGAAGGAAATTCTGGGGTTTGTCCGGTTTGCTTGTTTGGTTGGTTTGGCACCACTTGGCATCATAGCACAGCAACCAAGGCCAGTTTCAAGTTCAGAGGGGGTACATATCTTACATGCCTTCATCATTTCTGAGCGCCAGCTACAAAGTCTGCAAAACACTACAGTTTGGATTGTTAGAGGTGAAATAAAGGGGGGAAATGGAGAGGATTGCTTTGAACCGTACAATACTGAACAGTCCTCCTTCGTGATTGGATTTCTCATTAGTCGGCGGGTAATTTTTGTCCAGATCAGGAGGTTTCAAGGCAGACTCCTGAAGATGATCACCATAGTGGAGAGGATTCGGAGCCTACTTCCATATACACGCATGAGCAGCACCCTAATGACCCTAAAACATGCCGATCCTCGAGCTTCTGGGACAAACGGGGCTAGGTTGGTTCCCTTCCTGTGCTTCTCTCCTTTGAACCCCTTTCTCTTATCCTTTTAGTGGAATAAAGTTTCTGATGTGAAAAGAAGATGCAAAAAAAAAAAAAAAAGATATCCCTGTGAATGTGTTTCTTATTCAATTATGACAAGGCAAAGGTGATGATTTTTTGTTGAAGCCAAGCAACCTTTGTTCTTTTCTTGTTCTCTCCCCTGAAGCAGAGAAATTTAGCGCCAAGGGACAATTGATGAATAGCAATGGATGAAGGATAACTAAGACTAAGACAAAGCGTGTCTGGGACGTCGACGAAGAATGTACGACAAGCGAGAAATTAAGAGGGTAAACTGTAATAATGATTTGTTTTGTTCAAGAAGTTAGTCCTCTTGTTCTATACCTAACTATGGGATAAAGTTAACATAAGTTGGAAGAAATATTATGACACAGTTTGCGAGGTAAACACAAAGTGCACTAAATCTTCACGATCATATGTGCAAGTTACTCTATATGTGGGAGAACAGGTGATATGTGTGCGGCCGCCACATGTGTGCCTAAGGCCTGCGGCGGCATTTTAAGACGCAGAGAGTATTAAAACCTGATTTTCCTTACATTTTCAAGTTTCGTTCATGTGTAGAATTAATAACAGACATTGAAACGGTGAGGATTGGACATATATCTCTCTATCGTTATATTACCCGCTTGAAGAAACAGATCGAAACGAAATAAGAAGTAACCGGGAAAGATAAACAGCCAAGCTTGTGGATCTATGTCAGAGTGACGATCTATCTCATCCATACATCTTTTCTTCTCTTCTCTTCCAGCTGCTTGTGCGGATTTGGCAGGATTTCTAGGATGATGAGGTTGGATTATGATATGCACTTGGGCAATCTCGGAAAGCGAGCTTATGCAAGGTTGGAGCAACTGCAAGAGATATTCCAAAGGGGTAAAGAGGGTAGACATGTGTATGGTTGACCTCTTATCAAGTTTGGTGGAAGACATAGCATGGAACCTCTCTCGTTCATCTAACCCAGCGGCATATTGGGATGACGTAGAAATGGTTTAGCCATTAAGCATAGATATGGTGAAAAGGGTTGTTTTGGAATAATTTGGTACTTTCATTGTCATCCTTTTGTCCTTTGAGCATTCGTATTTTTCATCATGGCTAAAGGGCTAATTGCTTAGAGAGGGAGGAATGATATTATCAACAACACGCCTAGGAGATGTCCTAGCATTCTAAGCTATTAGTCGGTAAGGCAATGATTGGAATCAAGGTATCGAAATTTGTTGTCAGATGCCGTTTGCGATAATTACCAGAAAACTGTGGATTTCCACCAAACCTAAACCTGTTGATATGTACCGTGGTTTTGTGACAAGCTGTCGGACTAGGAGCTCAGATACCCAAATTCATTTCATCTGTGTTGATAGCAGTCGCCTGTGAATCATGCGCTTGTACTACTCCTCCATTCTCCCCATATGCTTCTTTTCTACTGGCTGTCCTTCAACTTCAAAACGCCTGGTTTGCAGTTTACAAAGAGAATTCTTGATAGAGTATTAGAAAATATAATCAACATCTAAAGGGAGGTGGATCTTATTCCAGTGATCTTCGCCATCATGAATCTAATCTATTCTAGCATTTAGAGTTGGGATGAGGATATTTGGAGGGGGTTACAATAAGCTTAATTTTAGCTTCACAAAGGTTAAACAAGTTTAAATATTTTAAGGTAGATTGACCCACTTTCCCCGCATTTCTTAACTAGCGCGGGCCAAAGTTGACAACAGCAGCAACATCAACTAATGCTGGAGATTGAGAAAAGTATGTACGTACAGCACTACTCACCAGGGGAGAGTATTGGATTTACTGGACAGCCAATTCTTCGATTCCAGTCACTCACTCTCCCCTTCCCTCAGCCAAACTCTCAAAATAACAACTAGAAATTTTATGTTGACCTCTCTAGCCAGCAGTCTTGATTCAAAAACCTCTATTTTCCTGAGGAGGAAAATGAATTCACAGAAATCAAAAAGTTTATTCTTCACACGTGGGTAAGAAAGAATAACTAACATGACGAGTTTCGTTACCAGTTATGAATTTCCAAGAAAGAAAGGACAAGAAGAACTTGAATTTGGTATTATAAGTTAGTAAAATGATCAGTAAGCTATCAAGCGGTGGGAATTTCCAGCAGCATAAACCTAATGCCAAAAAGCTTGCTCTGTAATTGGGAGGAACGGGAGGATCGCATCTATCCAGCTCAAGACAAAAGAAAGCCAAAGGCCTTTTCAAACATTTATTGGGGGCAGAGGTGCAGATAGTGGTAAATTTCGCGATGAACTACCCACATACACCGTTTTTGGGTGTTCACTAATCACCCAGTTCTGTGATATAGGGTCCCAATTTGATATATCACGTCGAGATAACACAGCTTTCCAGACCTTGGCTTCACCGGGAGAAATAGTGAGCCGGTCGAAATTTCGAAGGACTACTTTGGCATCGTTGGGACCGCCCAAAGATACATACTAGATGTGAAGAGTCAGTGTTTGGTATTTGCATCCTTTAATTTAGCTTTAGAATACAATAGCTGCTTACAAGTTGAGGGACTTCATCACCAGGAATATCGCCGGTGTTTGTGATGGTCGCCGTAATTTGATATAGGATATCATAAAGACCAGGGTTTCCGCCTGGTCCTCCACCAGCTGGAAGAAGCTCTTGTGCTGAACCATCAGTAGCACCGGGCGGGACATACTCACTCGTAAATAGCCCGTAATGGGGATCCATAGTGGCTTTGGCGGCATCAGATGTATTTAACCATGGGTATATGTAGAGTGGAACACGATCCACGTCCATGGGGAATAAATAGAAGGACAAGTTTCTATCGGAATACTCAAAACTGCGAGCCGGTTCCGTTTTACCTTCTGTGGGGATATAGGGCCGAGACTTCACGGGTGAAATATCTAGATCAGAGTACGAAAATGTGCTGTAACTTAACCCAAATCCAAATTCGTAGATTGGGGATTTGTTAGCCTTGTCAAATGCTCTGTAGTCGATGAAAATTCCTTCCGTAAAATCGATCTGAGGTGCGCCGTTTCCCGCATTTGGCTCCTTTAAGATGGATGTGCCATAATCGTCCGCTGTTTCGCCCCAGGTGAAGGGAGTTTTCCCTCCTGGATTGATGTTTCCGTAGAGTATATCCGCAATTGAGTTACCGCTCTCTTGGCCAGGTAAACCAGCCCACAAAATTGCCGTCACATTGGGATGTTCGTTCCACTTGCTAACCAAGACAGGCCCTGAGCTGTGTATCACAACCACGGTATTGTTGCAATTTGATGCCACGGTCTTGATCAATTCATCTCCTCCTTTCCAAAGGGTCAAATTTTTACGATCCCCTTCATTCCCATCCACAGAAATATATCCTTCTCCAGAACCGGCGTTAACAAAGACTAGAGAAACCGTGGCCTGAGAGGATACTGTTTTGATCTGCGACAACGCCCAATTGTGAAAAATCGGAGCCACTATGCCTTCACCTTTGGTGAGGATCACATTCTGAATAGCTTCTGCAGGAGTCACGAGATATGGGAAGTCGGCAGTGCCGCTTCCCCATCCCATTGCCAGTGTGCCGCTGGCACAACCTCGATCAGGACAACCATTCGGCCCAAATATGTTAGGGCCTGCATCCTCTCCAATAATGGCAGTGGTTTTTTCCAAACCAGTGAGAGGCAGACTCCCTGTGTTCTTAAGCAACACGACACTAGCTGCTCCAACTCGTCTGATAATATCTGCATGTCTTGCACGAACGTTCACTCTTTCATTTACTTTCCCGTAGCCGTTGCCAACCAGGGCATGTTGATATCCATATTCATTCCGAGTCCAAGAATTGAAGTTGACGGGTACCTCTTCCTCGTGGCGGCCAACTCTGAAGTAAGCAGCCATAATCCGAATTGCCATATCATCCACTCGCCATCCAGGAACCGTGCCATTCGCAACTGCAACAGTCAAGTTGGTTCCCCAGAAGGATCTACCAGTGCCAAATACCGTATCACCTGGCATAGACATGTCCAGGCCGGCCAGAGCAGAACCGACACCACTATGTTGAGCTTGCCAATCGCTCATAATGAACCCCTGGAAGCCAAGCTCAGCTTTTAGTAGCTTGTTCTGCGTGTAGCTGTTTGCGCAGCCGTAACTGTTGTTAATTTGGTTATAGGAGCACATAATAGAACCTACACCTGCTCTAACAGCGTCTGCAAAAGGCCTATTATAAGTGAGCCAATGTAATTGAAGTAACTGTTCAGCAAAACTCACCAGAGATATAGCTCATGCATCGTTATATCGTCAATGTTGGAGCTCGAACTTTCCGAAATATTGAAACCATAGCTTTGAGCCTCAAGTGCCTGGCGGAATCGTTCCTGCTCGTTAGCTATGAAATGTTTGGCACAAGCAACAACACCGGCACTTTGGATGCCTTTAATAGTTTCTGCAGCCAGGAATCCTGAGTTCACGGGATCAGGGCTGAAGCCTTCCCAATTTCGCCCCCCGTCTGGTGACCTGCCCAATGGACCGATTGCAGGGCCTAGGACAACGTCCACACCCTTATCTCGATGTTCCTCCCCTATTGCCCTTCCACGCTCGTAAGCGAGTTCTTTGCTAAAAGTGGAAGCGACATTGACACCTGCGGGGAAGGCGGAAACATAATCGGCTGGTTTTTTTTTTTTGTCAGAGAATAGATGTTACAAAGGTCGACAGGTGTGAGTGCTCACCAAAGCGAATTCCAAGAGGCCCATCTTGCAAACAGAGAGAGCGGAAACCAAGGCGGGGAATTGATCCTGACTGGCCTACACAGCTCTCTTGCATCCACCTAATGGCAGGTTAAACCAACGAACTTCACAGCTGATCTTCTACCCGAAATAATTTTCCGCTGCGCCACCGGCGTTTTCAAGGGTATGTCTGTCATTGGTCTAAGGGACCGGACGTACCCTACACCGGTTGTCAAATTGACCTTCTCGGTGAGGGTCAATTGAGATACAAAATCACGCGCCTTTTGAACGGCATCTGCCCAATCTCCCTGGCCAGACACCCATGGAGATGGATAGTATGGGGGTGAATGTGCAAGAAACTCCTAGATTTGCAACTGAGTTAGCTATCCATATTTGGTGTGTGTTTTTTAGCTCGATTTTATGAAATCCATGAAAAGCGCAATAACAATAATACACAATGTGAACGTATTGTACTACTGTCAAAAAGAACAGTGGGAAACAAACCAGTGTAACAAAAGGCGGCAAACAAAAACACGTATCACAACAAAACAACGCGTATTCAGACTTGGGGGGGGGAAAAAAAAATATACAGACAAGCAGTCGAACTGCGACTAAAACCTACCTCTGCAATAGCAAATTTCGCAATGAGAATCGCCCCGAACTGAAGCCAGCCTGCCCTCATAGCGATATGCAACGTCGTAACAGCAAAGGGGAGAAAAGTAGTTTGCTCGCTGGCAGCAAATTTCATTCCATGAGCAGAGCAGGGAGGACAAGCATGGAAGGAAGATGAAAAGACTGAGAGGGCAAGCAAGAGTTGGAGAGAGAAAGGAGAGCCGGGAATTCCGCGGGGCGACCCCGCTTATATTATCCGGTTGAGACCTCAGGGGGCCGCGTTGGGAAGCTGCTTGGATGATCAGCACGCAGACCAGGCAGACGAGCCCCGACCGCGCCCCGAGCTGAGCCGGGCTGAGCGCAGCTCACCTGGAGGTTGCTGGAGGTTGCTGGAGGCCTTGAACCCCCTCTGCTGTTTTGTTGACGATCGATGAGTTAACTAGCTAGTTAACGTAGAGTTTCCAGGAAGCGAGCAACCATTTCAAAATATCTTCTTCAATTAAAGAGCTCCATACAGCTCGAACACAGAATCACGTCATTCAATTTCAGTGATAAAATGCAAGAAACTCTGTAGAAATAAAGGGAAGAATTGGACTCCCAATATTCATCATTGAGAGGCAAGAAAAATCCCCAGTTTCAGAGACTGCCCCATATCTTTTAAATGTATCATCACTAGGTCATAGACCCCGTGATCAATTTTCAATGGATCATCTACCCACGAAATTCAATCAAGTTGACCAAGGCAGAAGAGAACCTGGCTAAGTTCTATTTGATTGGTTTAGTTAGAGCTGGGTTTAGAGAGTTCCTCCCACAGTTACCTAGTTAGTTAACCGTTGTCATTCTCCTTCGTGTATTGACAAAAACTAATAAGTAGCTAGTTACTGCCTATGACCTCATCCCGACCCAAGTTTCCATCCCTCGTTACTCTGATTCCGCGCCAAGCGCCTCAACCCCCCCAAACCCGGTTAAACCACTTGAAGTAAATGCTGCAAAGGGATGCAACTTGACAACTGCATTGCCATCACCCTATTATTCAATATTAGAATATCATAAAAGCGATTGCTATCTTTTTCATTCCAAAAAAAAAAAGAAAAAAAAAATGTCGCTTCTTGAGAAGTTCCAAGACTCGATGGAAAGCGTATACGGGAAGTTCTCCGATGTTTCCGACATCACCCAATGGACACCGGCGCCAAACTCGGGAGGCCATCGAGGCTGCTATCTCTGGAAGGATGCCTTTGGCGTTTTGAATTTCTTGACCCTTTTTAAGGAGACGTCGTTAACAGTAGACAACAAGGCTGCAGCTAACAACTATCTGCTCTTTGCCCAGCGCCTCATCGTTACCGTCCACGATGTCTTGGGTAGAACTCGGGATGGCAGTTCGCGACTCCCTGACGCAACTGACGAGGAGCCCCTGAGAGGCGGTTTGCGGATCGGAAAGGAAGAGGAAACAGGTCCTAATGGCGACGGCCAGTATTTTCATTATCTCACCATGTGGATGTTTGCTCTCAACCGAATGTCGATGGCAACTGGGGATCCGTCTTACAACAGACAAGCCGTCTCCCTGGCAAAGGCCATCCATCCGCACTTCTTCCTCAACCGTGCTTCAGAAAGGCCGCACATGGTATGGAAGGTTTCCATGGATCTGTCACGTCCACTCGTTGCTAGCGAAGGGAATCTAGATCCAATCGACGGTTACGTGGTTTTCCGTCTGCTGCAGGCATCCGCTCTGAAGTACGGCGATGGGGTAATTCTCGAGGAAGAGATTGGCGACTACAAAAGGGTGATGGCCCGTAAAGGGGATTACTTAGTGACGAGGGATCCTCTCGATCTGGGAATGACGCTTTGGACGGCTCACTGGTTCGCTGAGAGGGAAAAATGGGCTCGTGATCTGTCAAACAGATGTGTTGCTCAGCTCCGTAATCCTCACTGCACACCCGATCCGGGGGATCTCCCCCAGGATAGTGATCTTTTAGGAATAGCACTCGACTCGAGACTTAGTTTGCTAATTTTGCCCCTTTCCGGATCACAGGTGGGCTATTCGATGAGAATCATTTCCTGGAGTCGAGCCTGCAGTTGCGTCTGGCGTTCAGGGAGTTCGGGTCGTGCCTCGGTATAGGCTGCCTAACAAGCACCAAGTCGAGCGACGTGGCAGCAGAGTTGAATGCTCGATCAAATGAGATAATCACCCAGTGGCAAAACTACATTTCGTCATCGCTGACCCCAGACGATCTTAAGCCTATCACCAGGGTTATGTATTCTACAGCATTAATACCAGGAGGTAAGCAGTAGCAGCTATGACACTATTATGTGGTCCGCCTTAAGAAAATGGCACAATCTGTTAGCAGGTCTAATGATTTGATCTTGCATATAGCTTTCAAATCTCGCTATTTGGGTGATGAACCAATTGATCACATTTGATCTATATGGGTTCGAGAAAATGAAAGTTCACTATGCACTCCCTTTTCGAAAAGTGTTTTGATAAAAGCTATGTTTATTTAGGTAATGAGCGGGCGAGGGCGATATATCCGTTTGGGAAGTCTAGTTGCGAAACGAAAGGGCGAAAGTGTCTATAAACTCCACAGCAGCAAAACAATGTTACACATATATATGGATCAGGCGGCAACAATTCCATACGGTATTTTCTTATCGACCGGGTATTCCAACAATGCTTCTCCATGGCTCTAGTGTTCCGGGGAGGAAGTATATAGTGTATACTACACCGAGTGCAATTACCAAGCCAGTTACCTAAACACATTGTTAATAAACTTAAGACTATTACGATAGATCGACCGATGTTGGAACGTCGAGAAGGTATTACCTTTTCAAGCCATGTGTGAAACCACATCGCTGTCATAAGCAGCATCCACCAGCTGAGACTAGCAACAGCTAGCACGAAATATCGCCCCCATCTTTCTGCGTATGGAAACTCTTCGACGGTCCCTTGATACTTGTCCTTACTGCCATCCACTTCCCCTGCGGATGACCTGCCTTGCAGCTCAATAAGCAAGAAAGCGCTCGCAAGAACAAGCATGAAAACATGCCCGCTGACATCATGGCCGCCAGTCCAAGCCCCACCGGATGCCTTGCATGCCGTGGCCGTCAATACCACGGCCAATTCAGATATTGGGTCGGCGGATGAGGGAATAGGCGCTTCACATCTACCTCCCGTAGCAATAAAACTGCGGTCAATAATACCAGGACCAAAAAACCATTGCGTTGTCAACCACCAGGAAGTCGTCACAAGAGCATAGCGGAAAATGGCCTGTCCCACTCTTCGTAGTCGAGTGTTTGGAGACAAACACCTGCTGGTAAAGGATGGCTGCGTCAAGAGCAGACCTATGAAGGCTAATGTAGTCCAAACCCATCCAATCTTGACGAAGTATACATTGAATATATTTTTTTTTTGCGCAAAATAATTCACCGGGTCTATGTCTGCGTCTGGTGCATGAGTCGATAACGAGGACAGGTTGGCAGAAGGCTTTGCGGTTGGGGATATCAACGAATACAAAGAGCCCAGTAGAAGGGTCAACGGATAAAGAGTGAGCGACAGGGGCTGTGAGAATAACGGTCGCGAGGATTTAAGATTGGACGTTGATGACTGGTTTGAGGACCCGTTCAGATGCACTGCATTCGTTGATGCCATGACTATCGTTTAATTCACTGAATTAGCTGCGTATAGAGACAATGAATAATTGACGGTGCCTTTTCAAGTCTGCCCCTCATGACACGACTCACCACGCTCTTCTACATCCAAAAACAGGGATGGTTAGATTTGATCGGAACAAGCGACATGTTTTCAATATTGTCAATGTTGATGACGTCGTGACTAACATAACCACTAACTTGGCGAAGTAACTAAGCAAAAGTCACGTGAGTTCATTGCCTTCTGAACATATAGTTACCAAGGTACCACTTACCGGTTGGTCTTCCGCACCACCCTTTAGATTTGCTCCAGTGTTATATCTACATATTCTGACAAGGGATAGGGAGGATATCTGGAAGCTTGATTTCATGTGCTGTTTTGTTCGGCAAAGCCATTGCCAATGGACTCGAGACAGGCATCAGCAACCTCCATTTTACACCAGGAATAAGGTGTATTAATTGCACATAACCGACACGCCCTTCCAATATGATCGGATCTAAGAATTCTTATTGTGGATGGGAGTTTGCTTTTGCCGCTACATAGTTACACATCCCTTTCATGATCTTCATTCTTGGCTACCGTCACTCGGCTCCAGGGAGCAAGCGGCCAGTGGATGGGCTCTTGCAGGCAATCCATCCTCTCAGGAGCAATTGGCGGCCATGTTGGATGCCTTGTCAAAACTCGTTTTGCTTCCAACCCCATCTGTCCTGCGAAGTGCCTACAACTTGACAGCTTCTCGAATAATGGCTATCGACTGCCGTTGAATTACACCATTTCATGAGGACACAACGGTGTTAAATCCTTTATAAACCTGATACCTAACCAGGGGTACAAAATAGGAACATAAGCAGCTGTCGAGTTATTTTTAACTTTTCTTTGGGGTCGACATATAGTTAGTTACTCCTTCGACTTTGATATCATCCTACAAAAATAAAATAAAAATCTACCTAGGTATAAATCCTGGGCTCACGAATCCAAGTTTGCCTTTGACGCCCCCCCCCCCCCTTTTTTTTTTTTTTGACCTACGTGATGCCGCCCAATATCAGTGTGTCCCCAACATCTAGTTAAAGTATTACAACTGAATATGGAAGATTGGCTACATATCTGTGGCCACAACATACAGCAGTGCAATCATTTGGCATTGGGAAATCTTTCGCTGGCGGTTCCAGACCTACGGGAAATTGGTAGTAACCGAAAGCCGGCCATTTTAACGAGTTGTGAACAACATAAGCCGCTATCTCTGGACCTTTTTTCCTAGCGGGGAACATTCTGGCTCACGGTTCCACATATCGAGGCGTTGTATCATGCAGGTAATGGTCATGAGTCTTGTATGTATGTACCTTCAAGCTGTTAGTATTGCATATCTCTGAACCAGCAGCACTATCTAAAATGACTAGTTTCCACATCTCTCTGAATGACATGGTATGCCAATAAGATTCTTATCTCTTTAAGTTATGTTGGTCGATTTCCTTGTTTTGAGGGCATCATTGGCCTGAACAAATCTCAGCACCTTATCCTAACATTCTGGGCTCCCAAAAGCTGCTAACTGAAGATAAAGCCAAGGGAAATAAATTAGCTTACTGATTGCTTGATATCATTGACCGCCTAGCAGAACCGTATGTAACGTCACACCCTCTTCCCAGAATCCCATAGATATACATCAGCCTTATCCAACAAGCGGGTCCTATCAGGACAATCTCCGGGTGCCTTTCCCGTTTCCCCGCCATTAGTTAACGGGACTGGGCAATTTAAATTTAAAAAGTAGAAGTATCCCCGCGCATGGATCAGTCCTGAGGAGAAAGCTCGAGGAGGCAGGGAACTCAAATAACTATGCATGTATTCCTAAATTTGCTCATCAAAACTAATTAATATAAGTAGGAACTTGGTCTTCGCCGTTTCATGGCTCCCGGAATTTGTTTTCTTTCTTTACATCGCTGAAACTGATTTGCCCACAGTTGTTTCCTGCACAATTTGTTGCGTATTATACCACGATTTCAACACCTAACTACCTAGCTTCCACATCATCGTGCAACTTCTTGCCTGGAGCACACCCTTAGTTATAGAGAAGCTATCGCAGCATAACATATGCCTTCAGAAGGTGTCCTAAAGTGCCAGCGTTGTCGCAAAGACCACAAAAGGGTGAGCAATACGGAGGTGTTGAACATAAGTAATGACTTATAGTAGCGTTGCTTGGTGTATTGCAAATACCAATTACCCCACCTAATTTGTATGGAAATAGGAAGTAGCTTTGATATTCAAATAAACAAATACCCTGGAATCTCTACTCTACAAACATATGAATTTATGAATTATTCTGCAAGCTCTGCCTCATCCTCTCAAGTGTCATCCTCAAGCAGTGAATCTAAGCCTGTACACAGCACTGTTAAATCTACAGCAGCTTCAAAGTGAGCAGCTGCAGCATCTGCTAGAGTTCCATCTTCTAGATCCTGCTGCTTTGAAATATGCTCAGCAAGCTGTTGATCTTTTCAATTGTGAGCTTGGAATTGCCCTTCTTATATTCATTGCCACCTTTCAAGTGTATAATCTCCTCAATATGGTGCACAATCCATTCAATCCATGTCTGAATCTTTGTCTGTGGAAGCTCTTTCCAGGTCTTCAACCAATCTTCTTTGCAGTCTTTTGTTCGTGAGGAGCTCCTCTAACTGCTAGGATGAGAGCTTGAACTCACAGTTCAATAGAATGATGTGGCAAAATTGTGTTTGTAGAGATTAAAGTAGGTGTTGAAAAAGGCTTTGAATATGAGGTAGATTGTTGAGGTGGGAACCAAGGATAGAAGAACAGAGTATGGAGTATTTGTTTATTTGAATATTGAAGCTACTTCTTATTCCATACAAATTAGGTGGGGTAATTGGTATTTTGTGATACGCCAACCAACGCCACTGTAAGTCATTACTTATGTTCCACACCTCCGTACAGACGCCAGTACCTTTGAAAATTTCTATTCTGACGCAGGCCAGTGCTCGCCAGAGGATCGACCATGGTCAGGACCAAGATGTGACCGCTGTGAGAGTTATGGGTACGATTGTTCCGAAAACATGATGGCTCGAAAGCCGTCACAAAGAGAAGTTAAATCCAGCCGCACCATCAACCGACCAAAAAACCGAGCGGGCCAACAGAGCCCAACTCGGCCATTGTTAATGCTATCATCGCAACCGCTGATGAATGGTTCGATGTTAGAAGCCGGACTCCTCGAAACTCCTTTCGTTGGTTTATTCGTGTGTCTCAAAGATATCGATTGGCTCAGTTTGAGTTGCCCCCCAGCCCAGTTTGGATCAGACCCATTTGCTGCAATGTTTCAATCATATTCATGCCTCCCGAATCTAATTGGACCTCCACTTGGAAAACGCCAAATGTTCCTCGAAGTATTTGCAGAGAGCGAGCGGCTCAAACAAAATCCAACCATACCGCCTCCACCATATAACCCCGTCTTAGAAAATCCTGTAGTAACAGCCATAGTAACTAAGCTTCAGCGAGAGCAACATCGCATGGAGATGCCCTACAGCTTTGAGGAGCTTTCAAGAAGGTGTAGCAATTATATTCGTTACGGCAGTTGCTGGCAAATATTGAGAACACTGCTCAGCACCGATGAAGTTCTCCTGATCGACCCCAAGTACTCCTTTGACAAGCCCAATCCCGAAACTACCTTTGAAGCCGCGGTACACATCTGGCTATACTAGATCCCTGGGCTGCGGGAGTTCTGTCAAAAATTGTCAGGGCTGAGCTATATGATATTGAACTTGGCAAAGATAGAACTTAGCTCTCCCATACGGTTGTTTTTGGCTACGAAGATTCTTGATCGACTTAACGAAGTCCCTTGGAGTTTCTTCAGCTCCACCTCACTCAGTAGCTTTCTGCAACATGAGCAGCAACGGTAACAGCAACAACAAGCCCCCCCTCATGTCCCTGGCCACAATCGAAAGTCCACCTGTGAAACTTAGAGACGTGGAGTCAGATGATAGCTTTTCATTTGATGACAGTCTGCCCGCCGGATTTGGCAGTGGCCATGTTTATCAGGGCCCTTGGAACAGTTGACCATATAAAATAAACAACTGTCGACCATTCCGAACTGCCGTATCGCTTAACGGAGAATATTGTTTCCCCACACACCCTTCGTTTTGTTGTTTAAGTGGCTTCATTTTCATTTTCATGTCCATTTTTTGAGTCTGCATTTAGTTACTTCCATCGTTCCAGATTGACAGCACCAACTTGGCGAATGTGCGTTCTCCAGGACCTTCCGTTCCTGGCTGTTTCTACAGGTTGGTACGCAAGCTCAATTGATGCTAGATAGATGCTTAACTTGTGTCTTTTATATGAGTGCGTGAAAGCCGTTAAGTATTTAAGATGCCACAATTTCCCTCTTAACTAGCTTTTCTCGCGTATATAAGACATCTCAACCATGACCCGTTCGCTACTCAGCATAACAACAGAGCCCCATGACATTCGTGATTCGCATTTATTTCGCCTGCGTTATGAGATGTCAAACTAGCTTGTTCTACAGAAAATAATCCATGAATAGATGGGCTGCCGCCGAAACATTTTAGTCTGTCAGAAGTGGACAGACAGCATGTGTGCCAAAGGATATGCAGGACAGGTGCGTTGGCTAGGGATCTTCGCTGGCACCATTAACGTCAACGTAGAACATACTCTGTGAACAACTCCGAAAAGTTCAGAGTTCAATATTTTGCTGCCTACTCTTGTTCCATAATAAGTTTTCGGCATATGGAAAGGCTTGTGCTCATTTATGATCGAAAATGACTACTGACCTTCTTGCACTTGTACTTTACCCGTACAAACAAATATGTATGTATTCATTGAAACAGTACCGTGCAAGAAACGTCAACTAGTACGGACAGAAAAAATTGCTAATACTGAGGGCATACGCCTAAATGGGAGCAAATAAGAGCATAAATTGCTATAATAAGAACCTACACAGGCGGTCGTTACCATTCACGATTAGCATTGTTCCTGCCACTAGCTCTGATAATGACTTCGAGCTTAGACCTAAGAACGATTTTAGCTGGCTCCCGGCTTACTATATTCATAACAAACCCATTTTGTGGCTGGACGGATGGCTTGGGGCGGTGTGCCGAGGTACAGAGTAGGAGAAGTGCTGCCAGCCAACTCTTCACGCGGAGAATATATGGCGCTTCGTAACAAGTTTGGGTTGGCGTCGTCTGTCTTCCCATAGTTACTGTTTGAAGCACATTATCAGGTTTCTTTGGGGCCAATAAAACGTTGTCTGGTATGTTGGGTGTTTTCAATAATTGGGCAGGTTATCATTAGTGGGATTGATACCAAAATTTATTGTCAACTCAGGCGGGGGCCAATATGAAGTTGTTATGCTAACGGTATGTATGGAGTACGCCTCCGCCATGGAGTATCCTGAGAATAAAGAATGGTCAGGGGGATGAGATGCCAAAAACTTGAGATGTGCTGCCTAAACGACCGCCTGGAATATCACCATGATGAAATCGGTAATATTGGGAATGTATCCTTCTAATGTGGAGATTTTGCGGTGCTTGAACTGTTTTCTTTTCCTACTTCTTGACTCTTCAAGGAACCCCGTCACCAAAGGAATAAGACGATGTTTTCAAAGTCAATCAATTGAAGACCCAGTTGCCGTCTTTTGCCTGAATTTTCAGGGGGAGCCTATCAGAAATGACTTACCAGATACACGTGGGAAAAATTCAGGGCGACAGAAGGTTAACGGTGAAGGTCATGTTTCTCCGCCATCTGCATTATCCACACCACTGGTGCTCATCAAGATTGGTTGGAAATGCTGTTGAAAAACTTATTTTGGTCATGATCTTTAGTGGATGATTTTTATGACATTGTGTTGTCACCTGAATAATCTGCACTTTGATCCCCTTCCCCCGCAAAGGGAGGGAAAAAAGCATTTTTTATTTATTTTTATTTTTATTTTATTTATTATTAATTAACTAACTACTTGGCCAAGAAAAGATCATCCCGACAGCCAGGATTGAACGGCTTCGAATATTTCCCGACCAATGAACATCCATGAAATATTGGAGTCCATTCGGATTATTGGGTTCTATCCCGGTGTGGACAACATAGACAACATGATGTTTCACAAGAAAGCAGTTGGGCAAAATATCCCGAAGTTTCCGACCCCAAATTACTGAATCATTGACCTGGGAGATGGGGTATCCAAGGAGACCGGATTTAGATCAGGAGCATTAATACCTCGTTCCCTGCAAATGACCTTTCCGGATCTGTTGAAATTTATCAGTTTTACTTCGGTAGGTTTTTATAACAAAGAAATTCTCAGGATGCAACGAGACGATCACATGCTGTAAAATGAAAAAAGAAGACATCGTTATCCAATGACGGACACAGGCTTTGTTCAGCAAGCTTCAGGTTCCATGTTACATACTCCGTAGCCAAGATATTTCGGTTATAGAAATCTCCATTTACGTATAAGCGGTTTCACTATCAACAAAGTCATCAGTAACAAGTGTTCCTTTGGGACCATAAATCCCCAATAGTTATATTGCGCTTCTCATCTTAGGAGCCACAAGAACGTTCAGATGGACCGATATTTGGTAGACAGTGGAATCATCATGAAACAATACATAATTAATAGGCCAGTAACGAGCTTTCGATAGACAGATTTATGCCGTTTTGGTGAAGAGTTTGAGATGCGCGCTCGCGGCAGTGAGAGAAAGAGATCTATCAGTGTTGAGTTCTAATTTCGGATCCCATTATTTACAATTATAAAATGGTCAAGCTCAGGGTCACTTCAGCTTCAGGTCTCCGCTAACATCAGTGAGGGCGCTGGGTGATTCAATGGCATTTATGATTTCTTTGCCAAAATAATAAGAAGCGTAGCCGGGGACTACAATCCAAAGTCCACTGATTTCACGATTTGCAATTTATTAACTAGATGCACAAAGCCTGGGATCGGTGTAATAATGAAGCCTTACTTTGGAATGATATACAGGAATATCAACGTCCAGAAGCCGTTGTGCCTTACATTGTCGAACCCAGAACAAGCTTCATTGAGAGCTGAAGTGTGGAAATAATTAGCCAAAGGTAGCAAACTAGCACACGAATTGCAGCGCAAGTCTTAGTGCAACATCTTAGAATAAAGTTGAGAGAACCAGCCTATTTCTGGAAACTCACCGTATAATAGTGTTTTACTGACTGTCATTACGCTGGCACTGAAAACCACCAGCACCGCAATCGCCCCTAGCCTTCCACCAATATATTTCTTTGGGTCCAAAGGGCCGCTTTTTCTCGTTGTGCCGCGTTTGCGGCCCCCATTTTGATCAAGTGTGGTTCCGTATTGGAAAAGCACATGAAGGTAGAATAGATAGCATGAAGATTCGACCAGATTCATTATAACCTGGGCACTGGTGAACCCATTTCCATTGCTCCATGCAGGCCAACCATATAAGTAATCAATTTTCCCATAGAGCCCATACGGAGTCCAGAGGTAGTGCAGTTTGCCCCCCGGCATGCTATGCGGTCGGCAGAGAACATAGCTTGCGTCCCAGAGAACTAAGGGAATAGATAGACATAACCAAGGTGTTACTATCTTTGACGGAGTATGTCTCCATTGTCGAGTATTAGTAGTAGTAACGTCATGTTTCTTTCCCGCTGCCTGCGTCGGGCTAGATATCGATTTGGAGAAAAAGTCACTTGGATGCTGGCGCGTTGATACCATGGTTACTTCCAAGATTCGCACGTGTTAATAACAGACAACCGGGGAGGATAGTTTCGGATGTAATAAACAAGCTCCGCACGTTATCGGCCTGATTGATATTTCGATACACCTGGGTTCAACGAGTAGTATGGATGTAATCCTGCTCGATACGTTGAGACTGACTGGAACGCTGAGGACACGAGGTAGTAAGATTTGGTTGGTCAATTCTTGAGAGCACCGCTTTATATGTGACTCAATCTTATAGTATGTGGCCGATCGTAAACTATTGAGGAACGTCGGGCCCAACCATATTTTTGTCACGTGTAGCTCGCGTTTATGGTTTCTCTCGATATCTTTAAACGCCATAAGCGCCATAAGAGAATCTCCATCATTTTCTGTTCCAGGCGCAATTCTGTTCTTTTTGCATAGGGCTTGCATCTGGAGAAGTTGGTTACGTGAAGAAGTTGAATACTTTCGGGGATATAGTTCCATATCACCCCTGTTTCCCTATCGTCGCACTAACTATCCATTGCTAGGGTCCAATGACTCAAGGCTTCAGAACGCGATGTACATACATACATACATTAGCTACAGAGTGCCAGCAAGCGCTGTCTTTGGAGAAATTGTTAATGTTTCTGTCTGTAATGGAATATAGCCCTGGCGCTGAGAGTAGACTCCAGACTTCCAGACTCCAGAGAAGTAACAATAACGTTGAGTGTGTTGCTAGTGTTTGGGAGCTCAATCTTAGAATGAGGTCACTTTTACCCGATTAGGAAAAGCGGCCGTTTTTTTGTTTACTCTCTCTTATCGGACATCCCATCCGCATCCACAACCACGACCACTACCACCATCTCTCTTATCGCTGCATATCTCTCTATCCATCCAGCTTTGTTTCTTTTGAGCTTTTGAAACCCCGTATTAGGCGCGTTTTGCCTTCATCCTCAAAGTCATTGGATAGCTATCTCCCTCTGCCACCATGGCGACTCCTGTGCGCCGGTCTGCTCGTCTCAGGTCGATGACTCCTGCAACCGAGGTGAGTTGGAAACCTGGCACGCATTTGTTGATAACTAGCTCTTGCAGGTATTTGAATGTAAGACTATTAATACAAGACACGTTCCAGCCCCAAAACAAAGCCCCTTGGCCTTCTGCAAACCTAATCTCTGTGTCCGAACGCGATGAAACCTCAGACCTTCGCTCTCCTCCAAATCCTCGTATCATCCTCGCAAGCCCGCAGAATCATCCCACCTCCACTACACCAGTTTCAGAGTCTCATTCGAAGTCTCTTGTGAAAACACCAAACACCACGGGGGACTTGAAACCAGGACTCGAAGAAATGCATCCCAGCAAAGTGCACCAAATCATCTCAAAGCAACCCGACTTGGGTCTCCGTCTTGGGTTTAAACCCATCCAGAATATTTCCAAATATCCTTCAGACGCGGTGACCGCAACTCCAACCAAATCCAGATTGTCACTGACAGACCCACTAGATTCTCCAAGCTTTGGTCTACAGTTCTCCTGCGAGGATTCACAACTCAGTGAGGAAGCCAAGAAATTAATGGAGAACATCCGGGAAGACGCGTCAAGGATCAAAGCACAAATGATAATTGAACAGAATGCTCAGAGACGCAAAGATGCGGAAGCTGAACAAATGTTTGGCGAGAGGAATATCGCAAAGGCTAAAGGGATAGTCGGACGTTTCAGCAATGCTCACATGGTGGAGTTTAAAAAAATGGATTCCATTGCCGGGCACCCTTCGGCTTTTAGGGCACGTCCAGATAGAATTCAACCTCCACCAGCTAAGTCTCTCAAGAGGACTAGATCTAAGGCTTGCCTTGATGATACTTCATCTCCGGCGAAACCTATTACAGCCACCTCATCTTCTGCAAAGTTCCTGGCAGCTGATTCTGTCAAGCGCTCGAAAACATCCAACCCTGGAAGCGCCACTTCCCGTACATATCTTTCCAAGGATTATCGTTGTGAAAGCAAACCAGAGCCAATGCTTGCGAAACTCGATCTGCAAACCGTGATCACCCCAATAAAACCCACCGTTGTCCGTGCTTCCAGCGTGAAACACCCCAACACAGCCAAAAACTTTAGCAGCATTCCTCATTCCCCTTCAACCAGGTCGATTGTTGCCCCGCGAACTCCTCAAACAGAGTTCAATCCAAAATTTAAAACTAAACTACCAAGTCTTACAAACCTCAAGTCGATTCTCCGACGACGACAACCCCTGTTCTCAACAGACCTTGTTAAAATTGCCTCAGGAACCCATGTCGCTCCGCCTAGTAAAATTTTCGACATACCTGAGGTACCCACGGCAAAGAAACATGTCGAATTTTCAGCCAGTACGAAGCTACGCCACGTATTCCAGGACTTTTCTCCAACATCTATCAAAAATCTACCTGATAAGCCAACAGGAACAGGGACGATTTCCTATCCAACCCTTCCAGTTACAACGCCTCCACACGACAGAAAAGCTGAGAAAGCCATTTTTGGAAATATAACAACTCCTACAATCAGAACTGTGGCTTCGTTCGAGGTCGACTATCCTCAACCCGCTTTCCCGGCCGATGCAGTTATTCCCCATGGTATCATAAACAAAAAGCGCCACCGCGAACCCGATGACGACGATGTTGAAAACAAAGCTCCGGAAGACTCGACAGGAGATGAGCGGAGCCTGAAGAGAATGAAACCTAACCCTACCGTTGCCACAAAGATTCACACTCCAAGCTCTATCAAGAGCCGTCCGGTGCAGCACGGGACACCGGGAATTAGCACTCCCCGTCGGTCGACGCAGAAAAGTAAGGGTGTGTTGAGCATGAGCCGCCTAAATATGCTGTCGAAGCCGAAGGTGCGCCGCTAGCACTAAAGTTACGGTCATATTTTCCTTTCCTCTTCATTTCTCCTCCCTGTTTTAATAATTAGGAGCTTCTAGTGTGCAGTATGCAGCAAACCAATTTTTTTTTTCATGTTTTCATGTTTTATTTATGGTATTGGTAGGTCTTTTGCATCTTTGAAACTGTTGGTTTTGTGGATTGGTTTTGGGAGGGCTGAATGGATGTTAGGGTATCAGATTCGTTTGCAGAACTTCTCTCCTTTCCTTCTTTTTACCAACTTGGCGTTGCAGTGTATGTATGTGAAGATCTTAAATATTCGTATTCCTCTCGACTGATTATTCTTTCTAGCTGACACACTATGGAGCTGTAATTTTTAACTCTAATTTTCTCAATAAAATTTTCAAAATATACAATCCAAACTTCGATGAAACGGAATAGCTTCAAACCATTTATTTTCAGACAAATTGCTCACTCCATATGCTTACGTGGCTTCCTGGAAAAGGATTCTCCTTGTATTTCAAGCTTGATTGTCATCGTGTCCCTCTTTGCAGCTTCTGTCCTGAGGGTGATTCTGCTGTAGTGTTTTTCATGATAACAACAGAATAGATCATGGAGGCATGGTGGAAATGGATTTCGAACTTGAGGTCCCTAAGGATTCAGAAGACAGGTAAACTGAAGAAAGAAAAAGGAATACCTATTGATACATTTTACTCTCCATAAACAGTGGTAACTGACGCTAATGAAATACATCATTTGAAAAGAGGAATATATGAAAGGAAAACAGAAACCATTTAAAATATGAGGCAGAAGGGGGGAAAACTGGAGTTACCAACCAACACCAACTCTTCTATCCCCTTGTAATCAAAGAAGCAAGAAAACCCGTATCAACCGCCAGTTAGCATTTCCATCTTATTTTTCCTCCGATACTTTTCAATATCGGATGGCTGATATAAAAGCACAAAATATAACGCCAAACATACCAACGCCAGATGCTCAAATTGCCCCATTCGCCAGCAAAGAAACCGCAGGTTACAATAGCAATCACAGAAAGTAAATGACATCACACGAAAACCACACCTGCTACGTAAAAAAGTAAAGACAAAGCAATATCCTTCCATAGCTCCCCAACTTCTAAGCTCCCGCCTAAACCTTCATAGTCGCCAAGAAAGAATCAAGATTGTATTCCTCTTGGTACTGTCTGTCATCCCACAGCTCACCAAGGTCATCAAGCCAGCCCTTCTTCCCTTTCTCCTTGACCTCGCCATCTATATCGACCATATCAATCTCATTACCACCCACACCGCCATCCTGGCCGTGCATTTCAGCTCCCTCAGCCGTTTCGCCAAGGTTGAAGAGATCGAGCAGTTGGTCTGTGTCCATGGTACTGAGGCCGGCGTTTTGTTGATTTACGACAGTTGAGGCGACGTCGATCTTGAAACGTTGAAGACTGTTTATAGTGTGGTAGGTTAGGATGTATAATAATTTTAATGTCAGGTGGTTAATAAATGGAGACTCACTTCAATATCTTCTCTTCCAAAGTCCCTCTCGTAATCAACCGGTAGACATTGACGACCTTCTTCTGTCCAATGCGATGCGCACGGTCCATGGCCTGGATATCCTTCTGCGGATTCCAGTCGTGTTCGACGAAAATGACGGTATCAGCGCCTGTAAGATTGAGACCGAGACCACCAACGCTAGTCGTGAGGAGAAGCACATCGTAACTGGGATCAGTGTTGAACTGGTTCACGATGTTTTGTCGCTTGGCTGCCTCCACGCTACCGTCTAGACGAAGGTATTGCACTGAAGGAAGCAGCTTCTTAAACACGTCGTTCTGCACGATATCTAGCATCTCCTTCATCTGGCAGAAAACAAGGGCACGATGCGGACTAACATAGTTGGCTCCCGTGTCCAGTTCTCCCTCGGTGGATGGATCGACCCCAATGCCACAGTCAACGAGTAAATCGCGGAGGGCAGACAATTTCGGTGCGTGCGCCACATCACGAATATGGGAATTTTTGGCCTCGAGCAACTTTTGGATTTCGTTGTACCTCTTGTGGTTTTCTTTAACAACGAGGGCAGGAGAATTGCAAAGACGACGCATATATTGTAGGGCCTGGAAGATGTGCTGTTTCGCCTCCTTATCAGTGCTTCCGACTATCTTGGCGATATCTTTCTGTTCCTTCTTAGTGAAATCTTCGAACAACTTTCGCTGGAGGTCGCTAAGGTCACAGTAATAATTCTGGAGAATCTTTGGTGGTAGATCGTTCAACACTTCCTCTTTCAATCGTCGCAGGAGGAATGGCAGTACTTGTTTATGTAGCGCTTCGATAGCCAGGGCTCCAGCTTCCTGCTCTTTGGAAGAAGACTTGCTAAACCGACTGGCAGCAATGGGTTTCGCAAAACGGTCGAGAAAAACTTTTTCAGTCCCAAGGAAACCAGGCATTAAAAAGTCGAAGAGCGACCAAAGCTCCAAAACGTTGTTCTGAATTGGAGTACCCGATAATATCAAACGATGGTTACTCTTTAGACATTTAACAGCACGCGTAATCTTCGCCTTGGGATTCTTAATCAGATGCCCCTCGTCCAAAACACAGTAGTTCCAATTTAGAGGCCTGAAAGTGTCGTTGTCATTTCTGCAAATATCATAAGATGTAATGACGATGTCCACCGAGTCGAGGGAACCTCGGAGTCTTGCCCGTTCGGCAGGCGGGCCTACATATGCTAGGCAAGACAAAAAAGGAGCATACTGTTTTATTTCCTGCTGCCAATGTCCGGATAAAGTAGGTGGACAAATGATCAATGACGGTAACCTTTTCGCTTCAGGAGCACCCGTGCGCGCAAATTCTTCCGCTCTCATGTGGTGATCACTAGCCACTATACAAAGAGTCTGAAGTGTCTTTCCGAGACCCATGTCATCACAGAGGATACCGTGGAGATGGTATCGATTAAGGAAAGCTAACCAATTGACACCTTCTTGCTGATATGAACGGAGCTCTGCCTTTATCGCAACAGGAATCTCGAAGGATTCGATCTTGTGCACGTCCAGCATTTGGGCCATGAATTTCCGTTCCCGATCCCTGCCTTTCAATAGCTTTTCAGATAATCCTGGAGGATCTGGAATGCCAGCCTCCAAAGGAACAAGTTTGACCAATGTTGCAAAAGCAGTGGTAGCAAGAAGTCTTACATCATTGTCGGAATCGCTCATTCGTCCAAGGACAGGAACGATAAGGAAAATAACGTAAGGCAGGATATTGTCTTCCATGACGTGTATCAAATGGTAGATACACTCTATAACTCCCTGCCGACAATGGACATCCAATGCATTGTTAATGTTGGGCAACACCTCATCCACAAGCATTGTCATTCCCTCGACGTTGATGACACTGCATACTGTCGCAAAACATTTAGCAGCAGCATAACGTATAACGGACAGTTCGCATTGCAGGGATTTAGCGATGATAGGCATAAGGTTGATAATCCAGGGGTAAATGCCAGGATGGAATTTAGGAACCAGCGCCCGTAGAGTTGACAATCCATCAACAACTTCTTGGCCAGTTTCGTTGTCGGGATCCTTAATATCAGGAGGAAGATCACCTGTGAGAGCCCGCCGTAATGGATTCTCAATAAGGCTGGCAAGGTTGGGAACCTTATCCAGTAACTCTGCGCCGAACCTGCTCGCTAATTGTTCCAAAGCTTCCTTGGCACCTCGTCGCATGATCCTAGCTTCACGGGTTTCCTTCTCAAACCTGGCAGCGTCAACAGGGTCCTTCTTATCCTCTTCCTTGCGAAGGGACAGAATTGCCGTTTCCAGGCTAGCGTTGTGATGGAACTCGGGCGTCTCCGAAGTATCAACACAGCAAAACTTGACAAGATTCCCAATCACCTTGTCTACAGGACCACGTTTGGAGGCCCCGGTGTAATACTGAACGAGAGACGCAACAGCTGAAGCGGATCTTTGCTGCAATTCCACATTTTCCTCCTTCCTAACACTGTCCATCATTGCCTTAATGATCTGACTTGGCTTCTTGGGTATGTCATGAAGAGCAACCAGTGCACTGGCAGCCGCAGCTCGAATGCGCATATCACGTTGGTCTTTAACTTCCTTAGCATCTTCAACAGCCGTCAATGCGCTAGCTCGGGAATCATTTAGAACCTGTAGCGCAGTCATCCGCTGTGCTGGAGAAAGGCTCTTTTTGAGTTTTTCAAAATCCGGGCCAAGGACCTTCTCAGCATCCGCGATTGAAAAGGCACTTGGACCAGCATCCTGGTCGCCCTGAACAACGACTGCAAGCATGGGAATTGAAATTTGTGTAACATGTGCATGCTCTCTAAAGGCGTTGAGAAGCGAATGGCATTGTGCGCGCGCAATATGCAGATAGCTCGCTATGTCACTATACCACGAAGGCCTATCATTTTCGATAATAGGGTTTAGCCATTGTGACAATGTCGAAGCATATCTTGTTCCGGGACCCTGGATTTTGGCGTACTCCACAACCACCATAGCAGCCACCAATTGCGAAGTTGAACCAGGCCAATTTAAACAAGGCAAGATAGTGTCCCACAGGTTTGAGCGGTTATTGTTGTCCCAAGTAGACAAGAAGCGACCCAAAGCCGTTGCTGCGTAAATTTTCGATCGAATAACTGTTTCCACGCCGACTAGATCAATGTCTCCTTGTAACATATGTCCATCCACATTGTGAGTGAAAACAGCGGTGGCGTCCCTTTTATCAGATTTCCGTTTTCGGCCCTTCGCAGGTAGTTCCACGGGAGTGGTTGGCGAGGGCTTCCTTGGAGTAATGCCAGCGGAGGTGAAAGGTAAACCAGACGGGCGGATAAATATAGAAACATCCATAGGAATTGGGTATCGTGGGACACCAAATGGGCTCATAGTTAACGAGATGAGGGGTTGCAACGAAGGTAGAAGACCGTTATCAGTCTTGAATAGGCCACGACTCTCTAGTGCATGGAGCAACTCAAACCACACTTGAAGAGACAACTTTAGCACGCCCTCATTACGCTCAACCAGGAGGTTTTGGAAAATTAGCCTCATTGCTTTTCCGTCAGCCCATGCGTTTTGCCCCTCGCTTTCAAGTTTCAAAAACGTAAGTAAAGCTCGAAGTACAGCAGATCGTACGCTTGTGATAGTATGTCGTAGGAATGGGAAGAGTCTCGGGACAAGGTTTCCAAATGAAGATTCGGAATCGTGCGCTGCGTTGGTTTTCATCGCTTCAAGGACTTGCGGGAATGTGCAGAGTTTCGCAAGCAGATCCATTACAGATCCCGTACTGGCACTGAGATCATCTTGGAGATTAGACAGACACTCCCACACGATGTTGATCAGTGAGTTTAGCGAGCCAGGTCGAAGGTTCACAAAATCCTCTGCGATCGGTACTAGTGTAGCCGCACTAACCGCACGGACATCGTCATCGTAATCTCCCAGTCCCTTCATTACCGCGGCGATGACCCCATCGAGAATTTCCGGTTCTTTTAAAAGAACATCATTCCGGACAGCAACCAAGTACTTAAGTCCGATCATACCACCATGGCATACTTCCCAAATAGGACTGGCGAGGCCAATATCATTTTGCATGATCATTCTATACAAGATGCGATACACAGAAGCTAGAGACTTCGGGGGTAAATGTAATAAAAAAGCAGCCAAGGTCTGGCCGACAGTTTCACGAATAGGAGCAACTACATTATCCGAAATGTAGTCGCCAAAACGATCTAGTAAAAAGACACAAAGTAGCCGACAAGCCAGGTCGTTCAACCACCGATGATTAAGCATATCGTTCTGGCGTCTCGATTTACCACGTACCCTCCCAGCTCCGGCTCCCTGAACGCGAATGACTTCCCGAAGACCCATAGCAGCGCCATGGCGGATCTCCCAGCTAGGATCAAAGAGATCAACCATCAGAAATTCACACATGCGTTCATAAGGCCACTCCAAACCAGCTTCTTCAGCATCAGTCTGAATGACCGGCTTTTCAGGGATCACAGGTCCTTTGAATTCTGATACGATTTTACTGTCATCGTCTGGCTCAGTTCTCTCCAGCGAAAAATAGTCGAGTTTTTTATCACTATTGCTTTCATTGCCACTTTCCTCGTTTTTAATTGCTTGTGGAGTGGAAGCAGTGGGTCTTGGAAGCATATCAGAATTCTTCCGGACGGCCAGATCAACCACTCGAATCTTGTTAGTTCCCATTTTAGCATTTTGCTTATTCTTTCGCTTCAACTGGTTCAGTTGGCGTTTGCTGAGACCTTGATCGTCACCATTGGAAGGAGTAGCTGGCGAAGGGTCATGAGGGGAAGCCACTGGGTGAGGAGAATTACTAGTTGAACTATTTTTGCGAGAAAGAGATGGCAGAGGGATCTGAAGTTTAGGACCAGAACTCTTGCTCTGTGAGTTGGTAACGAAATCAGCCTCGTTCACCAAGTCATCCTCGATATACTCCCCCCCAAGACCCAGACGGGAGGCTAATGTCTTTTTCTGATGCTGAAGCCTCGAGGTCGCATCCAATTCGGCCAGAGAATATTCATATTCTTTTCCGGCGCTGCCCAGGAGCTTGTGTCCATACTTCAGAATTGAGCTAAGATCAAAAGACTCTAAGTCGAGAAGGTCTTCGGAAGCAGCATTCTCTGCTACTTCGCGGTTCTCCTCTTTCTTGATAGTTGGAGAAACATCACCATCCTCTGTGGACGGTGAGGGGTCATCAGCGTTGGGGTCGAACTGCTCAGCGTACCCAACAACGCCGCCTATTGCCTTGGCAGCTGCAGTCCTGGTATCCCATGACCGGGACCGCAGATACGGTAGAATGCGACCTAAAAGGTTGAACAACTCATCTGGATGTTGTTTCTGAACATCTGCGAGCTGTTGAGCGGCAGTGTTTCTGATAATGGGAGTACTTCCTGTTTCAAGGAGGCTGTTGTCGGGTCGGGTTGGGTTGGTTAGTTTCCAAAATTATATGATCTAGTCTACAATGGGAATAGCGTAGAGTGGAAATGTAGATATACTCACGTGACTAGTCGATCAAGCCTAAACTCAAACAGATTATTAGTAGAAGCGGGGAATGAGGGGAAAAGAAGCGATGCGATTGGCGGAAACACACCTGGACGCCATGGCAGGTCACAGGACAAGAACCCGGCGAAGGCAAAAAGGAAATGCAATAGTTTAAATGAGTTAGTCCCGCGCGGTGCAGGTTAGTAAGCCGTGGTCAAATTAATAAGAGTCCAAAGCAAGCTTGAGTAGTTGCAGTTGTAGCTGTAGCAGAAGGAGCAAGTTGGGGCCAACCCATCAAAATACCCATCATAACACGTTAAAATTAATACTATGATTAATATAGCGATGTCTCTATGAGGTCCGCAACATTGCTTCTATTGTTGGGGAAATAAAATAAAACGAAATAAAAGAAGATCATGCATCGAAGAGAAGGTGGAGCAGCAAAAAATAAGGAGTTGTTTTAGTAAGAAAAAAATGACGATGCAACGGCGGAGTGACTGTATTGCGTAGGGCCTGGGTGCTGGATCAAGAAAATTTGTCGAAGGTCGTGCAGGCTGTTTATATCATTGGGACAGCCCTCTGTCCAGCGCGACTACCCATGTTTTGCACCTCGCTAAATTGGCTTATTTGGACCTAGCGCATTCTAGTCCCGGACAGATGCTCTGATTGGCACGTGATGTCTTCCCTAATCCCTTCTGGGCGGGTTGACGATCACGGGTCTCAACCTCGCAGAGCCCGTGACCAACTTGGTCAGTCCGCAGGAGGAAGGGAGAAGATTGAGGTTCTTTGGACAACTATCTGATTTTGGCTTCATCTTCCTCGGGAAGCTCTTTGCTTGCTTTATCGCGATGTTGGGCCTCCACAATCATATGATATCTGTCCGCAACACTAGTAAAAGGCTGGTCACTCGGGGCACATGGCGGTTCAGATAGTGATTAGTTACCCTCTCACTATTGAAGAGAGAAATTTGTTTTCTCACAACTCACACCGGTAACTAACACTTCTAGTTCTTTATGTTGCAGAGTTCCCATGATCATTTACTGTATCCATATGATTATCTCCGCAAGCAATCACTTTGCTGCTCCATATCTGTCCTCTTTTACAGCCCTGGGAGGGTTCAAACCCAGGCACGGTAGCCCGCCTTGGCTGAATTGATATGCCATGATTTTAGCAAATTAACATTGATGGATGCTCCTAGTGTCGCACATCTTGCACCAGCGAGGAACTTTGTGTAACAGAGCAGCGAACACTAGACGCTAACCTCATCGACAAGATCTTGTCAATATCTTCAATCTCATGTCTTCTTCTTCCAAGCCTGAGATAAGAATCTCCCCATCCATCGACTCGTGAAATGATTCGATATTTAATTATCGGAACCAACCCAAAAATGGGAAGAAGGGATTAAGTTAACGTCGTTGTTCATGTTTCGGTTCCTGTAGAACCGAAAACCTCTTGCCCGCTTTCCACTATTTTATAATCGATGCTGTTAGTCGATGATATTTGTGGCGGTCCTTTGTTTTTCGCAGACAAAATAATTCTTCACGAGAAATACTTATTCCTCCAGCATTTATCCAGAAGTTTCTAGAACGTAGATGGACAGATGGGATGATTCTCCCATGGCAAGACACAAATTATCACAAAATTATAGCTTCCCATCCAGGTTAACGAGGAAATAGACCGTTTTATCGCAACAAAATACACAGCGAGGAACAATCTTCATGCGATGGAATGACTCCCCAACACGGATATCCATAGATCCCGTGTCTGTAACTCAAGAGGAGGTGCGACAAGCCGCCAAATGCATCCATAAATACCACGCAGAGAAATAATCGGCGATATCAAAAAGATGCAGCAGCAAAAGATCACTGAAAATTATCCTGCCACCTCCTAAGCTGCAACTGAAATAGGCGGGTGAAGCTCCTGTATAAACAATTTCTTTAGGTCGATAATAAAGCTAATATTCTGAATTTCTGAATTTCTGTACAATCTTCCGTATATACGTTTATTATAAATTCCGGGAGGGGAACCAATGAGGAAAGCAAAGCCGCAATTGGGAACCAAGGCAGCGTGTGTAAAACCAGTAACAAAATCGTCACCCCATCCATGTCATGACTATGTGTTCTCTCCTCAAAATAAGGATCATCGGGTCGCCGCCAGTATCGCCTTGGATTCTTCATCCTTGCCCAGTAATCCTAACGAACTGATTTGTTCCGCCTTTGGCGCATTCTCTCTAGGATGTGACGCTTCCGCCTTTCGGTATGCCTGTTGCATCGCCCGCATTCGCGCAATCTAGAAGGGTATTTCCCAAGGATCAGTTCTGTTGTGCCAAAATCTCCCAACTCCCCATGTGCAGGTTAAACACGTGGTATACACAAGGATATATATATATAACCCCCAGTAGGAGTAGCTGCGAGACACCCGTACCTCCTTTCTATGATGCAAACACTCGTAGTAGTCTTCCAATGCTGGGACACATTTCTTCTTTCCGGCCTCACCATCCCCCGCATTAACCACGTAGCAACCTAGGAGTTCTTGCCAGAAAGGAAAGCAGCGCGACGGGCCTATGAAAAATGGATGGGAGACGTCAGTTAAAAAGGTCGGCTACAAAAACTGGGAGGAGAGCTGGATTTGTTATTAGAACTGAGGGGAGTTAAGCTGAAATTGAACGACGAAGACAGAATACATACCGCCATTAAGGCCATAGCCTGATGCCATTGTGAAGTGTCAATCAAACTATCAATCGCGGAGAGGGTGGCCGATTGGTTGCTGGAGAGTGAGATTAATGGAGACTTGGAGTTGAGGCTCTTTCTTGGAATGGAGTTGGTTCAACTGTTGCAACCACGAGTCCCGATTGGTCCAAGCTCCCCCCACATCCAACTTCATAGTTGGAGCCATGTCCACATCGACACCAACGTATTAGTTCTAATCTATTGCGCAACACTAACAAACACCTTGAAATGCTCACATCAACCATGAGAAGAAGAGTACGATCATAATGGCTCTCTCAGAATTATCCGATGCCCATCTTATCCTCCTTGCCGTCGAGCTCTGCATTACCGGCGATGTGTCCGCATTGCCACGTATACAATCCTACTTCCATGCCTCTCCCAGAGAAGATATTTTCTTCCGTATCATATTAACCTTCCTGCCTGAAAGCACAGAGCCATGCCGGTATATCCCTGTTATTCAGAGCCTGGCCAACGGATCTTCATCCAAACCAGCTGAAACAGATGATGATATTGACACCGCTTCAGTTCGGGAGTTGTCTAAAACTGCAGCGAGGAAGCAGGTCCAACGGCTACATCTCCTACCCCTTCGATACCCCAGGCAGTCCACAGATGAGTCGTGCAGCTCGCTAGTTCAATTTCTTCTCCATCGAGCTCACAGAATAGACTCTGAGTCCGGATTACAGCCGTTTATTATTGAACTTCTTGAACCGTTCATTCCTACATCGACGTACCTTCAAACATGGGTGATATCGACTGCACTACCCCTTGTCCGATTCAATTACGAATACCATTGTGAAAATGATGTCTCGTTGTCATTGGAAATAATACAGTCCCTAGATTCGGAAAGTGCCGTCAATATTTTATTGTCGAAAACCGATAGATGTGATAAGGGAGGAGATGTGGGAAGAGACTTGAGAGGATTGGTTGGGTCCTGGATGTACGGGCATGCCAGGTCGAAAAGGCGGAGACTCAACCATCTCGAGCATTCAGGGTCGATTGGGATATTTGATAATCAGAATTCTTCAAGAGGGTCCAGGACTAGTGGATGGCAAGATGTGAACGAGTGGCTACTTTCGACAAGTATACGGGATTTCCCCTTAGCTGTTGAAGCTGTTGAGCAATGGTCAGGTCCACAGGATATGGATTTGGGTGGATATAGTGACCATGGAGAGTCCGTTCTATCTGATGAAGAAACTGAGCTTGCTTTGAACTACGGACAAGCTGCTCTTGCTGCGATTTATGCTGCTACGGAAACGACGTCAGAAACCCTCGATGGTTCCTGCCGTATATTGTGTAGAATTGCATCTCTGCTTGAGATACCTGGTCATTCTGTGCTACACATCTATGAAAAGGAACTATACCCTCTCAACCTCGACCTCACATCCCTCTCTGATATCTCGCGAGGCGCCATCCTCCAAAATGCTCTGCTAGACCCGTTTAATCCTCTCACATATCCCACTTCTCAATCAATCTCTTTTATTGACGCCATTCTCGTGTCTATTCGCACTTTAATTGGTTTCGGTCACGGGATTTCATGCAGGACCGCTGCCGATATCTCTTTGCTTGCGAGTGATGAAATGCAGTTATCGGAATTCCGCAGAGTCCTTGGAACCCTGCATCAGGACCATAAGACTGGACTGGACTGGCGGAAAATCAGACTGCAACTGCTTTGGTTGAGAAATTGGGGGCTTTCTGATCAATCTAGGAAAAACGATGCAAAATCACGCGCTGGCCATGGGTTATTCTGGCGAATTCCTCTAGTTCTCCTTGAAGGTGATATTCTGAAAGCCATGTTAAATGCAAGACGTAAGTGATCGTAATCGCCACAGATGCTCCCAGTCCTAACAAATCTCAGAATATGACTTGGCCGTTGAGCTTTATGCAAAATCACTCAGCTTATCTCCTCTTCCGCCAGAGCAGATTGAGGCTGCAGTAACCGAGTCAATATTTGCATCATATGACAATGCCACAAATGGAAACAAAACCAGGGGCGGGATAAAACGAGCTTTGGAAACGTACGTCTGCTTCCTGTGAAACATATTTGACCAGAATATCATTGACTGATTGATATGAAGGCTTGAGGCGTTTGGTCCACGCTTCCCGAATTCTAAATCATTCCGCCAAATCAAAGCTTTGATAGCCGCTACTCACTCGTTGTCGTTTTACTCTCTCACGTTGCAACACGGCGTCCCATTCCAGCCTGTCAGCATCCGTGTGCACCATGATCCCCTTTCCTTGATCGGCAAAGTTCTCGAACAAAATCCCAAGGCATACACAGAACTTGACAATCTGCTTACAATTGGTCGACACCTGGTTACCGCGGGCTTCCCCGCTCAACCAAGACCCAATGATGACCCCATCCATAATAGACCATCGCCGTCTCAGGAAGAAGAGTATCTAGCCTCAGATCATCGAATAATATCACTCTCCATCACCGCAGCCATAGAATCGAATGATTTCGACACGGCATATTCATACGTTCACACTCACGTAGCCCCACCGTCTGTCAATTCAGGCTCTACGAAAATCAAAGACGATGTATTGTGGCGTGCCGCATTCAATGCAGGTAGATACCGCCCAAACATTGCTGAATCACTAAATAAATCACTCCGATCCCAAATTCACCGTCTCTCCCAACGCATGGAGCTCCTTTCGCTAGCACTAGCCCTTGCTCCCACTCCTGAGAACCTCCCCGAAGTCCTCACCGTATGGCGCCGCTGCGATGAAGAAATGACTTCCCTACGCGCCAGAGAATCCGCAGAAGCCGAAAACTGGGACACACGTGGCGATAACATCTCCAGCTCGATCGTACCAGGTGGCTTCGGCCCATCCGATGCTGAACTCGATGCTCTGGAAACAGAACGAGCTAAACGGTCGCGGACAGGGAATGCCAAACGCACCTCCCGATTGGCAGGAGGATATGAAGAGGCGCCCATGGGGTTATTTGAGGTGGCACGAAGCGCGGCTCAGGCAATTAGCAAGACCGCATTTCCTCTTCGTGGTGTTGAGGGTGTTGGGGCCAGCGCTGGGGGTGGTGATTCGAGCGAATCACGACGCATCAGTATGGATACTGCTGGGACGGAAGACGGGAGTGGTGGTGAGGGGTTAACAGCGGGACGAGTTAGGAAGAGGGATATGGTTAGTAATATAGTGACGGGGGGGTTGGCGAGTGGGCTTGGGTGGGTGCTGGGCGCTCAGCCGGTTAATAATAATAACAACAATAATAGTGCTAACACACATGTGGATGGATAGTGATGCTATGTGGCAATGCGCATTTTGATTCCTATATTAAATTCATTAGTTATCTCTGCAGTTACTCATGTGAGTGCAGAGGTGTTTCATAATGGTAACTTGTTAATATTCTGTTTGATATTTTACCTCTTGGTCTAGGTGCTCTTCATATACCTACCTGGGAATAATATCATATTAACCCACCTTTTCTTAGCCAAAGCGCCCGGGTAGCCAAGTTTAGGTATAGGATATCGCCCAGATATTTCTTGCCCCATATCAAATGCACCAGTTCCGTTCTAATCTAATACCACTAACTTTCCCTTAGATTTCTCTCAGCAAAACACACGCCACAAGCCCACATGGAGCATCTCCCCCACCAATGATGGAACATCCCAATAATATCCAGAATTCTACAAAAATTTCCGGCCCGACTGGGTCTTTTCTTACCTAGGTACCTAGGCAGTTAATTTTGTCTCTTCAGCTTCTGTTCCTCCGGCTGATACTTATCCCTACCAATGTCATAAATATAATCTTCACCACCGCGAACCCCTCTCTCATCCCGACCCAGTATCATCACCATTGCAGGACATCCAACTATATAACACCCACATCCCATCCCAATTGCAATTACAATTGGTCCATTAGCAAAAGAGATTCTAGAAGCAAATCCCAATCATAGAACAAAAAAATAAAAAGCAAAAATGGCAGCAGACTACAGCACCGCCCCGTCCAGCGCAGTCAAGATCCCGGAACCATTCCGCATTGAAATCCCAGAGCAGCAGCTTGGAGAGTTCAAGACGCTGCTGAGATTGTCGAAGATCCCCATGCCAACATACGAGAGTACGCAGGAAGATGGAAGATTTGGAATTAGCCATAAATGGATGATGGAGGCGAAGAGGTTTTGGGAGGAGGAGTTCGATTGGTAGGTTTAAGTTTTCTTTTTCAGGGGATTTTGCATATCGGAAAGGCATTAATTTGCACTATCTGTGGTAGAATTTGTTACTTTTATATTAATATGCCACTTGAGGGTTGAGGAATGGGATGTTAGTACGATGCATAAGATTTGGGTGCGCAGCATGGACTCCGGAATTTTGATATTGGATTTAAAATAGCACTATAGCCCCTATATATATTTATTAATTGATATGCACAGGCGGAAGAGCGAAGATTACATCAACTCCTTCCCCAACTTTATTGCAACTGTCCATCTGCCTGTCAAGAAAGAGCTATCCAAAGTGCATTTCGTCGCTCTATTCTCTCACAAGCCCGATGCTGTTCCGATCGCTCTATTCCATGGCTGGCCAGGTAAATAAAATCAAGGACAACCACTTCATCCTGCTAGAAAACTAACATCATCAAAATGAAAAAAAATAGGGAGCTTCCTCGAATTCCTCCCCCTCCTCACTCTAATGAAGGAGAAATATACACCCCAAACCCTCCCCTATCATTTGATCGTCCCCTCGTTGCCAGGCTATGCCTTCTCCTCCCCACCACCATTAACCCGCGATTTCAATTGTACTGATGTTTCCAACATCATGAACCAACTCATGCTGGATCTTGGATTTGGGCCGTCAGGCTATCTGGCCCAGGGAGGTGATCTTGGGAGCTTTGTGGCGAGAGGTTTGAGCACGGAGCATGAGGCGTGTAAAGGTATATACCAATAACTGCCGTATTCAAACTTTCCCCCTGAAAAAAATATGCATAAATCGAATGAATGGTCTCCATCAAACCCCTAACCACTTACCCATATACACACCAGCAATCCACGTAAATTTCTACATAGCACCTACCCTTACCACAGCCCCCGAAGGAATCCCCTCTGAACCCCCGCTTTCTGATAAGGAGCAAGCAGGTCTTCAGCGGGGCACGGAATTCCTGAAAACAGGAGCAGCATATTCGATGGAGCACGGTACAAGACCTAGTACAATCGGAATCGTGCTGGGTTCCAGCCCGCTCGCATTATTGGGGTGGATAGGGGAAAAGCTCCTGTCATGGACAGATGTGCCGCTGTCTATGGACGAGATTTTGCGTTCTGTGACCTTGTATTGGTTTACAGAGTCGATGGGGAGGGGGATTTATCAGTATCGGACTGTAAGTAATGAGGAGCTAAGTATCTCTATGTTGTACAGGGCAACGAAACGGCTCCCATTCTAATCATGTTATGTGTTCTAACAAGTTGTTCCAGTTGGCCATGAAAACGAACACTCCATACCTGACAAAACCCGTTGGTTATTCGTACTTTCCCGGGGAGATCGTTCCCACGCCAACGGCTTGGGTAAAATACTCGTTGGGCAATGTAGTGTTTCATAGGGAGCATGACAAGGTACGTACATATGCTTTTAACATTATTTGATTTTCACATCGATAATTCTTCTCCACTGCTTTTTCTAGAATAATAAAAGCCCCCTCCTGCCGCAGTTTTGGTCATGTCATATTCTTAATGGATGGCTAATCATAGCTACCATTTGCGTTCTCTGCGGCTCTTTCCAGGGAGGGCATTTCGCTGCATGGGAACTGCCAGAATTGTTTATGGAAGATGTGGAGAAGTTTGTTTCGGTCGCTTGGAAATAAATGGCTAAGAGTAACGTAAGGAGATGAATGTTAAATGGGTTGAAACGGTGGGTGGTCCTATGAACGAAGTCAATTGACCTTTCGAACTGCAGGTCGTAGTACTTTTGACGGACATGGCGACTTGATAAATTAATTAATTGGTTGATTTGGATATATATCTATCCGGATATCTAGTGGCTGTTAGTTCATTCAACCATTATGGTGACATATAATCTTACCTCCCTGGTTTTTCACTCCAAGACGATATCAGATAACCTATACACATCAAGCTGTGTTCTTTCTGCTGAGGAGATAACGTGACTGTTATAGTATCAAAAAGGGCGTGCATCAACTAGGACCCACAAAAGACAGTAGGGATGGAAAATAACCGCTACGAGGGCATGTGTTTGTAATTTGACCGCGACTTGTATTGATATATTTCTTCCCAAAAAAAAGAGAGAAAATAAAACGAAGCACCAAAAACAATTAATCCAAAATTTGATTCTTTTATATTCATCATAACCCAGGGAGAAGCTGGGTATTTTATAAAATGACGACTGAGAGTAAACCTCATGTCCAAAATTTTTTGAGAGTATTCATGTCTTCTGGAGAAGGTAAGCCATCTTTTCATCCATCCATTACCCAATATACCCCATCTCAGACTCGTAATATTGAAAAAGAAATTGAAAAAGAACATAAAATATACAACTCGGCCAAAAATTAACGGGTCATCAAGACAGGTTGCGGAGGGGACCTTAAACTTCGAACCTAACATATGAGAAGAAACAGATAAGTAGAAGTGAAAATAAGACAAAATAGCAAACCCCATAGAGGTTAATATTTCCTGAAAAGAAAAAAAGAAGAGAAAAAAAAAATAGAAAAACTCCACCCTCTTCGAAAAGTATTTATCGAATGTTGGGTTTCTGTGGCGCTCTGATGACGGTTGGTTTCCGCCTCAAATAGTGAAAGCAAAAATATCAAGGTGGAATGAGATGAGATGATAGGTTCAAATAGGGAGACAGTGCAGAGAGGGAGGTGCGCCTATCAGCCGGGAAGAACTTGGTGGTTCAGTAAAGGGAAATAGATATAGCGAGATTCGTATTCATCAGGGAGCTCCATTACACAGAAAACACAACACAAAAGATGAGGAGCCAACAATAACTCCAGGGGAGGGGGGGAAATAGGGTATGTAGGAAGTCATTTTAAGGAGCTCATAAAATCGGCAATCGATACCAACGGAAGTTGTCCAATCACGCATTAAGCGGGATATATCTTGGCTCGGAGAGAACGGGCAGGATCTTCAGAAGAAAACCAAGTAATGTAGTAGGATGATGGATTGCGGCGGAGGTTTAATAACAGGAATGGTGCTAGCGAGTTCAAGGAAAATGGTGTATCAAAGAAGCCCGTTATGTTGTGTTTCGTGGAAATTCGAGCAAAACCGTTTTGTTTATAGACGCATCGCTTAGAGTTTTTTTTTTTTTTTTTTTTTTTTTTTTTTTTTTCAATCCTGCCAGCCCCACACTTGCTTCAAGAAGTGTGCTATATTGACCTTCTTAGTCTTCATTTCAAGCATCCACGGATGTTCAGACATTCGCCAGGGCGTTGCCCTTCTCGGTGGCTCCTTTTCCAAACTGCATCGTATTTCGATAGATGTTTTAGTTTTATGTTAAATTTTGCATTTTGATTCCCATCACCGTTAAAACGTATAAATCAAGACAGGATGGTAAAACTCACCAGCACTCAATAAAGTATTTGAAGTTTTCACTCCATTTTATGCCATTTTCAGGCTCGTCCTTTAACTGGGGAATCGGCTGGCGTACAATATAGGTTAGGAGGTCTATCAGCCCTGCTCGCGGGTTCATTTCCGTTCCGTCTGCAGGGAACGGGAAACGGTGTTGCGCTACTTCCAAAAGTGTGACTCCAAGAGACCAAACATCAGATGTGATTGTGTAAGATTGGCCTGTTATTCTTTCAGGGGCCATATAGTAGGAGGTGCCAATAAAAGTGTTTGCATCTCCCTTTGTGCCGAATTCACCACTGACACCAAAATCACAAAGTTTGACTTGGCCATTGCGACACAGGAGGATGTTTGAAGGTTTGATATCTGTGATAATCAAAAGAAAAAACAATTAGTAAAAAGGCTATTTGAGATTTGCCTTGGAAAAGTGTTACCTCGATGGATAATTTTCCGTCCATGTAGGTAGGTTAGACCATTTAATACGCCTTCCGCTACCTTGCCCAAGACCTTCTCTCCCGTCCGTCCTCCGAGCTTCTTCACTTCCCTATAGACGCTATCAAGGCTGCCTCCTTCGCAAAATTCCATGGCAATTGATATGGTGCTGGTCGACTTGTCCATGAACGCACCATAATATCGGCAGATATGCTCCGATGCACAATCTTTATTGAAATTGAGCTCTCGGACAATCTGTTTCTTGACGTCTGGGTTAGGATCTGTGGTGATAATCTAAAATAATTTTAAAAAGCGAATATTAGCAATGTTCCTTGATGAACGCCTGAACTAGATAGATGAAAACCATGACAAACCTTTAGAGCAAATACCGTTTTCCCTCCTTTTAACATGCAACGGGTAACGGCACCACCAGCCCCTTCACCAAGGCTATCAAGTTCAATAATCTTTTTCTGTGAGCTAGCGGCCAGCCAACCTTCATCATCCAAATCCTCTACGTCCAACGGCCGTCCCTTTTCCAAACTCAGTTTCTCCAAATCCGGCAACAAACCATTCATGTTGTTATCCCTTTCCATAGTTAAACCGCCATCCCCTCGATCGGAATACACGGAACTAATAGCGGAAGTCGGATCCGGGGTTCCGCCAGGGGGTTGTCTCAAGCCAATAGCAAAAGATAGTGTGGAGTAGTTCGAAGATGTAGCTGATGTGGGCCCACTGTTCCTGCCGTCGTATGTGGTGAAGCTTCCCGATCTCGAATGGTTGCTGTGGTCACTGTTACTTGTGATTGCGGACGAGGATCCAAAAGCCTGGATGGATGGCCGTGCACTGTTCAGCGGACCTGCCTCTTGAGGAGTAGCTTTACTCCCCATAGGAGTGGCTAATCTCAGTTGGGGTGGTGCTGGACGGACAGGTCGGGATTGAGAGGCATCGGGGGCAGAGACGAGACCATTTTGAATTCACAGGTTTCATACTGGGCGAAGGTGGGATCCCGAGGGTGAGACGAGGTGGTTGTTTCCGGTTGCTACCCGGAGTTGGTATTTTCAAAAGGGGAGCCGGAGTCGACATGTTGGACATGGGTGCCTTTCCCGGGGTCAGGCAGCACCTTTTGGACCAGTGATCGTCCAGAGGACAATCCAGCGTTGTGACAACCGGAAGTTGGGATAGGCAGGTATAGCAAAGATGGGAGACGAAAAGTTGAACGTATACGTCAGGCTCCAATGGCGGAAGGGATATAAATATATCCGAGGTAGAGAAAATGTTGTATTGAGCACGGACGATGATTAGATTGGGAACGGACAGATGCGGGGGAAGGGAGAGAAGGCTGAAAAATCTGGCAAATCCAATCTTGAAATAACTGATATCGTCAGGGTTACAAGAGACTTTGCTTGCTAATTTATGACATTTCTGAAGGAATCGGAGGGTTTCGATATTTAGTAAGCAGCAGAAAGTATTGATGTGGTTATATGACGAAGTGAGCTGAGAAAAAAGCAGATGCACGGCACGATGCTGCAAGCAAATTTGGATTGACCGAAATGGAGGATTCCGGTCAGAGGTATAGGGGAAATAATATATACCTAGTAGATAGTAGAGGGTGATGTCAGTCAGTATGAATCTAGGCCTCCAAACTGAAGATTATCACAGGGTCAGAAGAAGATGGGTCGTTCCAGGTCGAATAAGGGATCCAAGGCAACGGGCCAGCATCAACCTTTGTGGAGGGAAGTCGTCGAACTGGATTCTCCCCCAAGGATATGAGTGTGGGACGTAGTGGTGGTGGACGGGGCGAGAGGGGGGGGGTGTGGGGAGGGGGGGATAACTAGCGAAAGTGAACTTACCCAGCTATTAGATACGTGAGTGAAAATAATTTTTACATAAGCCGGTAGAGAGTCAAAGAGCCCGAGGAAAAGAGATACGATGAAAGAATCTAAAAAGGGAAAAACGAGAGGGACAGGAGGTTGAAGGCGGGGAGGTTGGGAGGGTGTGGGAGTTGGGAGTTGAGAAGTCGGGGCACGGGAGTTGGGAATGGTGTTGGTGGTGGTGGTGGTGGTGGTGGTTAGTTAGTACGGCCCCATACGGCCCCATACAGCTGAGCTGAGTAAGGAACGAGGCGGTCGGTGAGAAGACCTGATGATGATACCTCGCTACCTTGTGAATGATGTGTGGTTGAAACCGAGTACCTCTAGGCAGTTGACTCCTCTGTCCAATAATAATAATAATAATAATAATAATACTGCGGTCGCCCACGTCCTGCTTGTGCTCCTCATCTCCTCCGTAATAGAGTATAAACTGGAGCGTGCTGCAAGGCAGCCGAGCAGCAGGGTTCTTAAAAATCCCCTGCAAGTTACAAAGCTAAACATTCCCTGCCTTTTTGCCTTTGCCTTGTCTTTGTCTGTATGTCTGGTCACGGGGTCTGGGGGGTCTGGTTCTGGTTCTGGGTCTGGGTCTGGCTGAACAACCAACTAAACATGGCCCACTAAGCCCACTCGCACACCCTAATAACTGAGGCGCCCAAGGACTGACAACCCCCTCCGAGCGGGCCACGTCTGTCCCCCTAGATATCTTGCCAGCAATTCCTGCAAGGAACAGCATTCACAACTAACTCATCTGTAACTATCCTATGAACCTCAAATTTTTCAAATTTCTCTATTTCTTTTTATATTAAAACATCTCTCCAGTTGGCGGCTAATCTATTTTCCTTTCCACAACACCATTCTCAGATGAGGGTGGTCTAGGTATGTTTGTACGCAACTATGTGTCATGGTGCCCCCCATCCCTGGAGTAGCCTTATGTCATATGGTGGATCGTAGGTTCGAGCACGTCCCACAGAGTTGGAGTGAGAGAAACAACCAGAGAAGAATTATGAAACGAAGGTTAGAGCAACGGATAGGAAGAGGAGGAAATACCATGTAGAGAAATCAAAGAGATAGCAGCGGATAGATGTGCCAGTGCCATACCTGCAGAACGGATATTATCTAACTACACTTCAGCATACTTCAGTAACTAGTTAAATGACTGGATAGAGATAACCCTGGGAACACGGAGTCTTCTTATCTGGAGGGCAGAGCTGTTCGTTGAATCCAAACACTGCCTACGGAGTATAAGCACACCGGGCGCAGTGGCCAAATTTCCTCCCGGTAGCCGGCGGCCAAAGATGGATTGTGATGCTCTCTACTCTATCTAGTTAACTATAACCCCATGTCAAAAGACGAGCATTCTTCAGCTTTCCTTCCATCCACTTTTGAAAGATTCCCCGAACAATGGATAGTTAGCATGTGGATCGATGAGTTACCTGCTCAAAAGAAATAGGTTCCCCCCACCCCTACCCACACCCTCCACCCCCCCTCTCCCCAACAAAAAAAAAAAATAAATAAAATAAGATAAGATTCCAATAATGCACCCCTGTCACAGTGAAGCTTCCACATCACGTCGACCAACAGGAAGCCTCCTCGTTTCCTACCATTCGCTTCCTCCAAGCCATATAAAAGAACGCATAAACCCCTCGCAAAGGGAAATAATGACGATCAACAATGATTGCCCACTGTTTCGAAAACCAAACAAGATAAAAAAACAAAGGCTACCAAACCAACAGCCAATCAAGTTGAACCAACCAGTCAGCCATTGAGGAGTTTTACGGAAGTCGCTCAACCTTGCAGAGTGATAGTTATATTCGAGACCCGCCAGGGCTGATTGAAGTGCTACTTATTTTCCCTGCTCTTTACCAGTGCCCAGGTAGGCGAAATTTCAGTCAGTCGAACTCAGTCCTCCTTCTTTTAACTTTGTTAATTTTCGATTCTTTTGTTCCTCTCTTCTTCAAACTTCTAGTTCCACTCCCTCCCCCACCCTTCCTACAAGTTTTATCAAAATTTATCCAAGGAACAATGACGGACATTTCATGGATGAACACTGGAATATGAATCATGGCTAAACTTATTTTCTCTACCATCTCATACATAATAAGGTCATGGAGTAAGACAGGCGGTTATCAAGAAATGCTGCTTTAAATCCCGCACAATATCACACGTTACTTTTGCGGAGGGAGGAGATTGAACTATATAAAAAGCTGCAAAGCTGTATGTTTGGACGTTATATGAAAATGTTCCTATTCCTCTTTCTGGCATCTTTGAAGGTTCGAAGGTTCCATGGTTCTTGTCCAATGATCCCCCCTTTCCCAACAAGGTACCTAAGAATCTCTCGTGAACCAGCAATTAAAAAATGTTAAAAAAAAAGAGAGAGAGAAAGAAAAAGAAAATCAAGAACAAATAACCAACCTTGGAATCGGAGAAATCCAACCAACCTTTTCCAAGCCTTCTATAGCCGTTGGGCCCGGCATTCCACGCCTAGAAGCTAAACATCCATCGGAACCTCAGCTTTCAAAGAGGCCCTCGTTCGAGATCATTTTATTTCCTATAGGCAGGCAGAACCTTGTCTGTAGGCACCCAACTAAATAATCCGCCAGTACTGAGATATAGTTATATATATACACGTTTCTTTGGTTAATTTTATATTCCTCGTGGAGAGCCTGGACAAACAAGCTACCCTCGCCGCCAACGCCATCGTCAACATCGTTTGTCACAAATGCTGCTGGATGCTTGGGCCCTGGCTCCACCCGCCGGCCCTACTTTAGGAGGATCGGATGGCAAGCCGCCTTGGCTACGGGAGGACCCGCCGCGATCAGAATTGGCATGCTTGAATGACGGTAATAACTTTGCCACCGACGGCATAGGTTAACCCGTTTGCATAGCATGGAACTTCGATTGATCCATTTATTTGGCAAGAGAATCACGAACAAAGGAACAACACCTACAGTCATACAGCCTATAGAATATCCACATATTGGGCAAAGGGTGATATCTGTATTGGTACATTCACTTTCTTCTCTCCTCCTCAGGTGCAACCTGTTTATTTATGTCCTGTTGAAAATTCTCACAACGTCTTCATCCAGCTGTTTGTTGACAAACTCAAATCCTTCAATGCCTACCAAGGCATCATTCATATAGTTCATATCATGTGTGATAGATGATTAGTTAGTAAAATATCTTCTTTCATGTAGTTTAACTCAACCACCGAACACTGAGTGACCCATGTGGTTTTGACGACCATTGAAAATTGAAATTATTTAACCAACATCCTTAGTTATTGCATTTTAAAATCACTAATTAGCTTGTTGATCTATATGGATAGGCAGTTCTAATGTGACCTAGTTGGTTTCAGTCACTGTAGCGTGGTGCTGCCTGCTTCTGCGGTTTGCTCATCAGCTTCTTATTCAGCTGATGTAATTGCTTCAAGAGCTTGCTGAGCATGAAGTTTACCTTTTGCAGCTGTTAGAATGCTTTCTAAAGCTATATAGGCCCTTTTAGCTTCACATTTCCGCTTTTGATAGACATTTGCCTTCTGAGAGATTGCTTGAGTTCATGTTCAAAAAGCAAGACCTTTCCCATTGTAAATTGACACCCTTTTATGACCTGATCCACTGCCCTTGAATAATGGGACTTGGTCGGCTTCGTGCGCTGTCTCCATAGCTTCTTGATCAAGCCAGATTGCTTTTCAAGATCTCTACCAGTTCTTGGAGTCTCTCCAACTCAGCTACATGATGACTTGCTTTGAAAGCTGCCTAATGATATAACTAGACATGAAGACCACCAAGAACCACTTCAGTTTGAATAAAACTAGATATAAAATTAGTCTTTAATATTAATTTAATATATATACTTAATTATTAAGAAATTTAATTAAAGTTTTATTTATAATATTAATAATAATATTATTATATTAATTTTAATTTATAACTTTAAAAATTTTTATAAATAAATATAAAAATTAATAATAAAATATAAAATTAAAAATAAATTTTATTTTTTATTTTTATTTTTTATTTTAATATATTTTATATTAATTAATTCTTATTATTATTATTATATATAAAAATAATAATTTATAATTTTAAAACTTTAAATAAAAAAATTAATTTATTAAAAAAAATTATAAAAATAAATAAAAAAATTATTATTAATTTATATATATTAAATATAATTATATTTTAAAAATAAAAGTTAATTTTTATATTAAAT